TAATAACTCGTAACTTTTTTTTGGTTGGGTAAAAAAATTTGAAAAAATTCTGAAAATTGTTTTCAATAGGGTAGAGAAAGATACCAAAATTTCAGAAAAATCGAAAAGGGTCGGTGTCAAAAGTGGTCGATTTGGCATGGAATGCCCCATATAGATAACAAGAATCATTTCAACAATACTTCTTATGATTTTTTTTTCTGTGACGTCAATAGGCAGAATTAGCGTATCAAAAATTATCTTCATCCAGTAAATTGTTAGATAAAATCCTTGATGGTGGATTCCAATGTGGAACCATTACAGAACTATGCGGTGCTCAAGGATCAGGAAAGACTCAAATCTGGTAAATAATAAGAAAACTATCATTTGTTTTGATGCCGAAAACAGATAATTTTGCATTTTATAATACATATTTTAGTTTCCAAGCTTGTCTCCATGTACAGTTGTCTCGAGAACTTGGTGGTTTAAATGGCAGAACCTTATACATTGACACTAGAAATGCATTTTCCTTACAACGTATTAATGGTAAGTCTTTAATTGATCAAAATACAATTATTGTTCAATCACAAAATGGTAGTTTAAAATTTTTTCATGAAAATTCAAAAAAGAATGTATTTTTGTTTATCTGAATCAGTAAAGAAAATTTTAATAGGAGATTGTGCAATTGAGTAGAAATAAGCCCACGATACAAAATTTCGTAGGTCATGAAGAAAAAATTTAACGAAAAAATTAATTTTTATTTTGGAAGTTCTATATGTATAACCGCCGTAATACCCATTTACTCTATCCGACTTCAGATTGCGCTCGAGGATAGTTGAATTTACAACCAACTGCTAGAAAGTTAGAAACTTGATGAGTCAACCTGATGTCAACATAAAAATTATTTGACGTTAATTTTTAGCAGGGAAATCCAATACTAAAAACATGAAAATGTATCGTCTGTATGTATGTATCTATAGTAAAAAAAATAACACTGAACACGTGCATGTATCGAAACAAAGTTAACTAAATCGTTTTTGTGAAATATTTATAAATAAACAAATAGTTTTTTTTACTGAAATGAAAAAATGGGTATACGTGGATTGACAACATATATTCAAAATCGTTCAGATTATTATTTCGATGTATATGAACTGGCAAATACAAAATTAGTGATTGACGGAGCGAGTCTAAATGCGCAGTTATATTGCAATAGAACTTACGGTGATAGTATATTTAGCGGTGATTATGATCAAATTGCGCATTGTGTAACACGATTTTTTGAAGACTTGTTACGATGCAACGTCGAACCATTAGTCATAATAGATGGAGGTTGGGAAAGTAAAAAATATCAAACACTAATCGGCCGGTTCAAAGACCGGTTAAACTCAGCTTCTATTATTAATTTCGACAATAATCATCGAACATTCCTTTTTCCTATGCTTTTGCCCGATGTATTTGTTGATGTTATGAATAAAATGGAAATAAAGTACTACATGTGTACCTTCGAAGCTGATGAAGCAGCGGCCGCAATTGCAAGAGTTTTAAACTGCCCAGTGTTAAGTTATGATTCAGATTTTTATATTTATGGCGTAATGTATATTCCTTTTAATACATTAGATCCTCATATTGTACGATATGCTAAAGGATACGTTATAAGATGTAAAATATATCGGATAGAAAAACTATTAAATAAATTTAAGGGTCTTGATATCACATTGTTGCCTTTAGCTTCAATTCTTCTTGGAAACGATTACATCAATAGCAAAGTATTCAATAAATTTTTTTCAGAATTGAGAATATCAAAACAACGCGTGACTAATTATCAACAATTGAAAATTAATCGTATTTTTAATTGGTTAAAACATTATACTTTGAATGATGCAATGAATAAAATTGTTAAACATGTAAGTAAAAATCAATATCAACGTGTTGTTGAAAAAATGCAAACTATTATTAACACGTACTTGAATATTTCAACACACATGCTAGCTCCTTTGGGTTTTGACCAGCAATTTATTGACAATATTGTAAAAAATACCTCAATTTATAAATTTCAAAAACAAGAAGTAAAAGAATTGGATAATCGCAATCTCAATAGTTTGAATAACAAGTATATAGAAGAAGATAATACGCATGAAGATGATAATATCGAAGCTAATCGTGAAAAAGATGAAACTGACGATGAAGATATAGATAATGATGGAATTTGTAAACTACCAATTATTCCAGACGAGACTTTTGCAGATTCCATACCGGAATGGTTTATGAAAGATCATTCAAATGGAAAATTTCCGTTATATTTTATCAATATTATTTCTCATCATGTGTACGTATTACCGGTACAAATAGAAAGTATGTATTATCCATCAGCACACGAAATAAGCATGCCGATAATTATTAAAATTTGCAGTTTACTGACAACGATGAACAGTAATGTTAATCAAAAAGAAAACGTAGTCATGGAATTAATTACGCGTGAAAATGATGAGATGGCTAAAGTTCACTTAAATATTCCCAAGTCGAGTGTAACTTTGGAAAATTTAGGTATGATGAGTGACGTAGTAAGAAAAAAGATAATCGATGAAACAGCTGAAATTGAAGAGATATATCATTTAGAAGAAGTGCCGTCATCATGGAAACTGTATATTGCTGTGATCTTATACTGGATGAAGCAAAATAGTAAGCCGCAAAGGACTCAGTTACATTTAGATTGTTTGTTAGTGTCGATGTTGCTCGGAATTATTGATAAAAAAATAGGGTTTCAACGATCGAAAGATAAATTTCAAAGAAAATTTGCCGATGATTTGGCACGCATACAAGAAACAAGAAGATTGAAAAAGTTACCAACTGAAGTAGGATCATCAATTTTAGCGAACTTAATTAATGAAACCATTAAAGAAGATTGTATTGCTTCGTTACCATTTTTTTTGGAACATCTTCAGATTGGTAAAGATCTGAGAATGTATCCTGACAAATTTGACTCTGATATAGTCCACGTTTTTTCACAATTTCAAAGTTGCCTGCGACATATAATGCATTTGAATGCACTGGTAGGGTGTATTTATGAGACACCATCGATAGGTGATTTCTTCAATGGTACATTACTGTATCATTTTTATAATAATTTTAAAACGCGTAATGACATTGAAGCTTATATTTCAACACGACTAAAAAACGCTCCAAATCTTATAAAAATTTTCCAATTATTAAGAAAAAAAATTATTGACATTTTAAACAGTTGTGAAGTTAAAATCAACGAAGGTGTGAAAAGTGCAAGAAGAAAAAGACGAAGAAATAAAAAAAATAAATCACTCAATGATTTTGATACAGATTGCTTAAAAACCGATGATAATAATGATGATGATGATGAAAACGATAATTTTTATGATCCTAACAATCCATTTTCATTACTCAAAACATAATTTTCAAAAATTATATCTTGTTTACAAAATTTTCTTAACGTACTAATTTTGATTGATTGAATTATAATTTTTTTAAGGACAGTATTGAATATAAATGTAAAGTTTTTAAAAATAAACAAGATTTTTTTCATTGTCTTAAAAATTCCTTATAATTGTTATCATTAACTAACCATGAAGAAAATTTTTAATCGATTATTTGTAATATTAACAAGTAACTTAATTTCAGATTTAATGGAAGGATATAAAAAATTATATCCAAAACTCAAAATAAACAATGATTTTATGGCTCAAAACATTCAAATTGCTACACTAGGCAAACTAGAGGAATTGTCAACTACTATTGAAAAGTTGAAAAATACTTTAGCAAATCAAACTAAAAATAATTTGGTAATTTGGTAATTTCAATATTCAATTTTGTTAAACCAATTATATTAAAATAACCTTCTTTGTATTTAAGATTCGATTAATTGTAATTGACAGTTTGTCTTTTTTAATAATGTCAGTTGAAGAACCGTCTCTACGAGTACGACTTTACTTAAATATATTGGATGAGTTACAAAAATTAGCATCTAAATATAACATCGCGGTAATGACCAAACTAAATAATTATGCTTAAGTTTCTGTTATTTAAATTTAACAATATTTGATTTGAATTATTTTATTTCATTAACTTTTGTTAATTTTTAAGGTGATTGTTGTTAATGAATTAGTGACACAAATAAATCTCAAAGGTAAAATAATTTTTGATAGTGCTGGCGGTCAATCTGTGTCAAGTCGTTTTTTGAAACGGTTACAATTAACTAGAACCGCTAGTTCAAAATTCGCCGCAAAATTGCTCAAATCATCTATAATGGAACAAATTACAGTCCCATTTAGTGTAAGTCTCTAACTGCTCAACAATTTAACCAATAACATTTTTTTTTTTTTTAGAATAACTTTTTTTTTAAGTTATGCTATGAATATACCATAATATAAAATATTAAAAAAAAAATTTTACAATTATAATTATATTAATTTTCTATCCTTGTTAGATTGATACTGATGGAATACGTGATTTGGTTTGATCACCAGAAAAATGAATGAACTCAGCACTTTTCATGATCCAATCATTTATTAACATTATTGCGATGTTGTATTATAAGAATTTAAGCAGTAAATCTTTTTTTCCAAATACAAAAAAAATATTTCTTTCGTTACATAATTATAATATTGTTTTTTTGCATAAAATTGCTCGAACAGCATAAAAAATATATATTTGTATAAAATAATAAACTCTAATATTGTGTACAAACTTTGCAGATGCAAAAGTATAAATATATTATTTGCAAAAAATTTATCTAATAAATTGTATTCATAGTGTTAAAACTTTCAAGGTCACGTGTTGATTATAAATATAAGTTTTTTTTGCTTTCATAAGAAGTTTTGTATTCACACTAAGGCATAAGACGAAAGCAATATTTTAGTCTCGAAAGCTTGGAACACATTTGTGTAGAGTATTATAATCTTAAATAAAAAATTATAACATAATTGTGAATTCTTTGTTTTCAAATTGTAAGCATGAATGGTATTTTTATAATTCATAAATTTCACGATTTTCAATTACGTTGATACCAAAGACAATAAAGCTTTCTTATAATCACCAGAAGTGTCACCCTAAAATTAAAATAAAAAAATTTATCTCATTTCAAAAAAGATTATAATTAAATAATGATAAATAATTAAAAATTAACTTACAGCAATCCAGCTTTCCAATGATTTACCAAATCGTTCTTCAAATGCTTTCTTAATATCTCCAAGATCAATCTCACTTCTTGATACGATAATACGTATCAATGTGCGATCTTTAGTACCGATGCCTTGCATTGCAGCATGTAATCTTTCAGCAAAGAAACCGACCTTAGATTTCACACATTTCACTGAGAAAAAAGAATATTTCATTATTTTTTTAAATATCAAATATTACAAAATATGTTTAAAGTCAATATCTTCTTTTCGATAATTATGTTTTGTATAAAAAGATATTTTGAGGTTTCTTTTTGTCTTTATCTAAAAAATATGCAGAATGTTGAAAAATTTGAATGGCATACCAATTCCTAAAAGTCCCTTTTCGATGCTTCCAGAAAATTCTTTTTTAATAGCCACTTCAATGTCATGTCCTGATATTTTTTCATACTCCAAAAAGGTTTGACGTAATTGTTGGTAACTGCGAGTTACTAGTATCATATTAAATTGAGATTCTTCTGTTCCCCATTGTTTCTCACCTTTAATAAATAAACAAATAATTTAAGAAAAATATTCGAATGTTCTAGTTCAGTAAGCTTTATTAGAAAAATGGCAGCTAATAATAATAAAAAATTAATAATAGTAATATGTAGCACAATATTGTCAAGCGTGGAAAAAAAAATGTTATGATTATTAAATTTAAAATTATTAATTCTTTCAAGCTCTATAACTATTGAATAAAAAAAAATGAATTTTTTCTTAAACGTGCACCTATAAACTATAGATCAGACAAGAAATGCCGCGAAGAAGGGAAAAAAATCCGTAGTAATCTGAATATTTAAGGGGGATAGCCACTGTGAGGATCGAAAAAGTAGGTGATTTTCGGGAATTTTTTTGACTGGAATAATAAAGGAATTTGAGGATCGGGTTTTTTTTTTGTTTTATAAAGTATACATAAAAGATTATTCTCCTAAAAAAATATCATGTTGTTACAAAGTTATTAGCATTTTTCTGGAGGAAAAATTTCCAAAAAAATTTCCCCTACTACGGTGCGAACTCTAACTAAAAAACGGATTATCTAAAAGGAAAAAACGAAACAGCGTTGTAATCTGCATGCATGTGATTGCACGTAGGGGATTTAGAAAAAAAATGACGACATTAAAAATTTTCTCATTTTTTTGGATTCAGGCAGCCCTAAAAAATCTTAAAAATCAAAATTTTCAAAATGCCCTAGGTGCAACGATAGCTACTGAATACATGAATATGGGGGAAAAAAATTGCAAATCGGTTCATATTTATGCAAATTACAGTTCCCACCAGTTCAATAAAAGTACTTTCGAGAAAAACGCGTTTTCGTCGGAGCGCCGCGTGTGAAACCGCTTATAACTTTCGAACGGTTTGACCGATTTCAAAAGGGTTATCCCCCCTTAAGGATAGCTAGCAGATTTTTCAATAAAAAATTTTTTCCTATCTCGATGCTAATTTCTTGCCTGATTTACTATGCAAAATTCATTTCATGTAATACCAAGAAGTACTTTCAACTGTTGTAGATCAATAGAAACTAAGTAATATTTACGTTTTTAACTAAATTTAATGCATACGGATATTATTACAAAAAATAATTCATATCTTATAAAAAAAACTTACGGCCAAAATTCTTCGGGTCTATCAGTGCAATAAAAATTGATTTGATCGATAGTTTGTTGATAAGTTAATACAATAAATAAAAAATAAATACCTGCGTCAAATAGAGCTTGTGCGTCAGCTTGTGCTTGGGCATAGTCAACACCTTGATTTTCATCTCGATTAGCTTGACAAAGGGAGACTAATAATCTTTTGAAATGACCTGACGTATCGTCTTTTAAGTCAGCTTCCAAGCTTTTGCCATAAACTGTGAACAAATGACATAGATTGTAGTAAAAATAATAATCACAATATTAATAATCATTAAATTTATCTCATGTTAGCGTAAAAAATTAAATTATGTATATTATGAGTTATAATAATATGAATGATATACATGAAAATTTTATTGAAGGCCAATGATGACATCATATACATTGGAAGTATGAAGTCATTTTTCATTTATAGAATTCAGGTCATTATTATCACCTATCAAAACTATAAAACTTTTATCTTTACTGGTGGCCTAATTTTTATAAGTAATTAAAAAAAAATAAGAGCTTTTAGTTTTTATGAAATTTAATATCTCTAATCAAAAACTACTTAGCCTTACTTGATAAACTTAAAAAAAAATAGACAATTTTTCTAACAAAATTTAATTCTCAAGTAAGTATAACAAAATTTTTTAGTAAAAAATATTTTAGTAAATACTTACGATTTTCATAAAATGCAGCAATAGTACGGATTCCATAATTACTTAATGTGCATAAAATTTCAACTATAGCCTCTTCATCAGTACCAAGCCCAGAAACTGCGTCATGAAGTTCTTTAGCATAGTAATGGGGCAATGGTGTCATCAATGCAATGATAAAATCTTCAAATTTTCCCGACAGTTCACTTTTTAAATCATTTATCAAATCTTTGCCATACTGTGTCTTGTAACTTTCAGCAATTTCCAAACGTTGAACTATTCCTCGTTTAGTTAAAACATCAATTATTGTTTTTTCGTCAGTACCAAAACCTTTCATAGCTTTACGAAGAATAGCTGCATCTGCATTTGCATCAAATGGTTCCGCAGGATAAACAGTCGGGGTGCACTGAAATGAATAATTTTTTTATTTAAAATAACATAACGGACGAATATTCAATCACAGTATTCAAAACTAATAAAAACGGTTCATTTTTGATAAATATCATGAATTTAAAATTAGAATAGCTGACCTACCATATTGTCATGATAATGGTATAGTTACAATAGTTAGTAAAGAGTAAAACGATATTGATAACTATGTTAGCTAATGTCTTGTGAATTTTTATTTTTTTCTTACAACTGCAGTGTAAACTCGAGTTTATATATAGATCTATGCAGTGAAATTAAAGGAACCAGGTAATTTTTTTTCTCTATACAAAGTTTTCGTTATACACAGAGTAAAAAAAAATAATACAATTTAACAAACAAGTATTTTCATTTTTAAATATCGTTTCTAGATAATGTCAAAATTTAAAACAAAAAAAAATTTATTACATTTTTTATGTGCCAGCATTTTAATTTTTTTTTTTTTCTATTTTATTCATATCGAATATAATCAAATTATCTTAATTTAATAAAAAAAAAAAAGCCTCTAATAATTTTGATAATAAAAAGTATCCAATTATCCAAAACTCCGAATTTAGGCATTTGAATTTTTAAGAAAATTTTCCATCTATCACTGCCTGAAAAATGTATTCCTTTCCTTATTCTTCTAGGTAGTAATTGCAGCTGATGCAGCATGCAATTAATGAAACTTTTTAGAAATTTATGATCGGTACGAAATATTTACGACTCTGAATTAATTACCGTATCCAAAGTAGATTATTTTGCTATTGATAGTTTCTGTTACGCTGTATAGAGTGTTTCAATATATGAATAATAATGTAAACCAAACAAACCTTGGCTGTTATTGTCAAGCTCACAAAATTTTTAAAAATAACAATCGACTGTAAAATAAATATATTTACCTTAAATGGATAGTATTGTTGAGACATTTTGATTTTTATTTCTAATTCTATTGATAGACCTGTAAAAGAAATTATAAAAACACTTATGATTCATTTTCGTAATAGACACTTATAAATAGTGAGATAATTTGACACCGAATCTTTTTAATAGGTTCTTTTAAAGTTTTATTGACTAAATGTAAATGATCAAAATGATTTATAAATATCCGACAAAACTTTAATTAAAGTTCATCACTGCTGTACAATTTATAAAATTTAACTTTTGTAACTTGATGAAATTAAAATAGAAATTGTATTAATTCAGTAAACTCACCTCTGTTGCTGTAAACGACTGAATGATTTAACTTCGACTTTGACAGCAAAATAAAGGTAATGAGTAATAAGAAATAAATCCAACCACACCCAATATATTTTACGTCTGAATACCGCTAGAGTTTATAGACAGTATAAATGATTTCTATGCAGTCTATAGTTGTATAGTTTGTGTCACACTTAAGTATAATCATCTCTGATGAGTATATTGTTCATTTCTCAATCACTTTCCTTTTCTCACTTCAACTCACAACAATAATAGAACAAACAAATTGAATTATCGGATAGCAATGGATTCCTCAAATTAGACAATGAACGTAATTAATTTTTAAATACACAAATTATTTATAGAAAACATGTCGATGTTTACGTTTTTTTTTATCCTTGCTTTATTGATAAAACAGAATATTGACAGTTGCTGTCAATTTGCTTTGCATTCGATTTGTAGGAAATAAGTGAATTAAGATGTTTATTAAATGACTTTTTCAAACACTTCAAACATCTTAATATATTAAAAATTAGGATAATTGTATTATTAAATAATTCTCCAGTGACATATTTTCATTCTAAGTCCATAAAAAAATAGTAAAGTTAGACAAGAATCAAAAAAATTTCGAAAATTCAGTATTTTCACTTACGGACGGTTTATGGTTAATTTTAAAAGTGTTTCGCTCATGTATAAGTTAAAATTTAAAAAAAAAAAACGCTTCATTCTTCGATAGATAATTTAATTCTTATATGTCTACGAACGAAGCGCTTTTTCAAAAAATTTACATTTATCAACCTTTCATTGGCGCGTCTTTTTTAGTTTCTCGCTCGCACTATAGCGAGTCTCTTATATAGTTGTTAGTCGGCGATTTGCTCTTAGCGCGATCAACGAAGGGTTAATGCTTAAGATGCGTTTTACAATTCTATTTATGACCCTGAAGTTGGCACATAGCCGACAAATATAATTTTTAGATGCAGATATCTCGAGTAAGAATGGAGCTACGGCAAATGGACGTACATGAAATTATTTGGCGCGAAAATATCTACATGTACAAAATTTTTTAAATTTCGAAAATTTTTCAAAAATTTTTTATGACCAAAAATAGTTTTTGGAAAGCTCTCAAAAAGTTCTGGATGGTCCAAATTTCTTAAAAACTCATTATTTTCACTTATTTTCAATTATTTGAATGTACATTGATTCAAAATGCGTTTTGTCTGCTAGGACCTTTGGTTCATGATAACTCCTTAAAAAATGATTTTTTTTTTTTAAATAAAAAATTGTACATACAGTTTATATGCAAATACACATGTACATTTTTTGATTTTTCTTAAATTTGAATATTTTCAAAGATATCCGTATCCAAAAATATTTTGAAATTTTTGGATACGGATATGAATTTGAAAAATAATTTTTTTTGAAATTAAAAAAAGAGTACATGTTTATTTTTACAAAATACACATGTACATTTTTTGGATTTTTTTCAAAATTACATATTTTCAAAAATATCCTTACTCAAAAATATTTTTTAATTTTTGGATGCGGATACGAATTTGAAAAAAATTTTTTTTTTTTAAAAATAGAAAAGTACTTGTGTATTTTTCGAAGGACTACATGTACATTCTTTTTTTTTGTACTTTTTCCATTATTTTCAAATATATTTCAAAATTTTTATTTTTTTTTATTTTTGTCTAAAATAAAAACTTAAAAAAAAGTTTTTTTTTTGTTTAAATAAAATATGTACTTACTCCTTTCTTAAAAATCTTCATGTATATTTTTAAAAAACACCAACATTGTCTATTATCTATGCCTAATATCTATTAATAATTATAAATAACTATTTTTTAACTTTTTAATTTAAAGTGTGCCATAGAACTATTTATTATTGCATACTAAGAATTCAAATTGCGCGGGCTCTAATCCTGAACCAATAAGAAATGAGTCGAGTTTTTATTTACAATTGTTCGTGTAAATTCAATGAGTGATATTTTGCACGACTCTCCCTTAAAAATATTTTTACATTATAACGAAATTATTTATTCACAAATATGTAGAGGTATTTTTTTTATTTATCTAAAGTATTAAATGATTTTTATAAACTTAAGAAATTAACATTCGGCTGAATTATTTAAATTTTCGCGGTCATAACAAACAAGATGGCAGCCTCATGATGCGCCATCTGCGCCGTGTGGTAACGGTCATAATTTTAAATTTTCAAAGAAATATTTAGTAATTGAATCCAATGTTTATAAGTTGATTATCATCATTTACTCTTAATTGTTTTCAATTAGTGATTGTTTAGTTGTTGATTTTTTTGAGTGTTCCGTGAACGTTATAATTTAAAAATTTATTTATAATGAAGTTTGACGAAGAAAAAGTTCTGAATGGTTTATTAAAATTCGTTGACAATTTAGATGAAATTGGTGAAAGTCCAGTGAAAAACAAGTTTCTTTTTGTGAACCTTTGTGAATATTTATGTTTAAGGAAAAGGAATGATATTTACTTGTTTCGGACTCGTTTGCATTTTTATTGGATGAGAAATGAAAACAGTTTAGTAGACAAATTCGAAAAACTCTTGAAAAAAAAATTGTCTCATGCTTCTCCGATTTAAATTAATAAAGGCAACGATCTGGAGGAATTAACGAAACAACTGAGCACCAGTTCTATGACTGATGAATCAGCAGTACCGGATTCACATCAATTAAAACATGTCCCTAAGAAGCGATACAATTATCACCTGGTCGGATCAGTGGAGGTTTGCTCATCTGAAATCGTTAAAAATGAAGCTGTGTCACCACCCTTATATCGTCAATACTTAATCGATAATTTACCAAAGAAATTGAACATCACCTGTGTCATGATATTCCACGGCTATACTCCTAGCAAAAATAATACTTTTAGAGACTACGCTCATTGCAAGCAGCCTAATTGTAATGTGCGATTTATAGTGAGAGGAATGACTGTAAATTTCACAACAAAAATCTCCATCTTCTCTACTGATAATACACCGAATCATACACAGTTTCTTGCATATGCATTAACAAACAGCCGTCGACAAAAAATTAAGGAACGTTTACGATTTGCTAATCCAAAAACCATCCATAATGAGCTGATGAATAAAATGGACGAAGATCTTGCTCGTAAAGAGAAGAACTTCCAATCTGCTCATTCCCTTGAAGTTCTCCAAAAAGCTCGTTCGGAGTTGAATTGCGAGAAAACTCGTCATCGAGATGATTGTGCTGATATTTCATTAAGACTTACTGAAACTAATAACAGTCATCAGTATATCAGACAATTTACATTCCCACCATTCATTGTCTATTTAGGGATTGATGAGCAAGTAGCAATGCTAAAAAAATACATTGGTTTGCTAATACTCCATTTAGACTCCACAGGTTCAGTTGTCCGGAAGCTTTCTAAAGAATCAAAAAGAGTTAATTATTACGCTGGGGTAGTAAATATTAATCACCGTATTTACCCCGTCTTAGAAATGATCACGAACGATCAATCTGCTGACAATATTGGCAAATTTTTATCTTTTTTCAAATCCCTTTGGAACTCCAATAAGTTGAAGTGGCCTATATTTGAAGCTGTGGTCACTGATTGGTCTTGGGCTGAAGTCAACGCCGTACTTTATCACTGGAATGATTGCTCAGTATCCCAGTATTTAGAGATGGCGTATGATGCAATCACGTCAAAAACCACTGAAGGAATCCATCACGCCTCTTTTTTTTTGCTATCCTCATGTTATGAAAATGGTCTCGAGATATTTACATAAAAAAAATGTAAATAAAAAAATGACTAGTTTTTGCTTGGAGATTATGGCCGTCTTAATCCACACTACAGATTATAATTTGCTAAAAAAAACTGTAGAAAATTTATTTATAGTTCTTTTATTTTCAAAAAAAGAAAAAAATTTTTTGCAAGCAATGGAAGAATTATTAAAAATACAAAATAATCAAAGAGATAACTTACCTCTTGGACGAAGATGGTTCTGATGATGACTCTGATGATGACTCTAACGAAGAAGAACAAAAGCCAGCTGATGCGAATCCAAGATCCAGTCCCTTCAAAGAAGATTTTTTACGAATTAAAGCCCGTGTCGAAGTCCTTGCCAAAAAATGCCGAGGAAATGATCCAAAAAACAATTATCAATGCTTGGAATTTGTTAAATATCTCATTGATGAGTTGTTACCAGATCTTCCGTTTTGGTCTGTACTCTTAAATAAGAGAAAAGAGCATTCTTCTAACAGCACGGCGGAAAATCATTTTAAACAGGTCAAATCGGAGCATGAACTTGATCTCAAACCAGGAGTTTTTATTGACAAACGTTTTTTGGCGATAAAAGCAACTTACAAACAATTAGATTTGCCGAAACCTGTTGTCTGTTCCAAGAAGCGATCCGGGCCTATAATTAATGAACCAGACAACATGTTATCAGAAGAATCTTGGAGAGATAGTAAAAGACAGCCGAAAACATCAAGATCTAACTATCAGAAAACAAAAAGATTAAAAACCTCCTGCAGCATTGAAGTGAAAAAAGCTGCTCTTATAATTAATGAAAAGAATTCAACAATTGAAAATGAGGGATATTATTTTATTAAAAATAATAAAAGAGATTATTTTGTTGCATATAATAAAGATGTAAATGATGAAAATAATAATGTCTATTTATATGGCAATGATTTTAAAACCCTCTACGATACGGAGTGGTTAACGAACTTCATTATAGACTATTGCAGTAATATGTACATTTTGGAATCACCAAAATATAGTGAAGTGGCGTACGTATCTTGTGAGACTAGTCTAATTGTGCTGAATGGCTGTAAAAAAGTAGAGAATTATTTTTTTGTTAATTTGAAAAAACTATTGCAAGATAAAAATGAATTCTTCTTACCTCTGAATGTAAATAGTAGTCATTGGGTCCTTATTTATGTTCAAGTATTATATGGTTTCTTTTATTATATAAATCCTAATTGTAAAAATGATAGTTGTCCTGAGTACTTCGAAAATTTCGTTGATTGTTACGAATTAATTTTTCCTGACAGTGAAGTTGATTGGAGTATTCAGAGAATTCAGTATCCATGCCAGCAAGACAATTTTAATTGTGGTGTATATGTTATTCATTATATCAGAGAAATCTTAAAAGACAATGTATACACAATTAATGATTTAAATCCTAATGATCTTCGAAAAAAATTGCAAGTCGACTGCATTGCCAAGTCATCAGATGTTCTGAACCGGTGTTTAGTGTGTGGTCGAGGGGAAATAAGGACTGAAAAAAACTGGGTCTGCTGTGACACTTGTCAAAAATGGTGCCATTTAGGTTGTGCGAACTTAAAAAATAAAAAAATTAAAGAAATTGAAAAAGAAGATTATAATTATAATTGTGATTTGTGTCGTGATTGGTTGTTTAAAAAATAAACCAATACATGTGAAAAATATAATACTTGTTCATGTTTGTAAATAAATAATTTCTTTTTATTGTAAAATACTTAAAATAAGAAAAAAAGGTTATTTAATTTAAGAAGTTAAAAATAAATATTAGTGTTAAATTATTTACTCAGCCTAATGTAATATGTAAATAATATAATACTTGTTCCCGTTTATAAATAAAAAATTTTACTTTACTGTAAAAATACATAATAAAAAAAGTGTATTTAAATTTAGAGGTTAAAAACAAATATTATTAGATAATAACTCAGTCTAATGTAATTACTTGAATATGTAAATAATATAATACTTATTCCCATTTATAAATAAAAAATTTTATTATTTAAAAAATACATAGTAAAAAAAGAGTGTATTTAAATTGAGAGGTTAAAAACAAATATCGTTTGATAATAATTAACTCAGCCTAATTGTAATTACTTAAGTGTATAAAAAATATAATACTTCGACATATTTGTAGATAAAGAATTTAACTATATCGCAAAAATTTTCTCAAGAGAGATTCGTGCAAAAAGTGCAAAATATCACTTATTACAGTTACATAAACATAATTGTAAATAAAAACTCGACTCAAGCTGTAAGCAGCTGAAACTATTACTACTCCCACATTGCTACTCCTATATTCATGTGACGAATGGCGCATTATGAGGCTGCCATCTTGTTTGTTATGACCGCGAAAATTTAAATAACTCAGTCGAATGTTAATTTCTTAAGTATATAAAAACCAATTAATACTTTAGATAAATAAAAAAAAAAACACCTCTACATATTTGTAAATATAGTTATTTATAATTATTAATAGATATTAGGCATAGATAATAGACAATGTTGGTGTTTTTTAAAAATATACATGAAGATTTTTAAGAAAGGAGTAAGTACATATTTTATTTAAACAAAAAAAAAACTTTTTTTTAAGTTTTTATTTTAGACAAAAATAAAAATTTTGAAATATATTTGAAAATAATGGAAAAAGTACAAAAAAAAAAAGAATGTACATGTAGTCCTCGAGATATCTGCATCTAAAAATTATATTTGTCGGCTATGTGCCAACTTCAGGGTCATTTCTATTTATTATACAAGTGTGACAGAGATACCTCCATTTGTTCAATAGAAGGCGAGAAAGAAGAGAAAACGTGCAAACCGCTCTTACACAAAAAAAATATTTTCGAAACAATCAATTGTTACCAATGATTTAATTTCACAAAAATGATTATGTATCTATAGTGGAAAAACATTCAAAAAAAATTTTTATTTTTTCTTCAGAGAGAAATTTTACTTTTAATTATTCTTTAATTAATTTTTATTTGATACCTGATAAAAGGTAATAGTTATAATTTTTATCAGCCATCAAGCCACTAAGTCACTATAGCCACTGTCACGCATGCGCTTTGAATGTACATTTATATTCTATAGAAATTACTAGTTTTTTATATATTTTCCCTGACTCGTTAGAGTTTTGTCCAGCAATTCACCATCTTGGAATGTATTTAAGTAGTAGTAAATTGATATTTATTATTTATCAAACAAGTGTCAATAGTTAACTTGAATAAAATAATTTCGTGTAGGTAGATAAAATAATAAAATTATGATATATTTATATAAATAATTCATATAAATATATCTCTCATAGTAAAATAATAACACAGTGTAAATCAAAATAACCAATAAAATTTATTTTATGTATAATTTATTTCTACATATGATTGTACATGTGTATATAATATTTTATATGTAAAACATAATTTTGTAATAATATTCATTTATTTAAATTTTAATTGAATCAAAGTTTAGCTAAAATACTAAAATATGATTCTGTGATAGTGTTATGAACATTTAAGTCACAAAATGACAGAAGGGTGGACTTGATTTTAAATGAAATAGTCTATACATAATTGTTATTGTATACCTTATATTTATTGTAAAATATATATAATAATCTAGTAATAATGGGTAAACAAAATGGGTCATGTTGGTGGTGTGTTAAAGCATTTAAATGGATACCAGTTATTTTTATTCTTACAATTGTGTTCTGGTCTTATTATGCGTATGTAGTACAGTTGTGTTATTGTAAGTATTTTAGTATTCATATTATATATAAATTAAAATAATAAACATGATTTATTTATTTGTTTTTCTTTTTTTTTTTTTAGATACTATTGATAGTTACCTTCAAAAGAGTAAGTAATACAAAAATTAAAAAATACTTTGTAATGATTTGCTTCTTGAAATTTTTTCGTTGTACATACAACAAATACAAATAAAGTAGAATATTCCTAATTCTATTTGTTGAGAAACAAGTTAAAAGCAATACTAAAATAAATTCAACATCCAACAATTGAAACCAATAAACTGATAACAAATATGATAAGTTATTATTTACTTTTTTAGTTAAAAATTTTCAGTCTCAAATAAGACATGTTTTTTTAATAAAAATTAGACTCATAAGCGACTCAATATTTAAGTTAAATCCATTACAAAGTTTAAGATGTTAATCATTAATCAATCAATTTAATATTTAATTTTTATATTAACTTGATCTTCAACTTTTATTTCAGCTTTATACCTGATATTTTTTCATATATTCATCGCGATGTTTTTGTGGTCTTATTGGAAAACTGTCTTTACAGATTTAATTTCTGTTCCTGAAGTGGTAATTTTTAAAAAATTTATTGTATTATATGGGTAACGTAACATAATATTCTCAGACAAAATACCCAAACATCAATACTTCAGTAACTAATTATCGCAGAAAAAATTAAAAGGTGGTTTCAAAAACTACTACAAATTATCTATTACAAGAATCTGCCATCGTTATTTGAAAAAGAAATTTTTTCTATCCTTTACATCAGTACGGGTATTTTTTCTGTGGGGCTTTTGTCGTAACACCATTATATGTTACGTATTCATAAAAATCAGTACAAACCAATTATTGTTATTTATTTTATTTTTTTAAATTATAGTTTAAAGTACCTCTGTCAGAAGTTGAGAAGCTCCAACAAGCACAAAGTGAAGAAGCGCAATGTGCAATACTTGAAAGACTCGGACAAAATTTACCCGTTTCTAATCGAACAATTAGAGGAGGTAAATTTGAAATTAGAAATACTTATTTATTATTTATTTATTTAAAAAGTTATTAGAGTTATATTATACATAGATAATAAACTAGAATTGAATTTTTTTTTTAGATTTTTCTAGATTGATTTTTAATGAATTGAGAATAACAGTATAAAGATTTACAAATTTAAAAAAAAACTCAATCGGAGCCTTACATCCACATTGTGTGAATTTTACAGTGTTCCTTTGAGTTTGAATAATGCGCTGATAGAAATATTAACTTGGATCAAGAAATTTTTCTTGGTTTAAGTAAAATTTATTTGGGTCTAGAATTTATCTGTTTATCTTAAAACTGAAAATTTTTTCAAAAGATTTTATTGTCTATCAATGTGGCGTCTCAATAATAATGAAATAATAATCATTGAATTTATGATTACAGCGATTCGCTTTTGCGACAAGTGCCAGTTAATAAAACCTGATCGTGCTCATCATTGCAGCGTATGCCGCGCATGTGTATTAAAAATGGATCATCATTGTCCTTGGGTCAACAATTGCGTAGCCTACCACAATTATAAATTTTTCATATTATTTTTGGGTTATGCGTTAATTTATTGTGTATTTATTGCCAGTACGACGTTGCAATATTTTATACACTTTTGGAAGGTAATTTTATAGATAATATAATAGGGTTCATTTGAAATGACAATTTTTATTTTTCGCTACTGTTAAATGTTGTTCTGAAATCCTGTCAAAATTTGGGCCTTTAATTTTAATTTTAAGGGCTTTACGTGAGTTGGAATAAGATTGTTAAAGGGTCTTTTAAAAAGCGTTAAATTTATTACAAATAACAGTTTTCATCATTATGATAGCTCAAAATCAGGCAAAATTGTAGAAATAAAAAAAAATGATAATTGACTTACATGATTTTTTAGAACAATATTACACAGTTTCGGCGAAAAAAATAGTCGTTTCAAAAATGAAACACGCTAATAAATTTAAATATATTGTCATAAATTACTTTAACAATATTACATTACTTCTATAGAATTAACTAATATTATTTTGTTTACAGGGTGAATTAGATGGTATGGGAAAGTTCCACATATTATTTTTGTTCTTCATCGCTCTTATGTTTGCAGTCAGTCTGAATTCTTTGTTTTTTTACCATTGTTACCTCATTTTACATAATCGATCAACATTAGGTAAATTAAATCTTTCTCTTTTTTAGCATATGACTGCATACATAATTTTTTACTTTTATTATCAATTATTTATTACTATTACAGAAGCATTTAGACCACCCATGTTCCGAATGGGCAAAGATAAAGATGGATTTAATATTGGAAAATATAACAACTTCCAAGAAGTGTTTGGTGAAAACAAAAAACTTTGGTTTCTTCCTATTTTTACAAGGTATGTTTTGTTTTGTTATCAAATTTTTACGCTTTTTAATCAATATTTTGATTAACTTGTTTAATAAAACGTATGTGATGAAGCAGGCTAATATGTTAACAAATTTTTTTAATCTCACGCAAAAATATTAAAGTTTGGTAAAGAAAAACAATTGACTGTAAAAAATTGATTTGATAAAAAAAAAGGAATTTTTTCAAACTAGACTACTTGCTATGTTTAATTACTACAAGTTATAAAGTTTATCAAAATAAATTTTAAATAAAATTGTTTATTTGAAAGAAACTAGAATTCTTTCAGTGAGCTTTAGCTTTTTCATTAATTTGAGGGATTAGACTACTCTGGGCGTAAAAAATGGCTATTTTTACATTTTTTTTTAGCTTTTATTACAGCAAAAATATGTAGTAAAAATTAAATTATGAGGTGATTATAGTTCAAGACGAACTTCTGCATTTTAGTAATATGTGATTAAAATTTAAAACCGATCGGTTCTGTGGTCTCTAAGAATTAGCTCATTTAAGGCTAAAAATGTTAAAAATATTCAGAGATTATATTTGGAAATATTAGCTTTCAGAAAATTTAAAGAAAGTATCGATTTTTTTAAAGTTTCACAGTAGACTAATTCTTCTAAGTGTAATTTCATCCTCGTTCAACATCTCCGATATGGTGTACTGGTTAGCATATCTGGCTTTCACCCAGAAGATCCGGGTTCGATTCCCGGTATCGGAAACTTTTTTTTTTTTTTTGTAGAATTGTAAAGATTGATTTCGTTCAAACAATATCTTTCAACTGTGACGATCAATAAAAAAATATTTCTTCATATTTTATTAACTTTTAATTATAAAAACAATCGAATTCCGTTAAAATCAACTACAACAAAACTCCTACGAGGTCTAAAGATAGAGAGGGAAGGCTATTCTCGTCTTCCTCTAATTGTGTACTGATAAACAATTAAAAAAAAAGACAAAAATAGCTTTCCCTCTTTCTTTTTAACGTCGAACTTATAGGAGTTTTACTAAGTCATAACAAATAATTTCGATTTTTCGTAAAAATTTGTTAAATAAGATGTACATTTCATTAAATTAGAGTACAGAAAATAATTGAAAAAAATATTAATTCGATAATCATTATAATAGATTTTCCAATTATTAAATACAAGTTATTGAATTTAGATGTAGAATAAAAATCGCGATTCTAAAATAAGAAAACAAATCACAACAATAATCTTCCACAAACGAACTCCTGCTAACTATTTTTGAACATGTTAAGTTAATGAGATATAAATTAACATTACTAATTATAAGATCACAAATAAAATTTTGGGTTGATCGTTTTTTTATCGTATATATAACTTAATATTTCATTTGTGATTTCGTACCATCAATTAAAGTTATTTTTTTTACTAATAATTATTAGTAAATTATAATTCAGATACCACATAATTCATAAGTACATACGTAATTTTACTTAAAAAGGTATTGCGGCAAGAAAAAGACACCAATAGGTTATGGCTATTGGTTTCTTTCTCACGCACTAGTGCTGCCTCTCTTTACAGACTATCGCTCACTTACTTCCACTCACGTAAAATATCGAAAGTTCCTAACTTCAAACATTTCTTATAAAAAAATGAATACCGCTCGTTTGTGTTATTTTTGATAAAAAATACTTGTTATAATTTCAATTAAATATTCTCAATTTTTCAAAAAAATCCTGAGAAAAGTATGGTTGTTATTCAATAAAATGTTCACTCTAACTACGGTCAGGATAGGATCGGATAGAATAGGATTAGGATAGGATAGGTCAGGATAAGGAATACATGTTAAATGTACGATTTTTAATTGCTAATATTTCAAAAATTAGCACCGCAAGGACTATTAAAAAAAATTTATTCATATAGAGGACACTTAAAAGTACGCGTATTCAAAAATTGAAGAATATTTTAAGAAAAGTGATTTTGCACAGTACCTCCTTAATACAAAAAGATGTTTCGTTGAAGCATTTGAAGACAAAATTTAAACGATAAATTAAAAAATTTTGAGAAAATTCATAACATCCGGAATGTTATCAAATAGTTTTCGGTTGATTTTAAGTCTTTGTTTTAAAAAAGAAGTGTGAAATTTAAATGCACATAACATAAAGAACGTTTTTTCTTTTTAATTTTCTTAAGAATGTAATAAGCAAATAAATCGAAGTTATTGAAATTGCAAGATTATGGCATCCTTAAATACCTTCTTGTGAGATATCAGATGCATTAAAATTATCTCAATTTTAAATTGGTCCCGCGAAATCTGGGAAAATCGGCAACCCTATATAACAACTTATAAAGACGGCAATCCAACAATCCGTTTCAGTCTTTATTAACCGTTTTGACTTATATTAGTGTTTCATTTGTTGCTTAACTATTGAATTTTCCCCTACTGAATATTTAAAGCATAATTAAACCTTTTTTTAACAGTCAATGGTGTATAAAGATTTAATAGAGCTGTGAAATTTATTACAAAATAATATGTAATACTTTTTCTGTGAGATTAAAAATAAAATACTTTTTATATCACCTGTATTGAAACTTCGGGTTTCAATGTCTGTTAGCCAGTCATAAAAATAAGATAATTTTACACCAATGCAAATTTTTGCTGACAGAAACGGATTAGATTTTTTCTTATGAAAAAAACTCGTTAATTTTTGTCAGCAGTATCATATGGTTTCTGAATAAATGAATTTCTGCTTCGTCAATCAGATTCGTTTTGTATGACTTTTAAAATAAATAACTTGGTAGTAGATCTTCTTTCGGTATTATGTATCTCAGTTTGACTGGTTGCAAACATTGCACACGTAATTTTCATAGGTAATATAAAAAATATTAATAGCGTATAGCACGAAATGTTTCATTTCTTACCATACAATTTATTGATCGTTTGCGCAAAAAATATGTAAATAAGATTTATAAATAATATAGTTTTTAAATCTTCGTCATAGGCATGACTTGCTTTTATTATTTAGTAAGTACATATGGTATCATGTTAAGTTTTTGTTTAAATAAAAAAAATATATATATATACAATACCGACAAAAAGTTTTCGGACAAGATGAAAATTTATTAAAACGATTATTAAAAGTAAAATAAATCAAGAAGAAAGTCAATGACACGATCGTACACACTTGGTAAAATAAAATAGCATTTTCTTTATAGATCAAGTTAATTTGTTTATATATCATATTTAAATTAAAAAGTAAACAATAAGGTTGTCCGGAAACTTTCCGTCGGTACTGTATAAAGAATATTCCTTTTCATATGGGTGATTAAGAAATTCTAGCTGAAAATAAATAATAATTAAGTAGAAATAAAAATTTTAATTTATCAAAAAATTTAGTCGAGCCAATTGCACAATACCCTTTCATACAAAATGTTAACTGTTAAAACAATAACTATTTATAGAAAGTTAAATTTTTATTTTCAATACAATGCTATTACTATTTGACTGAGTAATTGTTCAGGATCGCAAATAATTCATTTTTTTTTTTTTACCTGAAACGTAGGAAAAATTGATATAAAAATATTTCAGGTTTTTCAGATAAGTAAAACATTAAAAATTGAATTTGATAAAATTTTCCGTTGTTTTATTTATTTATTTATCAACAGCTTTCGGTGATTATTAATTATTTATTATATACAATATGTAAAGAAATCTTTGAAATTTCCTATTTTTTAGCTTTTTGTTTTTTAATTTTCGGTTTAACTTACCGTTTTTAATTTAAAACTAGAGTAACAAAAACTTATTTCTGGCTTAGTTATAAAATGTCAAGGTGCATTCAAGATCATTGGATTTTTTGTACTACAATTAGTTAATTGAATACTTGCGAAATAAAACTGACAAGGGGTGAGACAACGCTCACTAGAAGTAATCTATAACCACATGGTTGGTGTAATGAAAATGATCGCCAATAAGTTCAAATAGATGGCTTTCGACGCTCACTACTGAGTTTGAGTTAAACGCATCACGATTAAGTTTAAATTCGCTACGATCAAGCTCACAAGGGCCATAAAAATAAAATGTTGGGGAAGAAGACGGAAGATATGAGATAAAATTCGTTGTTAATTGTTTTTATGAAAATTAAATTTTTCATTTTACTTTTAAAAAATAACAATGATTATATACAATAGTTTGTTAAATATGCGAAATTAAACTGTTAAAATGAATCCCGAGGCGAAAAGTTTGAAGCTGGAATAAAACTGCTAAATCTGTTGACAATAAATTTTGCGATCTTAAAAATTATGCAGTTTAAAAACATATTTTCAAAATTGAAATTGAATTGTACTTAAAAGTTCTGAAACGGCTTTATTATAGTCAAGTGCATCTTAAGAGAAATTTTGCATTTCTGTTACAACTCATGAGTCTCTATAGAGATATGTCTATAGAGATATATCTTCCAAAAAGTGCATACGTTACAAAAAAAAATTTTCAAATATTTCAAAATATTTACAGTATACCTACTTGTACAATTTTAAAGTTGATCAAATTAGCTATGCATAATTTTTACATAAAATTTTCAAAAAATTTATCAAAAACAATTAAAAAATAAAATTTCAAATCAGATTAATTTTTTAAAAATTCGTTTCTCATGATCGGTTGGTAAAAAAAAAAAAAAATTATCGATATCTTTTTCAAGAAGTATAAAATGATAGCCAGACATCAGCTGAATCGGAGTTTGGAATTCAACAGTAGGATGATTTTGCATAGAACAACGCCTCATTTAAACATCGAAGGTTCTAAAATTACAAATTAAAGACGCTTAGTCTAAATTATGTACAGAAAATGCCCAATAACTTTCAACTTATAAATCTAGTTTTATTTAATTAGACTGCAAAACAGCTTAGTTTGAGGTTTATGATAATTCAGTTTCAAAAGATTAACGTAAAGCTCAATTTAAATTGAACAGTTTCAAGTCATGCTTAAAATTTTTGCCTCGGGTAGAACTAGAAAGAAAAACTTTGGAAATTAAATTCTAGTCTTGGAAATGGAGTGGTCTATCCAGTACGCGCGCAACATCAAGGTCCGAGTACATACAACTCAATGGGAAATACGCAAAACAGGTTAGCATAATTTATAAACAAAAAAAAATAACTCGCGCTCTTTGGTTTTGTTTATGTTGTGTTTTTGAATAAAAATTTTTTGTGTGTTATTAACAAATAAATTGAAAATTAAAAAGCTTAATATTGACAGCAATCCAAAAATCCAAAAGCTATTACATATATAACATTAAATATAATCGCGTTCATTAATTCGAATCAGTTTTATGTTTAGGTATTTATGGCCATCCCTATATTTGGAGGTTTGTAAAATCTAAAATTGGAAAATTTTTAATTTAGCTGTTTATAAAGTAAAGTAAACGTAAAAAATGATAATATTGAAATAATAAAAATGTAAATTATGTCTAAAGTAAATTAAGCGTGTAGGAAAACATGCAAATAGAAAAGACAGCCAACTGTAAAAATGAAAAATCTCTTAATAAATTCAATTGTAAAATCAGAAATTAAATAAAAAAAGAATTTATAAAATGTCACAAGTCTGAAAATTACCAAATAAAAAAAAAGAAATGAATAATCTAAAATAACGTAATATTAATAAAGAGGTTATTTAAAAATATGATCTTTAAAAATTGAAAAATCATAAATATTGCAACTTTAAAACTTTACTCTTTGAATTTAACAAATACAAAATTTTATAATCATTAAAACTGGCCGATTCTAGATCACCTCGTTCCAAATTTTTAACTTCCCGCTAAGAAAATCGAAGATTTTCAAAAATCGGGAAGTTATTGTTTTCACCCCGTTTTGTAAAAATCGAGTTTTCATCAGATCTCGACATTTGAAGGTCATAGGAAGCTTCCCTGACTACTCCCGCGAAGTTGTCACGGAGTGTGTGTGTGTGTGTGTGTGTGTGTGTGTGTGTGTGTGTGTGTGTGTGTGTGTGTGTGTGTGAACCGCTTATAACTTTTGAACGGAAAATCCGATTTCATCGCGGTTGGTGCCATTTAAAAGGGCTTAATCAAACTTAGATTTTGAGTATAATTTAGACCGATTCGAACCAGTAGATTTTGAGAAATCTCGAAAAAACTACAAAAAAAAAAATTTTTTTAATGTGGTTTTTTTGGAATTACTTTTAAATGGCTTCACCGATCAATTCCACAAACTAATCAACTCTGTACAATAAAAAAACAACGTCGATCGCCACCAAGCTGGTCAAAATCGGTTAATTCGTTCGAGAGATATCGTAAACGAAAGAAAACCGAAAAAAGTGTTTTTTCGAAATTACTCCGAAATTTTTGGTTCGATCAATTAAAACCTGAAAATTTTTCATGGGGCTGATAAAACTGCGTCGAATGCCGCCAATTGCGTGAAAATCGGTTGATCCATTCAAAAGTTATTGCGGTTTGAAAATTCTAAAAGTAGTGTTCTATGAAACTTCTGTCAAACTTTTGAGCTCAAAGAGCTCAAATGCATAGAAATACTATCTCTTTGAGCTCAGCGAGCTCAAAATATCACATAAATTATATTTTGAGCCCAAAAATCTCAAAAACGTCATAAGTACAATTTTAAGCGCCCAGGTATGGAATTAGCGGGAAGTTGCAGGGATGGCCTTTAGGGTGAACCGTTTTACTAATTTTTTTTATTGAAATTTTAACGAATCAATTTTTGAAGTACTCTAAAAAATTAAATTTTTATATTTTTAGAAGAGTTTAGAATCGGCTGATTTCTCGAATTACCGAGTTTAGAATCGGCCAATTTTAATGATTATAAAATTTTGTATTCGCTAAATTCAAGGAGTAAAGTTTTAAACTTGCAATATTTATGACTTTCCAATTTTTAAAGATCGTATTTTTAAATAACTTCTTTATTAATATTACGTTATTTTAGATGTTCAAATCTTTCATTTATTTAATTTTTAATTCATCCAATTTATAATTATTTCTTTTTTTTTTTATTTGGTAATTTTCAGACTTGTGACATTTTATAAATTCTTTTTTTATTTAATTTCTGATTTTACAATTGAATTTATTTAGAGATTTTTCATTTTTACAGTTGGCTGTCTTTTCTATTTGCATGTTTTCCTACACGCTTAATTTACTTTAGACACAATTTAGATTTTTATTATTTCAATATTATCATTTTTTACGTTTACTTTATTTTATAAACAGTTAAATTAAAAATTTTCCAATTTTAGATTTTGCAAACCTTCAAATTTAGGGATGGTCATAAATCCCTAAACATAGAAACTGACTCGAATTAATGAACGCGATAGTATACTTTATAACATAACTATAATTAAGTTAGAAATTATTGCATGGCGACTGATTATTATTTTACTGAGAACACTGTAATTCCAAGTAACACTAATCATTGAAAGTTAAATTGAGACAGTATAAATATTCATCTAACAAGTTTGAATGTGATGAACAATTTCGAACATGTAATGACAGCTACAGGTTGAAAATTTCTTCAATAGCCTAACTGTCAAAAAACTTGAATTTCTTGAATTTCTTATGACCGTACATTCGGGCCAAAAAAAATCAAGATTATCTTTGAATGAGTATCAATAAACATATCATAGTTCTAGCTCTAATAAGGTATTTATCTTAAAATACCTATTTATTTACGATCAACTCTTTTTTTCATGCTAAATACTAAGTTACAATCACAAAAGCTTATTATACCAAATAAAGTAGACTTGGAAAGAAAATACTACAAATACTATAGAAAATACTAGAAAATACTATAAAGCATAGTCATACTACTCTATGAGGAATATGAAGAAATATGAATTTTTATGATTTTCAAAATTTTGGAATCCTGGCATTTCTAAATTACTTGACCGATTAAGCTCATCTTCGAACTTGACTTCGGCATTTATCTGTAGAATAAGTATGTTGAGTTTGGTAAAGATCCGTTGTAAATTGGTAACGCTATCGTCGTGACAAGCCGCGTTATATCGTGTATATATATATATATATAAACTTTTGAACCATATGTATTTTCTGACTCAGCTCGTCGAGTTAAGTCGGAATATAGCAAAATTTTTCAAAAGTTGCGTCATGAAGACCATGGCAATAGTTAGATTTCTATGAAATCTACTAAAAAGGGTTTCTTAATAATATTCAAATATGAAAGTAAATTTTTTGGTATCCTGTGTAGTGCAATAGGAGTCTTAAAAATTCGAACTTTGAAATAAAAATTTTCCAAAAATGCATTATTCATAAATTTTATTTCTCACTGTTTGGTACAGAATTATAGAAGAATAATTTGCATAGATTTTAATAAAATATTAATAAAATGCACCCGGTGGTACAGCTACCTTAATAATACTTATATTAAATAGTAGATTCAGTGGAAAAAATTAAAAAAGTTTGAGAATAATTAAAAAATCTACAGTAAGCCATTGCCAAGGAGTAAAATAGAAAAATATAGAAGAACTTTTGAATTTCAATTGTCTAACTAACTTTCAAAGATTGGTGTAATAAACATCAAAATAAAGAAATTTTTAAATTAATACATTTAAAAAATTTGAATGATCTAGAAGCCATGCTCAAATTGATTCTTTTGCTGTAGAATAACTTTATATTATTCTATTGTAAATGAATAAATCAATAAAAAAAATTGAGTGATTGAACACGATTCAGTTTCTGGCTCTCAGTTTTATTCTGAACTACTTAATAAATTACACAAATACTTTATTTCATATTTTATTAATAACAGTTACTACAAATTACTTTATCAATCCTCAGTTATTGTTCTGTTATATTTATTAGTTTCATTGTTGTTATTTATGGTCACTTAACAGACCATTTAAAAGTCGAAAATTATCTTAGAATTTTCGAGGATCAAAAACTGGGTCTTTGTTCAGTAAACATCAATGTTCAAATTATTCATTTTATTCAATTTATTTACATTTTTTAATCATTACGGAATAAATGGACAGAACTATCAATTTTTATTTCAAGTTAAATAGTTAAATCTTGAAAATTTGTTCTAATAAAACCTGAACTCTCCAGCTTAAAAAAATCAGAAACAGGGTAAATCATCTGATATGCATGAGCATGATTATTGTTTCTCAAAGAACCAAATTTCAATGAGTGTTAAATTTCTACTTAAAATGCTTCGCATTCTTCTAAAGTTATTTTTTTTTCTTTAATTTATTTAAAAAATCCTTTAGTGTAAAACTTTTCTGTGTTAGACAGTTATAAAAGTTATAAAAAAATTGTTTAAATTTAGAAATGAAAAGTAGACATTCATTTCCTATAGTTATAGTGTATTAAAATTTATACGGCCTCAATTACACTTATATGGAGAATTTGAATCATAAATTATCAATTAGAACTTATTTAATTTCCTCGTCAAAGAGTGTAGGTAATTCAATTTAATCCTTAGTTTTTTCGTTCTGTAATCTTTATTTCTGTATATCTATTTATTTTTTGATCTTTAAATAACTAAAGCGTTAAAAAAGTTTACCAATCAAGTAGAATATATACCTATATATAATAATATTATGATACATGTATGTATTACTGTAAATTATTATTATTATTATTATTATGTTCAAAAAAATGCAAAATAAAATAGTTTCTCAGTAAACGTCTTTGTTTGAAATCAGAATTTGATAGGTATTGTGCATCTGGTTCTCCACTTTAAAATAAAATTTACTAGTCAACTCTTCAGCACTCACATCAACTTTTCGGTAATCTTCACCGTAAAAAGTCATGAGCAATTTGCTAATGCTCTACTTTCATACTATACTAAAAATACACAAATGTCTTTGACATCAGGAATCAATCTTGCAATTTTTACACTAACACCATAGGTCTCATAATTAGCGAAATACTCACATTTTCTGGAGAGTAAGAAATCGGCGAGTCTCGATGGTTTTGCAGTGAAACTTTACTGAATCAATTAGGTAGTAAGGATGATGGTCACTTAAATTCATTTATCTAGACAGTGAATACGGATCATGCCATCGTATTTTTTTGTAGTACTGTTAAATTTTGCATTTATTTTGTATTTAGCGAAAATGTGCGATTAAGTAAAACATAGGTCAATTCCATGTTCGTTTAACGACATTTTGTCGGCGACCCTCTGATTATTATTTATTTTTTTAATATATAGAGATATTCTTGAAGTAATTATATTTTTGACACGAATCAATATATTCTAACTTTGTGAGATGTCATCCTTTTTAAATAAAATTTTAAAAATTTAAGAAAAATTTATTTGCAATGCTTTATAGTTTTAAAAAAAAATGGATTTTCTTTCTGTGGAACACTTTAGATTTTTTCAAAAAATCCAATATGCAAAAACAAAATGGTTAAGCTTTCACCAAAGTAAGAATTTAATAACTTCTAATTAAAAAAAAAAAATGTTTACTAATTTATTTTCGATTTATTTTTAATCTCGGGTCACATTAATCAATTTTAATAATATAAAAATGAATTTCTTTATTCTTCTGAAATATTTTCACTGAAAAATATAATTATTAACACCAAAAATATTAATGTATTAACATATGTAGTAACATATATATTATGTTATTCGTTTCTTTTTATTCAACTGATCCGTATCTAAATTCAAATATTTTAATTGTTATAATCTACGAAAATGTCATTGATAGTGTACTCAAGTTTTATAATTTACTGAAATGAAATAACTTTAGTTGTGAGGTTGTTGTAATTATACATTAATTTTCACATTGTTTTGTTGTCAATGTTTATTATCGATGAAATTTTCGTGGATAGAAAATCAGCTAACTTAAATACATACCATAGTTCACAGATGACATCTCCAGTTGATATAACAGTCGTTTGAAATTTCACTGGTTGAATCAGTGAATCAAAATGGCCATCGGCCTTTTCGACCAAATCAGTAAAGTTTGACATGAGAACCAAAGAGATTCCACTAGTTCAATTCAAGGAAGCCTCCATTTCAACAGAAAATAAAAAATAAATAAAAGGTTCTAAAATGAGCGTAAGCAAATTATTCAAAGTGTGAGTGCTAAGAAGCTAATGAAACTATTTAATTTTTTAATTATTCAGCAAATTGATTAAGAAGTTTATTAGTAATCCAATGACAATAAAATTCTTGAAATCGTTTCTATTTTTCTTAAATAGTTAAAGAAAAATGTATTCAAATTAATAATATCATTTTACTTTTATTCATATCGTGCGCATAAAATTTGTCAATAAAGTTTTTAAATAAAAAAAAAAAAAAAAAAAACATAAAAAACTACAAAAATATAATTTGATAAAAGTAGTTAAAAAATGAAATGAAAAATCGGTTTTGAATGTTCGGGATTACAGTTTCGGTGATGGGATCAGCTTCCCTGAGAGGACTTACGATGAAGACACTCACAATCTACTTGGTGATAATGGGCCTTAAAAATCATAAAGAGATTAAATATTGGAACAAGAGTGTAATTACAAAATATATATTTTTTTCTTTTTTTATTTCACTCAAGTCTTGCGTACTCAGGTATTCTATTACATTTAGTGCCGTATATTTGAAAAAAAAAAAAAAATAAATAAATAATTTTAACTTATCGCTCTCATTGTTATTCAAGAAAATTAAAATTTTATATGCTAGATAATATTTGAAACTGAAAGTTTAAAAATCTAATTATTAAATATAAAAAATTATTGCGATATTATATCTAGTTATTTACAGTAATAGATTCAAAATTTGTATATTCAAGCGCTCATTCATATCAGTTTTCAATTTCAATATACTTCGTTCATAATTTATTCGTTAATTTAATCCACTGATAAAGACAATAAATGATAAAATCACATAACACTTAACAGTTGAATAAACTAAAAAAATAAAAGACGAAATTGTAACATAAGAAAGGTATTTTTTTCTATTTGTTATTATGTGCATAATAAAAATAAAAGTATATGCATCGTAAATTGATAAAGAGACTAATTGACAAAAATTCAATGCATTCCATTATACTTAAATAATAATTTATCATGTAACAAGGAAATATATTTTAATATATATATATATCACCTCTATGCAGTCGTATTTAATTATGATCAAGATATTTTGTATAATTCCTCACATCAATGCTTTAAGTTTCAATAATTATAAACCTGGTAAGAGTTATTTTAAGATTAATGTATAGGTAACTTAGAACGTGTGTCTCAGGTCATGAGTTGCCATTAAAAATACCATATAAGTAGTTGACTAAATACATAATTGACTTTTTAAAATTATTTATTAGATAACTAATTTCACAATATCTAAACAAATGTACACTTAGAGAAAAAAGAACGATAATTTCAAAAAAAGAAATTATTTACGTCAAATATTTCATTTTTTTAAATACTGACGAAAAATAATCCTCACTACTGTAATAAAAGTAATATCTTGATTTAAGAATAAAAAAAAAAATATAATTTTAGTAATTAGAATCAGTAACATTTGGCGACTAAAAGTTTAAATTAAATAAGAATATATTTACAGTAAATAAGACATTGCTTTAGAAAGAAATTGTTTATATCTTCTTACATCAAATAGAAGAAGTATTGAATTAAATTATTAAACGGCATTTGGACTATCTTTTGCCACTCATTTACAATCGCGGAGCTACTTATTGGTTATCAAATTTTTTTCATTAAAATTAATACTCTAATAGTTATCCGCAAATATCAAAAATTAAAGTTCTGATGTAGGTATCAATTATAAAAATTGAATCTTACTTAATTAGTTAAAACCAAATGATTTAAAATAGAAAAATGTAATACTCATAGTCCTGACATACATTTAAAGTTGTACGTACATTAATTTAAAAACTACTCATCTCAAAAAGTTAGACAGACTTGATACTTGCATTTTAAATGTAATGACTGTTAAAAAAAAAGGAGTTATATTATTGATTTATTAATGTAAATAGTGTAAGTAAATAACATTACAATTTTATGTATATTTGCATATCGAATCTGGTATAAATAAATATATCATAAATACATCAGCTATTAAAGTACTTTTGTTAAGATTCACATAATTAACCAATATACTATGCCTTGAGATAGTACTGTCAACATTGCAAAAGTCAAATTAAAAAATCTAATCGTCAGAAATTGATTTTATTTTTATTTTTTTTAAGTCAAAAAAAATTAAGTTGTTTTTTTACCCCACTCTGATATTTAACATGTCAAATTTAGTTGATATGAATTTTAAACAGTAATTCTGAAATCAACAGTACTGTCTCAACTATTTCATTTCATATAAACATTTCGTTAGACAATATTCGACACTAATGGAAAAAATTAAGGGATCAAAAAAAAATTCCAAATTTTTGGGTAGTTTTCAACAAGCCGTAACTTCTAGAGAAATGGTCGTACAGAAAATCAAAAAAATTTTCTTTTTTTTGATTTTCTCTCGAAGTTACGGCTTGTTGAAAACTACCCAAAAATTTGGAATTTTTTTTTGATCCCTTAATTTTTTCCATTAGTGTATATAAGTTTGAATTACCTAAAAATAAACCGAGAAATAACTAAAAGAAACTATTGCAGTTTATTCTATCGGTGTAACTAAAAAAATCAATTAAAATTTAAAGGGTCACTCAGTTTCAACTATAAAAAATGTTGAATTTATATATTTTTCATCAACTGAAATACAAAGGACTCGAACACTGTTAACCTCTTGTTTAGATTAACTTTCATAAAAACAAAAAGATGAATAATACATAAATATAAAAAAAAAGAAAATATTTTTAGTAATAAGTAATAACCCATCCCATTCGAGTACTAATTGAGAAGCTATATTAATAATAAAAAAAAAAAAAAAAAATAATAGTCAGTTTTAGCTTTTACACTAAGTACCTTACTTTAGAATTAATTTTTACGGATCATTAGTCACATATTGAAATAAATAGCACTTATATCATTAAACTGTGAATTATTGCTTTGTTGAAATTTAAAAATCTAAAACTTGATGTAAAAAATTTTATTTGTCATACTTCGAAATTTTAACTCTTGAATTAAATTCAGCATTAAAGTCTAACAAAGCTAATAGATTCAAATTAATTATTTACTCTTCAAAGTGAACTAATAAAAAATACTAATCCATTGATGATTTTCTTTTTTTCAATTTATTCTTACTTTTTTTTAATTTATTTTTTAAAATTAATTTCCTTTTTCACGACTAAAACGAGCACTTCTACGTATCTTTTTATCATAGGTGTGCCCTTGAGATGAATTTGATAGAAGGAGGAACTATTATTGCACTTGGTGCTGGGTAACTAATATTAATTTTATCTTTAGCACTTTTTTTTTTTTCTATTATTTTACTGGCAATACATTATGTATTAATATTTTCATTTAAATTTAAGATAACCACTTTTTGTTACCGTTACTATATTAATACAATAAAATAAAATCGAGTATAACAAAGGTAAATTTATAAACTGAAAAAGTTAAATGTAACTTACTAATTATTGAAAATTTTCTAGCACTGCTGTTGTAGGACCTCTTGTGGAAGCCAGTGAACCTTTGGTGAATTCAGTCGAAATACTCTGATATTTATTTCAAATAAATAGTCACGAAAACATTAAATTTTATTTTCAAAATAAATTTACGTTTGTATTTTAATAATGCTGTAAATGATTAATACATTGTGAAAAAGAATAATAAAACAAATCGGATTCGAATAGGAAATTTCAAATTAGTGACATAGTTATAAGAAAAATTTTCTGATCAGGCCTGTGATTATCTGATTATCAAAATATAAGTCAGTTCAAGACCTATATTACTCTGCGCATTAATACTATAATATATGCGCTGTCACTGCCATCGACTTTTTAACACTGTCAGTCAGTTTATTTGATATACTTATGCACTGGTGAAAATAGAATTCAACTAATATTTGTTATATTAGCTTGAAAAAAATTTATTATTACACTTTTAATTTTTATTTTTATTTGTTTTGTTGGTTTTATAAGTCAATTTATTTGTGCCAGTAAAGTGAAGTTATAAACATCTAATAGTCTGTTATATTGGTTTACTGATAATCAGTATACCTAGGTATTGTGATAATCAGTAAACTTATTGTGATTATCAAAATACCAAGTATTTTGATTATCAAAAAAAAATATCCTTAGTAGCAAAATACTTTTTTCTCAGTGTATAAAGAAGCATTTCTATGGATTTTTTTAAATCGATTATTTCGCCGCGAATAATAGGTGAATTTCTTATTTCTCTCTTTTATATTTCAAACCCTTATGTTTATTTATAAATAAACATTTAAATACCTCCGAAACGCTCTTTCCCGGATTTGAAAATACGAATTAATGACCGTAAGACCGACATTAACTGCCTAATACGCTAGGCAATTAGTTACGGTAAGTAAAAAAAACTAGTTGTAAATTGAATTTATATCATCAAAAAAATAAATCAAAAACATTTTTAAGTATGTTAAAGTAAACATTTCGTTTTTGTGAAGATATTTTTTTACTATCTCGAATGAAGAAATTTTTTCTTATTAAATCAAGAATATAGGTTCTTAGAAGAAAACGAAAATATTATCAGTTGAAGAGATTTCTTCTTGGATAAATAATTTCATTGTATCAATAACAGATAATACTAATAATATACTTTTGAAATACGTGACAATAGTTATCGATAGAAGCCCTTAAGTTTCTTAAGCCAAGATTACGAGATTCAAGATAAAAAATTCGTGAAGCGCGACCACCGGTTGTTTTCAATGTAAGTTTCTTGATTCAAGATTATTTCTCTTGAGGTTTCCTTTATATGACTTAACTAATGATTAAATACAGTGTCATATTATACCAAAAAAAATTATACATAAGACAGCCATTGCGTTACATTTTCAAATAAGTTTGATGAGGTTCAAAAAAACATCATAATCATACAACGAAATTTGTACAAAGTGTAAATAAATATACGAGCATAAGTAGTAGCGCTGTACAATTTGGCTGAATTAAAAGACTGTATAATTTAACCTGGTTAATTAATTTATCAGTCAGCTAGCTAATCTGCATTAATCGATTAAACTTTACAGCCAGTTAAATAGTTCACACGATGAATCGATTAATCAATTAACTGTTTAATTGATTTAATAGCTAACTATTTGTAGAGAAAATAATTATTTTCGTATTTTTATTGGTAAAATGTTAATTTACATAGTTACTTGATAGTTTTTTGAATAAAACAATCTTTTCATAATATTAGAAAAAAAAGTTCTTATTGTAAGTTAAGAACAAGTTTTTTCAAATTTAATTTTGTTTGACCCTGGAATTGGTATCGTTGAAATCTAACGAGTGTAAAATTAAAAAGTTATGCATAATTGCAGCAGATTTGCAGTTGATTTTAGTGGCGGAAATTTTGATTAAAACTAAAGATTATTTTGGATTAATACTAATCTATGAATTAAAACTCTCAAGTAGGGATTCTGATGTCATTTTATTTGCTCTAAACTATGAGAACAAATTTTAAGCCGGTAGATTTAATTGTCTATGATGAAAGACAATATACTATATTGTTAGATTATAGCTTCCAAATTTTATTGTAAATGTCATAATTTTGGATGCTTCATATTTATTTAAAAAGAAAAGTAACTGCTAATATTCATGCAAGGAGTTCATTCAATTTTAATTAATGTATGTAATATGAATTCTATATGGGTCATTCCACGCGAAATTACCTAATTTAAAAAATTATCCATTTTTAGTTAGCAAATATATTGAGTAAGTTATAAACTTTTTATATCTAGTACTATAGAATATTATCGTGTGTCATTAGTATTACAAATTTCTGAAGTCTCTGAAATATTTATGAATTTCGAGATAGAAGTTGATATTCGATTTCCTTTATGCCTATTCATTCGAAAATTTTGTTTAACCGTCTAGAAAAACATTTATTTTTTGCAGAAAAATAAAAAATGTCGCTCATTAAAAAAAAATCAAAATTTCAGTTTAAAACTTAAATGAAATAATAATGAAAAAGGATATAATATTTTATTTATGAAACTACACGTAAAGATAAAAAATAACCGCAATATTTTGTCGTTTATGTTAAATTGATCAGAAGTTATGAATTTTTTAAAACTTATTTTTCTGCTACTTCTTCGATATTTTTGATAATTTATAACATAAATATTGAAAGATTAAAGACTAAAAATTTACCGGTAAACTTTTTTCAATGCATCCAAAATCATGTGAAAAAAATGAACTAAAAAAAAATATGATTTTCAAAATTAGGTGATTTCTTCTAATGATCATCATATATTGAAAATGCCCCGTGCGTTAACACTCGCGAGAAAGTTTTATTGCGGCGTCATCTGTCTTAGTCAATGTGTAAATACGAACAACTAGAATGTGTGAATAAAAAATGATGAAAGTTGAAAATGGTCACAGTAATGTAAAAAATCGAGCGTTATTAAACATTGATCATGCGATTGCATGCTCTAGAGGAAAATGTTAAATCTACAAAGACATAATTTGTACAATAAGCTCATCATTACTTACTTTAAATTGATTTTAAATTGTTAAGAAAAAGTAGCCATTACTAATCAATAAGTTATTGTTATTATTTAGTGTGTACAAGAATATCAGAGTATAAACTCAATCAAGCTATTTCAGTCATAGTATGCTATGTAAAGAAAATATGATAACACATCAATTTATATTTAATTTTTTGATATAACCATAATATGAAATCATAATTGATTAGGCCAGATCAGAAATTTTTCTACAGAAGCTACCATCTTATTCATTAAAACTGATACTTTGTTCTTAACACAGATTATGTATAATGTTTCATCTAATCTAATATTTACATTAAAGGTTCAAATTTTTATGCTCATTACGATAATTAAAGCGCTATACAAGGCAAACTAATAATTTAAAATTAATTGTGAATTTATTAAGTATAATTTTTAAATTAAAAACTGACATTTTTCAATTGTTGGAAGCCAAAAAAAAAAGAAAGTAGACAAGTTATAATGTAATATTTATCTGCTAAATACTAACAAGTTTTAATTGCATTTTTTTATAATGCTTCCTTATCATAAAATGTTAAACTTTAACACTTTTAATATTAATATTCAGTACCTTAGAAAGATTTCTATCTTACGAGGATTTTTCACTAATTCATTTATTCTTCGTTAAAATAATATGAGAAATGCAAAAAAAAAAAAAAAAAAAAAAAGAAAAAAAAAAGCGCGCACTGTGACAAATTATCACAAATTAAACATAAATATTTTGAAATATATTTTTTTCTTATTCTTTACTGCCATTTCATCGATTTCAATGTAAAAATAGAAATTATGATTCTCACTTATGTCAAATGTATTTAATTATTTTGTTTTTATAAAAATTTATAATTTTATAAAATATATATGTTTACAGAAAAAATACAGAATAATAATATTCATTATTTTATTGCTTATAACCAAAACTTTCTATCCACTTTAATCCTTCTATTGTTGTTGTTTTGGGTTTATATTCTAAACCTATGTAACCGCTGTATCCAATATCTTGTATCACTGAGAAAATATATTTATAATCCAACTCTCCCTCTGTATTAGGCTCATTTCTGTGAGGTACTTGCGCAATTTGTATGTGTCCTAAAAATGTAATTATAAATAAATATATTATGGATTATGATTACTATATTTGGTGATTTTTTGGAAGTTATGATTAAAAATCACATTTTTTTTTTAATTCAACGAGAATAGAATAATTTAAAAAAATGTGAAGATTTATTATTTTGGAAAATTTTATCCTTGCAAATTATTTTTTCCTATGTGTAGAATACGGAAATATTAAAAACCCTACTTGTAAACAATTGAACTTTTTTGAAATACACTATGTTTAATAAAAAATTACAAATTGGAAACAAAAATGAAGTAGTAAAATTTACAAATCGTTTTGCATGAAATTTGATAAAATTATAGCTTTTTAAATAATTTTGTTTCACAAGGTTGTATTTTGAAAATTAATTACCAATATATTGAAAATAATTCTTCAGAACATTTGTAATATTTCCTTTAATATGTTGAAGATGGAAAATATCACACATTATTTTCAAATGTGGACTGTTAATTTTTTTGACAACTTCAATACCTAGTTCGAGATAAATATTAAATTAATAAGTTACATATAATTAGTTTTGTCAAAATAAACTGTCTTTACCTTTATCAAAACAATTTAAATAATAATTTGGCACCGAGTAAGGGTTTATAGGTTCAATAATACCAATAATTCCTTCTTTCTGAAATTGATCAACAGCATAACGTAAGTTGGACTCATAAACTGCGTCATTTACTGCTGTCGGATTTTCAACAATTCCTGCCATAACGTGAATTCTAAATAAGATATGCAAATTTAGTTAAAATTCTTAATCTTTAAATATCTGTCAACAGGTTTTTACCAACTTTTTGCAATTCAATGCTTTGGCATAATCAATTGTAAGTGTAATACTATTTTTAAATTTATCTTCATCACCGGGTATAGCAGCAAAACCTAGCTCGCCTTTAGTAACATCTCCTAGAATTTAACAACTTATTGTTTGTTATCCGGACGAATTATTAAATACAATTAATTATTTAATCATAATAATTATAAAATTTACCAGTGAAAATATTTATCAAAACTTGATCAATATCAGCATCATTTTTAGCTTTTTGAACTTGTTGAACAGTATATCCAAAAGGAAATCCACTTTCTACTGCAAGAAACCCTGATTCTTTGGCTAATCGATAACGAGTCATCAAATTCGGAGATTCAGTGAACATAAAACTAAGGTTTGCGGCTAATTTAAATGCCATTTTTAAATACTTTTCTCGTCTATAGAAAAAAGGCTTATTTAAAAAAATAATCGATGTTTATTAGTCGTGTTACTTTATAAAACTATTAATACATTATTTTTTATTGTATGATATAATAAATATCTTAACCCCACTAGATTGAAGTAAAAACTTATCATTTGACTTTCAATGTTTTCTCAGTGATAAATAATTTAAAATTCTGTTTATCAAGAATATAAGATATGATTGTTTACAATATAACGTATATTATATAAGTAATCACTTATTGAATGTTGACTGGAGGGAAGTAAGCGTGGTTACCTAACTGTAAAAAAAGGATTTTATAGCTAGAAAAGAAAAACGAGGAAACTTCTGAGTAAAAAATCAACAACTACTGCTGATGATGTATTCTTCTCTTGATAGTTGAGCAGATTGACATCTATTACAATGATCAAATTACGATATTCTAAAATTCAGTGGCACACATTAAAGAAAGATTTTCTTAAATAAATAAAATTATTAAAGAAGACCGAAGTTGTTTTGGAGCAAGAAGAAATTTTATTGCAATAAAAAAATTTCATTTTATCCAAGATAATTTCCATCTTTCTCAACATTTTCTTCCCCATTTTGTTCATATTTGTGCTAGCGTTATAAATATCATCTTAAATGGTCTCAAACAATTAATGAGCATTTCATGAATTTTTTGTTATTTTGTAATTTAAGGTTCTAATTCAATTCTAAAAATTTTAACAAAATATATTTTGCTATGCATATAGAATTAAATTAAAGGCACAATTAAATAAAATTAATGTACAACGATTTAAAGTAATTGAATGAAAAATTTATGGTAATTGTTAGGATGGGAACTGTTGCCAAGGAGTGTCAACTTTTTTCGGCTTAGCCCTCATTCGCAACCATGCGATAATGAACTTTGTTTTAATAAATTAAACATAACTTCATTGTTGAATTTTCGATTAGCATCAAACTGAAAATCTAATAACAATGTTAATATAGCAGTAGCTGATTATAATAAAACTATAGTCCTAGATAAAGAAATCTAACATTAAAAATGAAAAAAAATATGAGTTATTAAAAAAATAATACAATATATTTTTAAAAATTTAACAAGTACATTTGTAAAACAAATTATTTATTAGTTATAAAACAAAATCTTGCACAAAAAAGTGATTTTTTTTATTTCCCGTATTTGATATGTTAACAATTATACTCTTTATCACCACCACAACTATTTGCTCTACAATTATATCTAATTTTTGTTCCCTATTCCTTTCAACTTCTAACTATATTATATTTACCATAAAAAATTGTATAAATTGTCAATATATATTCTTAATACAATGGCAGAGAGGCGATTTCTCTGGACGTAATTTATTCATTTATTAATTACTCCAAGTATTCTGAAATTATTAAAAATTTTTTTCCCCCAATAAATACTTTAGATATTTATCTTTCATAATATATCCTGTTTAATAAAAAAAAAATCGTTAGTTGAAATTATGTTACAAATAAAAAATAAAACCATATTGACAGATCTGGAGGTAGATTGGACGCAATTTAATTAAGATATCGTTAATATTACTTAATTCTTAACCATCAACATAAATTAAAACTTGTTAATCAAATTAATGAATCTTTAAAATCATCAACTCTCCTGTACTTTGACCAAACTGTCCCACTAATATTTATTTTAGATCAATAATTAATTCAAATTTATTGAAAATCAATAACTTATTTTTTTTATAAGACTTAGAGATCTACTACAGCGGGTTGAATAATCATCACTAAAAAGAATTTTAAACTAGAGTTCGAAAATTATCACAATAAGGTATTAAATTTTCATATTAAGGATATATGAGCGTGACAACAATTTTCGATTTAAGGGGGACTCAAAATTTTTTTTCCGTGCAGAATTTGCTTTAATTAATTACATAATGTACTGTCAAAATTTCACAATAGATAACTGTTTATATTTTGAAGTCATATATCATTCAAAGTCAGCATAAGACACATTGTTCTTACGGACAAATGGGAAGTTGTGATCATAAATTAACAAATGGATCATTACATACTAAATCGACTAATAGTTGGAGCCGACCCCTTTTAATTTAAACAAAATTTGGTCAAAAGTTTTCTTTCATCATAAAACGAATAATTGCTGAAGATTTATTTTTTCAACTTTATTTTATAAATATCACGAAAACTATTGTAGATACAGAAATAAATTTTATTTTTTTTAAAGAGAATACTTAGAATTTTGAATGATTAAAAATCGTCAAAATTGGCGTTCGAAATTAAATTTTGGATTCAAATTTTATAATATAATATCTTTAAATGATCTTAACATATTCTGAAATTTTCAGAGAAGTGTTTTTTTTTTCTAATTTCAAAAATGTGAATTTTTTAGTTTTGGCCCCAAAACCATCTTAACTTATTCGTACTCATCAGAATTCACAATTTTTGCACGCTCTCGCTCATAGACCCTTAATAAACTTAAAGGATAAATTTCTGAGAATAACTTTTTTGACCTCTAAAGTCTGTATAAACTCTTGATTAAAAAGTAAAAATAAAAATTTTCCTGATAGTTCAAAATTTTAAGAATCGAATTTTAATTCGCATTAATAAAAAAATATTTTATGTTTTTACATTCAAAGGTGTTCTCTCTCCTAAATATTTATACACTCGATATTCACTATCAACTATAATCATTGTTTATTTAAAAATTTTCAATACTGTTTAAAGTTTACTTTTTATATTACTATCTAAAAATGGTGATACAATCGTCGATACTCTTTCCGGATTATTATTATGCAGATCATGATTTCCTTCAACAACTTTGAAAATCCAAGTGGCTGGAACAAGTTTTTTAAAAAATTCTAAATTCTTAAGATTGTCTTGTGATAAGTGAAACCAAGATTCACTGGATATAATGATCATTGTTGGTACTTTAAGAAATTTCGTCAATTCAATGTATTGATCTCGATTAAAATTAGGAAAACACATTTGCTTCATTCTAATGTCGCGATTATATTGGTACTTATCACCAATTTGAGTGACCGCTCGATCAAACAATGCCTGAGCAGCTTCTCCATTCAATGGAAATTGACGTCGATTTTGCAAAGCATCTAATACCTGATCTTTTGTGTACAAACGAGCCGGTAATTTTTTGTGTAAATCTGATAAAGTTGCTTCGTAAGTTTGTTTGATTCTTGATAGCAAAAATTTATCATCAAGAACTCGCGGCAACAAAGCATCGAAACTTATAATTCTCTCCAGTATGTCTGGGAATAATATACTAAAAAGTATCCCTAATTGTCCTCCAAAACTATGACCAATGTATAAACATTTTTTCCAATTCAATTCATCTAATGCGTATTTGATAGCAAGAATAAAATTGAAAAAGTCTAAATTTATTCCTGCTGGAAAGTGACTAGACAACCCATGGCCCGGTAAATCTATTGCAACAAAGTAATAATTATCCGGTAATAATTGAATAAGTCTAGTAAATGATCCAGCGTTATCCAAAGTTCCGTGAACTACTAGAACACGTTTATTCTCAGGCGATCCCCAAGCTTTGGCTGATACTTGACCCCAAGGCATTTTCAGTTCCAATTCTGTACATTTTTTGCCCATTTTTATTCTAAAAAATTTTAATATTTTTATTTAAAGTTAGATTTATCGCAATAGGTAAAAGCACCAACAAATAACAAGAGTCTAATTATAGAGGCATTATATTTTGGGCGTATTTTTGAGCTCTATAAAAAAATAAAAAAGATTTTTACGATCAATTTTTTACCATATGTTTATTGATATTTATATTTAAACTTAAAAAAATTTTTTTGTGAGATATACAAAGAAAAAATTATAAAAAATTATGAGATTATTTAAAAAATATCTGAAAAAATGGACAGTAAAAATATTAAAAATTTTTTTTATCGAACTTTAAAAAATATGCAAAATTTGTACATGTACAGTAAAATACTCTCAATACTCTCTTGAAGTATTTAAATAATTTAATGTTTGTAGGAAATATTAAATATTCACTGATAAAAAAAAAAAAAAAGGTTATTTGAATTTATTAATATAACTCTTAAGCCTAAAATTTCTTAAACTATTTTGGTTTGTCAAGCACTCTTTTAAACAGCTCATTTTTAATTATTTTTTCATCTATTCACATTCTATTTTTTTATAAATAAATAAAAAATGAAAAATCAACAATATCAGACATTTACAATCAAGTTAATGATTATTAATTTTAAAATAATGGGTGTCAATAGTTGTGACATAAAACTTAAGCTGGATCTTAATTTGAAATATGTTTAAAAAATTGTAATTCTAGCCACGTCTCTTATAGTGTCGATAATTGATGCTTTTACCTTATGTTAAATTATTGAATACTAACAGTGAGAAATTCAGAGAACAATAAATAACAAATAATTCAATGAAATTTCACTTGTTTACTCTGGCTTAGTTCGATGGGAATTCTTCTAAAAACTAAATTTATAATTACAAAATAATTTATAGTAAAATTTTATATTATTTTTTCACCTTCACTTGAGTTAAATGTTGGTGAATTTATATGAACTTATAGAATAAATTACTTCTTATTCCAAAACAGTATTATCATGCAAAAAATGAAAGTCCATCGGTCAGTTTGACACTATGTAAGTTGTTTGCTCTATTAATTGTTATTGCATTTTATATAGACTTGTAACAATTCACTCGACTAAGAACATGGTTGATTCATAAAGTGTGGTTATTTCACAAACTACAATGCTGTCTCACTTTCGGGTGGCAAAGTCAATTCCGATTTCACTTTAGAATCAACTCAATAACTATATATCGGCGGGTTGCGGTCAACCAGTCAGATCGACAACATTCCGAATTATTAAAACTCTAGAAAATTTAAAATTCCGCTACATTCAAAGTTTATAAAATACCTATAACTTAAATAGAATACCAGCCGAAAAACAATTTTGTAAATTATAAAACACCGGGTTATCGAATATAAGTAAATATAAATATTATATTTCTCAAGAGTTAAAATTAATTTGATTTCGAAAAAGGTTCGTTCCGACGTATATTCATCCAAATACTTATCTATCCGAATAATGATTTGGCCGAAAATTACTCATTCAAAAAATTGGAAATTTTTCTTAGATTGTCTACCTTCACAAGCATGAAATTCGAGTGTTTTCCATACATGCTTGTAAATTAAAATAAAATTAATTAATTTTAAAAAATTTCTAATCTAAATATAAAACTATTTACATTTTTCGGCTAAATGAGTGTTCGTCTGTTCATTCATTTTGGCGTACAAATTTTCGTTGTTATGTTTTTTAATTTATTGAGACTTTGTGACTTTGAAAAATTCTATTAATATAGCTTTAGTTTTTTCTTCATTTAAGATTATATTTTTCAGAATTTTAAAATTTGTAAAATTAATTATTTTAAATTACATTTAATATTTACTTTCTAAGTTCTAGTAATTTATTAATTCGGAATGTTGTCAGTCTGACTAGTTGACTGCAACCCATATCGGCTATATCGGCATCAAAATGATTTATTGAAAATCGACTTTTATGTCGTTTTAAAAGTTGATCAAGAATCGATTCTTAATATCTGACTTGTGCTAATATCATCTTTCTGATAATACCATCTTACTTAATAACTAATTAATTTTATTTATATACTAACACTTGAATAAATTCCAAGTGTAAATTCTTATCTCTTGTCCATGAGGTGGCAGCATTATCAAAACTTGTTATCTTGAATTCGATTCTTAATTTTTCAATTCGATTCTTAATTAATTGATTTTGAATGATCAATCAAAATGACGGTTTTTCTCTCATTTTTGATTTCTTTGCCATAAAAATATCTCTGACACTGAAGTTGACAGACGTTAAAGATGTTTTAGATTTTTATAGCAATAAAATTATTATGAAAAAAATTGAATAAAAAAACTCCACATGTAAAAATTAAAGAAAATTAATTTAGCAGATATTTGATAATTTTTAGAACTTTTTTAACAAATAAATTATGGCATAAAAATGAGAAAAAAATCGACATGTAGAAATTTTGTAAAATTATAAATGCAATTTTCTAAAATAATTTTTCAGAAAAAATTCATATTTATATTAAATAAAATTAAAAAATTATCAAGTGACGGCTAAACTTTATTGTCATAAAAAAAATTATTAGTGAAAAATTTTAGAAGCATTTTATTTTAATAGATTTATTATAAAAATTAAAAAAAAAATTGATAGTTGCCATATCTAACTTCAGTATCATAAAAATTTTATAATATTCGAACTGTAGTACTTAACTCAACGGTGAACGGATCTTGACACTGGTTATATGTACAACCTAATTTTACATAATATCTGTGCATGATTATAAATCTATTATTAACTATTAAAAAATTGAGAAACCATATACCACAGACTCATTTTCTCCTCATTATTATGGGTCTTTATAGTAGATATATAGCTTATAGACGTAACAATTCTTTTTATCTTCATTATAAAAAATTAAAAATTTTTGGAATTTATGTTTTGCCGAAACCGAGTTTTGCGTCCGATTCGGCGTTAGTAATTAGAGCCAGGGGAATTCAAAATCCGAACAAAAACAGTTTCACTGTAAAAAAATCACGCCAAGTCCACGTTCATAAGATTATTAAGAAAAAAAAATTGTTTTTTTCTTTACAAAAAGATATAAAATAAAAAAAATTAAAAAATCCAAGTAACCGATATGATTGTTTATGAATTTCGGAAATTAAAAAAAATTTTGTTGTAAATTTAAAAATCAAAAAAACCATTTTGGAACGTATTTAATGTGCGCGGTTGCAAAATATTTTACTTTTAACTAAATTCGTAAAATCTATTTACTAGGACTTTAAAAAAATTGAAATACACAATATGACTTTTTTCTTAATAGTCTTTATGAACGTGGACTTGGCGCGATTTTTTTAGAGTGAAACTGTTTTTGTTCGGATTTTAGTATTTTTTGTAATTTTAGTAAAAATTTACAATTGGTATCAATTTAAATCTCGCGTTGGCTGCATTTTTTATAGCAAACTATCCCTTTGAAGCTACAGTTTATGTAAAAATAATTCCAGCGCACCCTGGTGGGTGTAGATGCAAGCTGTGAAATATCTTTTTTTAACTGTAGTTTCCCATCTGATGAAGGATTACTATGCATTCTCGAATATTTTAGTCTGTGGCAGATCACTTTGCCCATCGAAAAAAAGTCAGGATCGAAATTTTTGCGTTGCTATAGTTTGTGCTGATCAAATTTAGTAATTTCAAGTAGATTAATTGTTATAAGTGAATATAATTAATTGATAACAGTAAAATAAAGTATGAATTACTGTTATAATATACAATTTAGGAAAAAAAAAGTACCGTAGAATTAAATAAAATTTTGCAACCTCAAAATACCGTTCTGCTTACAGTAAACGCAGTCGGTAATCTGGCGCTCCGTTTACAACGGATTTGAACGGAACTTGGCGCCAAATTCTACCGAATCTGTGGATTTATGACAATGAGTATTGACATAGCAAATATTCTATTTCATTGATTTTATCTTACGGCTTTTAAAATAAAAATGCAAAATATTCACATATTACTTTATTAATTTCTTATTTATTATTTATATTATATGTCTCAATCACAGTCTGTCGTGCGATTGACAATTTACTTTTTTATACAATTATTAGTTATGTTTAATAGTATATGATTTACAGCTAACATAAATATATATTTATCAAATTTGAAAAAAAGTTCGCAATCGTTTATAATCGAAAAAAACAATTTCGTGTTGTTATGAGTCTTGTAGAGAATCACTTTTTTTTTTTAAATAAAAACTTAGAGTCTACTTGTAAATTGAAATTAAAAAATAAATCTATAAAAAAAAAACTAGTATTAAATAACTTAGCAAAATGAAAGAAAAAAATTTTACAGTATTTCTATAGGTTCTATTTACTAATTTAATATAATTATTTTGTTGTTTTTCATCCTAACTTTCGTGCGTTCATTCATATTTTTTCACGATAAATGGTTAATTGTTTCATTTACAAATATAACTTATCTTTCTTGAATCCTCCTCAATTTCTACAATTCAAAAGTATATAACGAATAATGAAATAATATTTTTATTGTTTAAATCAATAAGAGAAATCATTATTTTCCTTTAATATCGTTAACTTCTTATTTCTTTTTGTTTTATTCTTTTGCACAACTAAAAAATATATAATTTTCTATAAATTTCCATGAACCTATTGACTAATTTGATAACTTATATGGCATTTTCAATCGCGTGCTTTGCACTGCTCTAAATTATTTTTTTTATTACGTTTTTTGCTTACAAACAAATAACTTCAAAGTTACAATACAGAAAATTTGCAAAATATTGTAACAAAAAAATTTCAATTTCTATACAGTTCTAACATAATTTCATAAAAAAATAATTATTTATTGCTACAACTATTAAATTCAAATTTTCCGAATAGATACTAAATGCTAAAAATTTTAAATTAATGAATATCGACTTGTTAATATTAATTTGAATTCAAGTTAACAATTTTGTTATTTACAAGTATCTAAGTAGCATTTCACTACTCGTTAAGTGCAAAAAATGACTATTTTCGAGTCTTCTGTAAAAATATGTTTATTTATTATATTTAAAGAGCACTCCCCAAAAATCAGCTTGATTAAAAATTTTTTAGAGTTTTGACTGCTCTCTAAAAACTATTTAATCAAGCTGATTGTTTATGAGAGTCCTCAATACACGGTAAACATTTTTCATCGGAGACAAAAAAAAATAGTCGGTTTTTTGTGCCACCTTACTACTCCAGTATTCGTTGCCTAAAAAGGCGGAACTTTATAATCGATCACAGTAGTATACACACACTAAAGATAAATGTACGACGAGTCGAGCTCGAATTAAATAAAATAATTTAAAAAAAAGAAATAACGTGAATACCAGCAAAATATTCGTGAACTAAAAACATCTTAGCTTTGATTAGAGTGGCTTGAAATGAATGTTTGAAAATGCCATTGACGGTTAATCGTGTAATCGTTTTTAAACCAATTATTTTTGTTGTTAAACAAAAAATTATAAATTTTTTAAACAAAGTAACTTAACTGCCGGTCATTTTTTCATATTTCAAACCTTTCTATTCAATTTTCAAATGATAAAATCAGCATTGAAATAATGAAATTGATAACAAGACTTCTTTCTCCCACTTATATTTAAATCAATCAATATGAAAAATGAACATTAGTTGTCTTGATCTTGATTTATTTGTGTAGTTTTAATATTCGACGGGGCATTTACTTTTAATTTACTGAGTTTTTGAGTATCAACAGGCACAAGTAATAAAGGTAAACCACCAAGTACCATACAAGTGCCCATACAGAAAAAACAAACACTATAACTTCCAGTAACATCTCGAAGATAACCTGTCAAGAAAAATATTCATCAAAAAAATTATAATAATACTGTTATTACGAAATTAAAAATAATAATCGATAATATTTGTTACCAGCAAGTGGTGGAACTGAAATTGCTCCAACACTTTGAAACATTCTAACAAGCCCATAGCTTGAAGATATTTTGTCGGTACCGTATTGATCGGCAAGAAGAACTGGTACCAATAAAAACCAACATCCAAGACATAATCCATACATTCCCACTGAACAAGCTAGTACGTAAAACGAATGTGCCATCGGAATTGCCAATACAGCAACTCCTGCACCAACAATGCTGAAAAAAAGAAAAAGAAATATTTTTTTTTTATATTTGAAATCCTACAATACAATACAATTTATATATATATATAAAATAAGAGAAAAACTATATAAAGCTAAGCCTGCCTAAGCTGTTAGCTGAGGCTGACTCATTCAAAGTTCCAAGTTGAGTATTTTATGATTATTTATTTGCATTGGAACCAAATTTAAGTTTTAATAGTTGTTCAGAATTTAATTAATTAAAAATGAAAGATATTCGGAACATAAACTAGAAATTAGCCCGACGGCTGACTGTAAAAAAGTTATTAAATTTTAAGTTTTGAAGTAAATATCATGAATACATACTCTGTTAAAAATAAATGGGTTTTTCTATAAAAATTGATTAAATCATAAGACAAATTTAAAGTGTATTATTTTTATCATTGAGTATTTTTTTTTTGTATTAACAAACAGTTATTTAGTAAAATTACGCTTCTAAAGACTGATAAAAGTTGACGTTTTAATAACTTGGTAGATTATTATATTACTAATTTCATTAATCAACATTTGTACGTAATTATTTGACAAAAATATCTCAAATCAACCTAATCATAAATTTTAGTAAAGCACTATTCTTTACAATTGTTTGAAATGGATTTGTTAAAAAATTTTCAAAAGTAATATTACTTTTAAATTTGTTAAAATATCAATTATTAATATGCATTTATGCATTAAGATAATTATTTATTTTCATATAAAACATTAAAGATTAGTTCATTTAAAAAATAGATTAACATTTTTAGTTTTTATGCTCAAGCCTTCTTTTATTCATCATCGCACTGAAAAAAAAATTTTTTTCCACCGAGAATACTAAAATTTTTACTCGAGTTTTCTTGATTTAAAAAAACTGCTATTCTTAACTTTAAAATACCACGTTTTATTATAATGCTAGTTTTTTTACAGTGAGAAAACTGTATTCTTATAGTTAAAAAACTTTCGTATTTTAATCATAAGAACACCAATTTTTTACCCATAAGGAAACATTTCCTTGGTAGAAAAAAACTTTTTTTTCAATGCGCTAACGTTAAATAAAGAAAGGGCTTAGATATCTTTAATAATTAATGTTTAATACATAGCTTTATTAAATTTATATTGCTTATTTATATGTAATAGGTAAATAATAAAGATGAAGTTTTAAATATTTATATTATGATAATTTACCATGTAACTTCTGTACACAAAAATAATAAACTTTTCCTAAAAATAGATATTTTTAAAAATTGAATATCATTATATATTACACGAAGTTAATAAATTCCTGTAGAATGATCCAAACATTACATTATTGGGTATTATATGAATATACTGACGTAATTTCTAGAAAAGTAGCTAGAGAATTAAATGTTACGTATAGACTAGGTAATACGGTATCATGTTATGCAAAAATACCATGTGTAAAACAGCTATTGCGCTATATTTTGGCTACTGTAATTTATAAATGTTGAATTTCAGTAAAAATAAGCTTGATGAGCTTGATGAAACGAACTAAGTGTAAATAAATATACGAACATAACTATTATGTTAGCAACGTTAAGTTGATTGAATATAGAATACAGAGCTGAAAATGTTCTTCGAATAATTTAAATAGTGATTTTAGGGAAAATATGGACAAAATAGTCCATTTTTCACCTATTAGGGCAGGAAATACTATTTTCCTCCACGACGGAAGCGGAAAGTGGCATTTTCATTTAGCGCCACGGGAGGAAAATGACGCTTTCCGCTCGAAGTGGAGGAAAAAAAATAAAGGGAAAGGAGCTACATAATCAATTTTAAACATTAGTCGTGCAAAAACACGCTCTACAGGAAAATCTTTAATTTACAAAAGATTTGTATAATGAGCTCCCCAAATTTATAAAAAATGAGAATAGACTCTGAATATTTTGAAAGATATTTGAAATAATTCGTAAATTGTAATTAAGTAGAACTAAATTGTAATTAAGTTAAGCGTGGAATGTTAAACATTATTGTAATTTTGAAATGAAAAGAAAAAAAAAAAAAAAGTGTGTGTCAGCTCCGACGCACGACTGGAGTTTACTCCTTACGAACGATTATAAAATAAATAAATTAGTTAATAAGGGTAAATGAATGTATTTCTTATATTACTTAGAGTATGCATGACACATCTATAGATTGATTTTTATTCATTGAGTAAATAAATTTTCTCAATTTTGAAATAAATATGAATTGATATAAATTTATATTTATATCAATTATAAATAAAATATAAAATTTACGATAAAACCTCCGCAAGTTGACAGTTGTTGTAGGTTTATATCAGGTTAATACAATATGCAATTGAAAGTAAATATATTAATTATCATATTCGGCTTATTAAACCTACCCCGGGGTAAAACAAACGAATAGCAGCTCACTGGATCTGAAGTTTTCAAGATTTAAAAATTTAATTTGAGGTCCAATCAAATGCTTTTGTATTCACTGCCCCGGGGTGTAAACTCTTAAGGATTCTTAAGGAGTAAACTCCAAAAATAGCAACTTCTAATTCAATAAATTGTTATTATATTTTCGATATTTACCTTCCAATATAACCTTTTCTTCGGTCAAAAAGTTGTAAATCAGACAACCAACCAAGCCCTAAGCGTCCGCAAAGATCGAGCGCTGCAGAAATAGCAACTAAATATCCAGCTTCTGATTTAGTATATCCTGCGGCATGCACATAAGCTGGCAAGTAATATAACATGTACGGACTTCCAGTACTCATTAAACTAACAGAGAGACACATCATTATGAATTGTGGATTTTTCAGCAGACTGATGTCCAAATATCTCATTATTTTTTTATATAATTTACTATTGTGTTCGATGATTTTATCATCAGTAACTGGTGGTTCCTTAGCACATGGTGAATTCACAATAGGTGCAGATGATAATTTCAAAGATTTTGATGATACTCGAGCTTTATACACACACGTTGAATCTGTTGATAAATCTTCAACGCTATGCAAAATACTAGAACTTCGTATTTTTGATATTGGCTTCATTTTTAAACCTTCACCCAGTATATCTTTTTCTTCTTCACTGTCTGTTAACTCAACAGAATTAACATTTTTATGAAATAAATCATTCAATAAATTTTTTTCTGTTTTTTCATTTGCAAAAATCAGTTCGAGTTTTTGTTGTTTTGGCATTGTAACGGCGATTGATTCTTCTTTTATTTCAAAATTTTTCGATTTAACTATTGCAGATGGATTATCTTCCAACGGGCGATATAGTGTTGCCGACACACAAACGTGGAGCATGCAACCACCCAGTAATAAAATAGTACCATGAAATCCAAAATTAGCCACAAGTGTTTCAATCAGTAATGGAAATACGAAGCTTCCAGCAGCTGTACCAGAAACACAAATTCCATTTGCCAATGCGCGATGCTTGTCAAAATATTGTGAAACTATTATTATTCCAGGAGTTGTTGATAAACCACCTCCGATTCCAGTTAATACTCCAAACGTAAAAAATAAATGGATTAGACTTGTAGCAAAGTATGTTATTATTAATCCGAGAGCGCAGAATAAACCACCTATAAAGACAACTAAACGGCAACTGTATTTTTGGCATAGCACGCTGGTAACTGGCGCTGTAACACAAAAATTTTATTTATTATACATTTTAAGAATTTTTTAATCGTGCGAAAATGATTTTTAAATACCTACAACTTTCGGTAAAAAAAAAAAAAATTACAAAGTTAAAAAAATATAGAACGAAAAAAGTTAATAAAGAGTTTACGAAAAATCTCTTTTTAATAAATCTAAGTTTAAAATATTCTAACTGGAAGAGTTTGAATATATTCAAAAAGTACAGTCTAAACTCGGCATAGCACAAAATTTTTTTGATGTTATGCCGAAAAATTTTTTGCTGTATACAATACAATAAGTTTACATTTTACGTAGAATAAAAGCAAAAAATAATCTAACTCAGTAGGAAGTTCTTTACTAAGTATAAATTGGCAATATCGATTTTTTATTGTACTATTTTTCAACATAAAGATTTTAAAATGTAGAGAAAGTCTAATTTTTGAGCTTCAAAAGTTTTATAGCTTATAAATATAAACAGATATATTTTAAAAAGTTTTAAGCTTAATCGTTTTTCAGATTTCTTTTTCTTATCGCCAAACAGTTTTAAACATCGAAAGAAAATATATCTTGTTATAAATACCTACATTTAAAAAATAATTTAAAACTTTATTAATTTGTTAAATGAAAAAAAATTTTACAAAAATTTTTGGTTCACTAAATACTTGTTTTAGTACTAGGAAATTGTGAAATAAAATTTAATTTAATTTTCAGTGGAGTAGAGTATGATTAAATTTTACCGAGTTTGAAATAATACGACTTTACGGAACATTAGTTCCGGAAAAGTTTATTAACTTTATAAAATTTTATTATTTTAAGGGCAAAATTGTTTAATATCGTAGAAGATTGTATTATCATACGGAATCACTCAATTATCTTAATTAGATTAGTGAAGCTAATAATTCAAAACATTTAAATATTGTGGTATGATATTAATGTATAAAATCGAATAAAATAATCAAAGTTTTTATAAAGCAACGAATAATCAATGAAGTATAAAGAACATGATATGCATGACGTATTTAATGAAGACTCATGCGCGGCGAGAGCTTCAATGCCAGAAAATTAAACGCAAATGATTGGTTACAGAACCTTGACCTTGATCAAAATAATCTAAGGTGAAAAATGAAAAATTTTTTTAAAACTATTAATTTATTTTATTTTTTTATATAACTAGTATCCCGTTAATAGTTTTGAATTTAGCTATTTATTAATGAATGAAACCCACCTAGAGCAAGACAAAGGCAAGAGAGAATAGCGGGAATCCATGAGGCAACTGCAGCTGTTGAATCTTTGAAGGTTTCCATTACCTCGACGTATAATACACCATAAGATTTAACAAGTCCGGCGACCCAAAATTGAACGAAAAAAGCTCCTCCAACAATAACCCAGCCGTAACCACCATCCAAGGGAACCAAAGTGGCATTATTAGGTCTTTTATGGTCTTTAGGTTTTTTTCTATTGGCAGATTTTTTGGAGGATCGTATTTCACGAGATTTGGCAATTAGAGGTCGTGCTGTGAGACTTGAAATGGTTAATAAATTGTCATTGTCTTCATCATCAACGTCGGGACTCAAATGCGGTGGAACAACTGGCGTCGATATAGCTGTCGCTTGAACTAATGATGCAGATGGCCGAGTTGGTGAAACTTTATGGGTATTCAAATCATAAACTGGAGCTGAATGAATTGAAAACAATGATCCCAATAAGTTTTGATTCAAATTTTCGTCGTTGACCACTGCCGATGTACTGCCACTGATATTATACTCCTGTGATCCCATTTTAAAATGTCGTACATCCACTGAGGATCTCGCTTCCTGTTGAAGGAAGCTCCACTCACGGGGTAACGACATACTTTCGTTCTCGCCTCGAAACGGCGACCGTTATACATTGGAGCTTATGGGCTTTTTTAGCTTTAACTTTATTAAATAATGCCGATAATCTATTTATTAAATAATAAATTATTAATACTAAACCCGTTTAAATATTACTGATGCTTTAAAATTTTTTGATTTTATTATCGTTTCAAGAATTATACTTTACTGAATGTTCTTCTTTCAGATTAATGTTGACTTAAAAACTTGTATAAAAAAATTTTTTTTTTTTTTTTTTATTTATTATAGTTTTTATTTAATAACAAACTAAACACTTTGAATTCTAATGAATGACTGAAGACAAGTGGTGAAATATAGGTAAAAATAAACTTTCACGCAGGCGTAATCATTACTCTTTAGCCATATTGAGCAAAAAATCGATTGCCTATTCTGTGTGGGTAGACTATATATATGATGCGACTGAAAAATTAACAAACAAAAAAATAAGTAAACAATCGGAAATTTCAAAACTGGAATAATTTGGTGAAAGATTTGAAAATTTAAGAAAATGTACAAATTCAGAATTTGAAATATTTCACTCGCCATCAAAAAGCGTACATATATACATATATTTATATATATTATACTGCTACTTGATTATAAAAAATTACTAAGTTCTATAGGGAAAATATTTTAGGAAATTACTTTTTCTACCTATTATTTTTAACTCAATGCATTGTGTTTGTCTTCCAAGTCAAATTTATTTGCTATCTTGTTAATTGCTTATAAAAGAAATGGAGATTAAATTCAAGCTTATTAACGCAACGTATGGAGGTATCGTTTTGAAACAAGTGAAAGAAAAGCTCTATATTTTTCGACCAATTTAATTTTTATGTTATTCAAGGTAAAAATAGATATAATAAACATTCTACTTGAAGAAAATTTCAAAAATTCAATTTATCAAATAATTTAGGGAATTTTTTGTAAAAAATCTGGTTTTCTTGAAAAATATGTACTATCTTCTTCGAAGATTGATTCGTTGACTAGATATAAAATTCCACAGTTGAAGAATAAAGTCATAAAAATAGATTCATGTTCAAGCCATAGTATCGTGGAAATGATTTGACTGACGTAAATTTGCAGACTATTTTTATAGTACATTAAATTTCCAATCGAAATAAAAATAGAGAATTGTGAGAATAGAACTGTTGCGAGATCAAACTTTTACAATATTTTTTTCATCATCTTGCACAATTTTTTCGACGTTTCTTTTAAAAAAAAGATTATTTTTAGGAAAATAATTAAAATTATAAATTATTGGTTAATTCTTCATCAAGTTTATGGTGTATGGTTAAACCATACACTTTCTGGTGATGATATTCTAGACAAGACTGCCACTGGAGTTTTTTTTTTTTTTTTTTTTTTTTTTTTAATTAGATAAAATAAAGGTAAGACTTACAAATTGGCTTGTCAAAAAATCGCATTTTATATTAAAATAATTAATCTCATAGTAGGTCAAATAAATGTTACATTAAAATAGTATCAATAATTGTTACTTTTACTTTCTTATTATACTACTTAGTTAAAGCTAGCTAGTTCATAAATATTCAATAAAACTATAAGAATATAAATTCAAATTTATAGATTCTTTATTTAAATTAATAAATAACTGAATTATAATAATTGAAGTTTTTTTCTACTTGTACATTTTATCTTACAGTCATATTCAAAAGTTTAATAAAACTTGCAAACTTTGGAAGAATTTATTCCATATTGTATTTTTGAAATTTTAAATTCAAAACAGTTGTAGGTATTAGATAATTTAAAAAAAGAAAAAAAAAAAAAACGGTAAATCAATAAAGAATTTTTGAAAATTCACAATTTTCTTCGTAAAAAGTTGAAAAATAATTATACAATCATAACTTGGAATGATTTTTATAATTATAAAGAAATATTCTATTAAAAATAATTATTACATTTACAAACATATTTAATGATTATTGATTATTAAATAATATTTTTAATACAGCTTAATGATGAAATTTAATTCAAAGTATAGTTTGTTACTTACGTTTCAACAATACACAACAAGTTAATAATATAGGTGTTTAATTGGACTTTAAATAGTAGTAGTGATAGAAAAAAATAATTTTACTTCAAGCTCCAGTGATTGAAAAAAGATCATCTCGATCGTGAATTAATCTCTTATAACTTTTATTTTATCATCAAAATTTAAATCAACTCTTGACGGATAAATATGTTTCAAATTTCCCTCCATATCAACGACTTTGACTTGTTCCACTTCTAAATTATGACCACTTTGATTTGAATTTTCCGTTGATGTGCATAATCCTTGGGTAATTAATTCTTTTAATAACTCATCCATCACATCCCTGTTAACATAAAATTGTTATAAATTATTCATTTTTACAAAACAAAAAGATTCTTGAAATTGTGAGTATTTATAAAATTTTAAACAATACAATGACATTATTATCCATTACTCGGATTAAAATTATTCTTAACAAATGTATCACAAAAAATATTTGTTCAATCTACTTCAACCTTAATGAAAAAATATTTAATTTTTTATAAAGTAAATATTTACCTGCAAACTTGTCGGGAGAGACCAGTTACTTCAATAAACATGTTCTTAGTGTTAACACTCATTTTTGTAATATCGCTGTTAGTGATTGGTGGAAATGATATTACTTGATTATTTGAATCAATTACACACGGAAATAACGGTTTTCCTTCAATTAAATAGAGATATTTGTAAATTCCAGAATAAACGTTTCGTTTTTTTTCACGTCGCAAATTATCAGCTTCTACTTGAAGACGTTTGAATAATTCTGCTGCTGTAAACATTTTGGCACGGCCCAATGGTTTTATTTCAATTTCAGTGGGAACTTTTGCCGTAAATGTTATGTCACCTGCAATTTGAAAACAAAAAATTAAAAATACGTGACTATTGGAGCTTGGTAAAATAATAAAAATTTAATCATTAATACCTGAGGCAATTAAATCATAATCATGTGTAGCAATAGTGGCAGCATTTCTTTTTTCACAAATACCGTCATGTAATTTAGTTTGCAGCTGTATAAACTTCTTGAAATTTTCTTCATTGAATGAAATGTTCCTGACAATACAGCCAACAATGTAAGGACGCACTTGTTTAATGTGTTCAGTTATTTTAATAACGGGATTATCGTTATTAACGTGAATTATTTTCAATTTATGTGTTATACTATCAATTGCATTATCATCAATATTTTTATTATTTTTCTTATTCTTATTTGTATTATCTTTCGCACTTGATCCTTGATTTTTAGTCAATTTTTGGCAATGTTGATTGATATAATCGATTATTTGTTTTGTTCTACATTGATCAATCAGCTTCTCGAGGCGCTTGTCATTCAATTTATTACCTTTTAAATTGAGTTCTTTCAATTTTTGACAATCAGCTAGTTCACCTGGTACTCCTGTGAATAAAAAATTAGTTAGTGGACCAGATAATTTGGAGTCGAAAGAAAAATTTACCTTTAATACAATTATCAGAAAGATCAAGATGTTTCAATGATGGTAATACAGATACAGCCGCTGGTATTTCATTGATACTATTTTTGCTGATTTTAATTTCAGCTAGATGATTCAAATTACTGTAGCAAACATCAGGAAATACTTGAAATTTATTATTTGATAAATCTAAAGAGCTTAATTTAACATTCGCGCTCAGACACGGTACTTTAGTCAATAAATTAGAATTTAAATTAATCGTTGTCAACTCTGTCAATGAACTTATTTCGAAAGATATTGTTGTCAATTCATTGAATGAACAGTCAAGAATTTTTAATTTTGTTAAATTTTCAATCGTTACAGGTAGATGTTTCAATTTATTTGAATGCAATACCAGTGTTGTTAAATTTGATAATTTTCCAATTTCATCAGATATTGATTCAAGGCATGTCTGATTGATATTCAAGTAATTTAATGTTTTACAATTAAATAACTCGTCACTTAAACCGAAAGATTGAATTTTTTCTGATATTGAAACACCAGACAAAATTAATTCATGGCGTCTTTCTTTTTTGACTTGTTCTATTTCATTCCAATTTTCGGCACTCATTTTAAAAATTTTTAACTTAAAAACAATTCAAAAGTTTAATCAACAATTTATTAATTCAATATAACGATTATTATCATATGTATGATAGTTAAATGTGTTTCGATAAAAAATTTTCGAACCGGTATTCTAGGTTAAATTTTGGGACGTGGCTAAAGGTACGGCAACTGGGAGATACGGATCCGTTCACATACGGCTCCGTACGCATACGGACAACCTTAAAGACCCGGGCAAATTCAAATTTTTAAGTCGTACGCATACGGAGTCATACACAAACGGACTCGTATTTAAACGGAGCCGCGTATATACGGAGTACTATACATACGGACGGGAAAAATTAAGGGCCCGGGAAATTTAAATTTTTTAAGTCGTACGCATACGGAGTCGTACTTATACGGAGCCGTATAACTACGGCGTTTATCTTTGTAACTTATCAGAGTTTTAGTTTTATATGTACGACTCCGTGTTTATACGGAGATTTACAAATTTTTGTTGGTTTAGGCTGTGGAATGCTACATACTCCATAATTTATATATAGTTTTATAGAGTAGTATATAATACTCCATAATTTAGGCAATACTACATGCATATACAGACCTAATAGAATTATGATCGCTTTTAGTTTCTGTCACTTTACGATGCAAACTTCTCAGTAATTTGCAGTGTGTGTATGCCTTAATTTTTTTGGTTCTGAGAATATGCATTATACCCCCTCTCGCTCTGATCTACCTGTTCGAGCTTGTTCGTGAATTTGTGATTCCTTGTGACGATCAGTATTGTTTGGTACTCGTTATTTTATTGACAAGTACAGTGGCTGTTGGCATTAAACTGATTCAAATTATATTATTGCACTTTTAAGTTTGAAGGTAATCGTCGTACTATTTTATTGTAATAAACATGATAATTTTTAAGTTATTCATTTCAACTAATCTAAGGTTATTACTTGCAGATGAGTTTATTCCTGGGTAAAGAGTTTAACTCAAAAGTGGAATTTGAAAAGGCTTGTGAACAATATGAGCTCAAAACTGGGCGAAAATTTTCATTTTCATCCAATTATATTGACACGCGTCATTTAAAGAAACCAATCAACAATCCTAAACTTGAGATTTATCATTGTCTTGCTACGTGTGTTCATCATGGAGCGCCTAGAGAATTGAAAAAAAAAAAAGTAAAAAAGTGAGTACCCACCTTTTACTAGCTTGCGTTGGTTACTTCAAGATGTTAATTTTTCTCTTTATTTACTTTTGAAGCCCTACCGTCAGGACCTATTGTCCAGCTTATTTTAAGATGAACATCCATAATAATGAAACGCTGAGGATTTACAAATGGAATAAAGAGCACAATTGTGAAACCGTACCTGCTTCTATTGCCTCTTCATCTAGCGTTTCACAACAGCATCAACAACAACAACAATTGAGCAAAATAATGCCACCAGAGAATTTTCGTCTGCAAAAACGTATTCATGAGTCAGATTCATCGAGTAGCGATGAATTCGCGAAATCACCGTCACAGTCACCGTCACAGTCCCGTTCAAAGTCTTCTCAGTACTTACAAAAGTCCGTATTATCATCAAGATGTCCGTCAAAAAAGAGGCGTCTCCCTCTGTCTCCTATCCCAGTCCCTCAAAAGCATGCCGATCTGCCATTTAATTCGGAGAAAAGTACAGATGAAGATATTTCCGAAAAAGATGATGAAGGAACATCTGTTCAGTCTCCACCTTACTCTCCATTATCTTCACCTATAAAACAGCACGATGGAAATAATGCAGATGCGACGTACAGTCTCTCAGAACATTCTATTATCTTTGAAGAAGATTTGCCTGTTATAACAGAGGGTGAAAACAACGAGATACTGCAAGTACTTCTAAGAGGCTACATTCAAGCTTCAACACCTGAAGATTCACTGGTTGAATAATATGATACGTTATCAATATTAAAATATTTAGAGCTTTTTTATATTTTTAATTTCAATAGATGTTTTTTTCAATGCTGTCATGAATAATAAATATATTTGATCATATTATAATTTCAACATGTATTCACTAATTTATAGTGATTTTTAGTTTCATTCTAACAATAAATTCAAAATTATCTTTGTATCTTCAATTATTTCTATCATTAAATTAAAACAAATAATTTTAACCTGCTCGAGAATTAATTATTAAATAAGTTAATAATGATTGGTTCCTTAGATATAAGATCAGTATTCTTACGGATCCCTACAAAAACGGAGTCTGTGCGGTACGGATCCATACATATTAGTGTATTACATTTACATAGAGATTACTTTATCATGAAGATTACTATTGTTAATAAGCTTGCAAGGTGTATTTGTTTAATAAGTAGTTATAAAATTAACAATAAATGAATGATAATGAATCTACAACATGTAGAAGCATGCAGTAATACTCCAATATCAAACATGGATGTAAGTTGATATTTTTAATAATTATAACTATTATTTTTATTGAATTTTTTTAATAAATAGTTATATTCAATTTATATTTTTATTAACCTAACTAACACAGGGTTTATTTTTACACCAACGTTTTAAATCTGAAGAAAAAAATTGAGAGCGGCAGTGAAACTTTATGAAACAAGCACAGGCTTTAAATTTACTAGATTTTCATTCAATTATTTAGATGAGTCTTCCACAGAGAAATCAATTAGAAGCAAATTATTGTTCAAAAGAGTGGAATATAAATGTATTTGCTATAAAGAGCCTGAACCTTTACCTCCTAATCGAAAAAGAAGACGAGAGTGAGTAAAAAAAATATGCTAATTAATATATGCAAATTTGTTAAAATTGATTGTTTCTACTAGTGAAAAAAATATAATAAATCTGGATGTTTGATTGATCAAGAAACTTAGGGTGAATCAAACTTTTGCAAGTTACTGAATGTACGAGTAGATAATACTGATTTTTTATAACTTATTTCTGATAGCATCGTTTGATTTCTAATTCCCAATCAGCAAAAATACCAAAAAATTGATTAAAAAAATAACTTTTCACAGTTTGCCATTGTTTTCACTCGATTGTAAGTATAAGCACAAATAGAGGATTACAAGAAAAAGTTCATATCTTATTAATTTTATTAGTGTCCATGTATCTACTTCAATTTCGGTAAATTATATCCGGAGCTACAGCTTATCAAAGATTGTTCCTTAATTTCGATTACATTCTATCAAATAAATTCAACTTTTTTTAGTAATACAAACATAACTTTTCTCTAGTATTTACATTGTAAGTTAATTAATCATTAATTTCTTTTTTTAGCTATATCCCAGGAACCAAGTGTCAGGCAGGTTTCACAGCTCACGTGCATTCTGATAGCTTACTAATTGACGTTTGGAATGATAATCACAACTGCACAAGTGTCAAGGTAACTATATTTATTTAGGTATATATTTTTAGTAATTTCATGAAAAAAACTTGTTAACCTTTATACTATTTAATAGCTTTCTTCAATTGCAACCGTAGAAACTAAAAAATTGAAAGTTGATGACAAAAGCCAAAAATTGATTGGATTAACATTCAACAGTTTTCAATCGATATTAACGTTCGTAAAACAGTTCCAAAAAGAAGAAAATGACGTTTATGTTACGCGAGATAGTCGAACACTAATAAGTAGTGACATTCAAGAACCATATAATGCTGATTTAGAATATATTTATGTAAAATTTGTTTGTAAATTTGGTGAAGCAACTCATACTCCCAAAGTAAATAAAGTGCGAAATACAAGGTAAATATATAATTTTTAGATTCTCTATATAACTTACAGAAATAATTAGGATAGTATAAACAAATACATTCGTATATACATACTTTTTGAGTGAGTTTTGTAAATTTACTTTTTGAAATATCACTATTGGACCTAAATCATTATGTCTAAATTAATTTGTCAAAATTTTTTGCAGTTCCTACAAACTAGGATGTCAATTTTATATTTACGCACATATAACTAAAGACAAAAATTTATTGGAAATAACAAAAGTTAATTTGGAGCACATTAATCATGAAGATATTGAGGTAAACATTGTATTTATATTGAATACTTAAAAAACTAAATTATGTTTGAATTTTTTTTTCTATACAATATCTGCATTTTATTTTACTTCTAGTGATGAAAAGTTAATCCCTAAACACAATATTTTTTAATACAAACCCATCTTTTTATGTATTATTCAATTGCTTATGATAACTAAGATAAAAGACCCCATTAGTGGCACCTCTAAACTTTATTAGTGGCACTTTTTCTTTTCATGAAAAAATGTTCGACACGGAGAGAAATTTATAGAAGCCTTTTTAAAAATTATGGGAATGATTCCTATAATGAAATTATCATTATAGGCATCAATCCTATACTCATTATGGGAACCATACCCATAGTTTATTGGAAACGTTCCTATACAATAATGAAATAGCTTCAATATATTATGGGAATGGTTCCTATAATATTATAGGAATGACGCACATAATAATAAAAAAAAGTTTATTTTCTTAATAATAAAGCAATCACTCCAAAAATATAAAGTAATAATTATATATTTTTTTACTAATAAATTTTTTTTTTGTAAATAAAAATTGATCTTTCACTAGAGTGAAAAAATTTCTTTTTCATAATTTTTATTCACGTGTGTACTTAATCTTAAATTATTTATTCCAGCTCATTAATTATTGTGTTAAATAATATTGAAAAATATTGTAGCAATTCTAAAGTTTCTCTAATAAAAGGGATATTTTCTCACTATACAATTAGAGGAGTAAAATAGATATGGAAACATGTGAAAATTTGGAATTTCAAAACTATTGGAAATTTTATTTTTTTTAAGAAATTTTTTTTTTTAATTAATTTTATTTTAATTTACAAGCATGTATACTATTAAAGATTAAAAAAATATTAATTGCTACAACGGATTAATTTAATAATAATAATAATAATAATAATAAATATTATTACTGATAACTTTTTTATCAATTTATATATTATAAAAAAATAATTACTAATCAAAAAAAAGAATCATTTAATAAAAAAAAAAATAAATTCAGTTAAAAATAATTAATTAAATACCACAGTTGTGTGAAAAAAAAATTACTCCAATATTATTAGGCATCATTCCTATAAAATTATAGGAATGATTTCCTCATTTTTTTCTCCGTGTACTTGGAATAAAAATTAAAAATTTTTTTGATCTAAAGGTCTTAAAGATTAGAAATAATATATCCATTATAGAAATTGATGATTTCACTAATTTAATCAGTACTAAAATTATAGAAAGTGTCAGTAATGGGATCTCCGCGCCATTATTGGGGTCTTTTGGCCTAGTATTATTAAATTTAAATCTTCAGAGCAACAAATATTTATTTTAAATGTACAATATTTATTGGAACGAAGTGGTTTTTAGATGATTCTATATTAATAGGTATATATAAATTATAGGTATATATAAATTAATAGGTATATTATAAATTATATGTATGTATATAAATATATAAATTATTTATATAAAATATATTATTTTTAATTTCAGGCATTTATTGGGGATGTACCTGAAAACAGACGATTGTCTCCAGGAACATATGAAATGGCATTAAACGCCATGGATTTAAATTGCTCCAAAAAACTGTTACAAAACAAAATAATGAATGATAAAAAGATTAATATTCGAACGAAAGATTTATCCAATATGCACAGAAAACATAAGAATTTGATGACTAATGATCTACAAGTTGTGGAAAGAATGCTGAAATCTAAAGGTAAACTATTAATTATTACTGCTTATATGTCACGATTTTTTTATGGTATATTAAGGGGGTATTCTAGTCTAGAAGTATGAATTTCAGGTAATTTTTTGAAATGCCGTAAAAAAAAGACAATCAATATTTTTACTATAAATTTTTTTATTTAAATATTGATTGCCTTTTTTTTTACGTCACTTCAAAAAATTACCCGAAATTCATGCTTCTAGACTAGAATACCCCCTTAATGTCGTATCTAATCATTTATAACCAAAAATACAATTTAATTAACTTTTCGATAGTTTTTATTTTATCAAATTATTTATCAAAAATTTAATATCATTTATTTTTTCTAGGTGCAGATGTTCATATTCTTCATAAGAATAATGAATATCAAGGTTTACACTTCTCTACCGCTGATATGAGATCATCACTGAAAGCATGGCCAGATATTGTATTTCTTGATGGAACTTATAAAGTTTTTAATACTAATTTATCTTTAATGATATTACTTGTAGAAGATTCAAATGGACTCAGTGAAGTAGCAGGGATTGGTTTATTAGCACATGAGGACTATTTATCGATGAAGTGGTTTTTGAATACGGTGAAAAATGAAAATGAAGAGGCTTGCAATAATATAAAATGTTTTATGACCGACAAAGATATGACAGAGCGAAAAGTATTAAAAGAATTATTCCCTAACTCACTTTTACAAATATGTCGATTTCACGTTTTAAAAATATTTTCAACTCAAATAACAACAAAAAATATGAACATTACTAGTGATCAAAAAGATTTTTGTTTGTCCCTACTCACTAAAATTGTATACAGTTCATCAGAAGAAGAATATAATGATTATTACGCTACATTATCAAAAGAAGCACCTCCTCAGGTCGTTAAATATTTTAACGATAATTGGCATATTAATAGGAAAGAATGGTGCACTTATTTGATGGAAAAAAATTTGGGCAATTACTCGAATAATAGATTAGAGTCACTCAATGGAAAAGCTAAAGAAGAGATTGGTCTGAATAATTACATAAGTAGTTTTGTAGTAAGGTTTTTCAAATGGCTTTCTAGTCATAACCGTAATAATGACTTCAAAGCTTCCAAAAATTTTATTAAAATACAACTTCCTGCAAATAACTTTACTGAGTGGGAAAAACTGTATTCGAATTATTTGACCATAAAAGCTTTTGAGTATGTTCAGACTGAGCTTAAGTATCATAATCACATTACGTTTTGGAATGAAAATAATGTAGAAAATACTATTAATCCAGATAATATCGAAGAGAAATATATTATGATGTGTAAATCACTCGTGATAACTACCACAAACAAAAGTTGTGAATATCCTCACTGGTTAACTTTGTTTTTACCTTGTCGACATATTTTTTTAATCAGAAAGAATTATGGTGTTTCATTATTTTCGGAAGAATTGTGTGCGATTCGATGGACAAAAAATTATTACCGATCAACTCAGAGATCATTTCGAAAATTAAAAAAGGAAACTGTTGAAGAAGTTACAGAAACTCAAGTTTCTCAAGTTGTCACATCCGGAGAGAATATCGATAGCAGGGTAGAATTGCACAAACAATTGAAATATATAATAAATGATATAACACATACTATGAGCTTGAATTGTGGTCAAAATTTTGAAAATAAAATGAAAATTCTCAGTAACATAAGTTCTTCTTTTAAAAAAGGATCAGATATTGAAATTGTAAAGGTAGTTCCATCTTTGACTACTATTAAAAATAAGTTGCGAGGTACGATGGTAACAGAAACAAATGTTAAGTCAGTTTTTCAAAAACGAAAAATAATCAAATCATTAACCGATAAAATTTGTGAGTCATCAAATAGCTGGTTATTAAATAATTGGAACTCTAAATTACAAACTTTAAAAGAAATAGATAATTTTTGGAGACAGTCTATTGAAGTAGATGTACTTGAAAAGCCAAGCAAAGTAGCTGCAGCTGCTATTGAAAACTCTAATTCTAAAAAAATTAACAAAGTTGGGCAGGCAATAAAACTTGATTATGATTGTAAAGTTTCTGACGTAAATACACCTGTGAAAGTAAACACTCGAGGTCGGCCTAAAGGAGCATTGTTAACTGTTATAGGAGTTCCAAAGAAGAAACGTAAGCTAAGTACTTTTTCGGAAAAAAGTAGTTATGAACAAGCCACTGTTTTATTAAATTGGTTGCAATTACCTGATACAGTTATTGATAACGTCTTGAGAAATGAGTACATTATTAAATATAAAGATATTTCTAAAATTTGTACAGTTGAAAACCTCGAAAATGGCTTCACACTTACATCTGTGAATTTCAATGTTCTTAAAAACTATTTTGATGAAACAAGTTTCCAATTTCTTGTGCAAACAGTCGAAAATAAGAAAAAAAGTAATGTTAGCTATTGTAACAGTTGTAAAGGAACATTTCTAAAAGATACTAAGGTAAAATTTGTGTGCTGTGATAATTGCTTAAACTATTATCATTCTAATTGTGTCTCAAAAAAAAATCGTCAACATTCTTGGTTTTGTGCTAACTGTGAGGAAAAATTTAAACAAAAAAGTTGAGATTAATAATGAACATTGAAATAAAAAGAATATTTAATACAAAATAATAATTTCGAAATATATACATAACTATAACGTTAAATCTTATTTTACTTCACTAGATCTTCATACTGTATTGTTATTACTTTGTTTTACATATCAGTATGAAATTTCACTGAATATAGTTAATGTAACTATTTCTAAACAGAAGGTCATGCAGCTTCATATGCTATTAGTTAAAAAATTTATATTTCTTCATAATTTTGAGACATACCGTATGAAATTAAAATATAAAAAAAAAAAAACAAAAACAAGCAATTGTAATTTACACAAAACTTTTAAATAATTGCAGCGAAAACAACAACAAAGTAATAGGCTGAAAAAAATAATCATTAACCATTTTTTTCTTCTGTTATTTTTCAATTTCTAGGTGTTGTTTTGTACTCTGGTTGTGCTAATTTGAGTTTTTCGTTTTCTTTGTCCTTAAGTCCTCTTACTATTTTTTAATGGAATATTAGGTGAAATATCCTCAAAGTTTTTAATAACTAGTTCCATAATAACGATATCATACTTTCTGTGATTTTAAGCAAAACATCAGTTATGTCTTTTGATGGTATAACATATTATATTTATGCTTTTTATAAACAAAATATTTTTTTGCTATTCCTTAGATTTTGCAAAATATTTTTATACACCTAATGCGAATCTATAGATATGATAATTTGTTCATTTGAAAGAAAATTACATGAATTTCTATTCACAATTATAAAATTTCATAAATTGCTATAATTTTTCGATAGAATATATGACAAATTTAATAAAAATTTTTCAAAACGTAAATTATAATTATAAGATGCTACAAAATTTCACATTTTTCAATTTAAATTTAACTGACAATTTATCTCTTTTGACAGATATAAACATTGATGTGATTATTTTATTATTGTATATAAAAATGATTTTATTCTAATGTCAAGATATGTATTTGTTTCTTTTTTTATTTCATTTTTTTTAACAATTTTTATTTTAACTTAGCCATATTCAAGGATGTATTATCTAATTAAATAAATATAATTTAACTTTTAATTAAGTCTTCCTTTATTTGACTTATTGATAATACTTAAATTCTTCATAACTTTTTATTGTAATAAGTAGTTTAAGTGCAGTTATATAAAATAGTTTTTTTAATAAATCAGCCCAGGTACACACCTAAAATGTCATACATTAATCTTCTTTTTAAATTGACATATAGACAACAGACTTATTGATTAATAAACAATATTATTTTTTTTTTAATAACAAAACAAAATTAATATTTTAAATAAATTAAGAACGGGTGTCTTGAATCATTCCAACATTTTTCAATCTTTTTGCACTTGTTATTCACCTGTGTCTTTTGTTTCACGTGCGCTCTTTTTTTCGTTTTAATTTTTTTTTCTTTCAAATTTTCCGATAATTTTCATGTCCTCATTTACCTATCCATATTCTTTCTTGTATTTCTATACTTCTTTCTTTGTTCCTACATTCTCTTTTTCTTCTGCATGTCTCGACGCAACTATAGTTAAGAATACTATTTTGAAGAAAATGATTTTCTTGAATCAAGAGAATATATAAATTCTAGAGTCAAGAAATTATTCTTGATTTAAGTAAATTTTTCTTGATTCAACAATTTATTCTCTTGACTCAAGAAAATCATTTTCTTCCAAATAGTATTCTTGGTTCAAGATTTAGGCTCTTGAGTCAAGTTAATTTTTTTATCAGTGTATTGACGCTTCTTTCCTTCTTCTTCTTACACTCCTTGTCCCAGCATTTCCTGTAACTAAATTTTATGCATTTGTAATTTAAAATTTCTTTAGTTACACTTTTGTGTGCAAATTTTTTTAATTTTTCCCCATTTTCTTTGTAGTAACTTGCAGACAGTCGACATGTGGCTTGATTCTTTCCTCACCTCTACTCTAAAATCCTTAATTTTCTCTCTACTTTTTCAGTTAACAATTGAATAATCTATTATAGACTGACCTTTCTCTCACAGGTATGTAAACCTATTTTCCTTGCCACTCAATATCCAACCCTTCAGCAAACACAATCGTCTTAATCTGTATCTGTCATTGCTATATTAGTTGTGTCCCGTTGGCGTCACATTGACCGTCTTTTAAATCTCTGATTTCTTCCTTCTACATACCAGCAACCTTATTGTCCCGTTTTGACATTAAAATCTCTTTCTATTAATAATTATTATGTCTTCTAGCGTCGTGTATATTCTAGTATTCTCTTCAACATCTACTTTATCTTATAGCCATGTTATAAAGAGTTTAAATTTGCCTCCGCGTAAATTATCAATCTTAATTTTTCTACCCTATACATTGGGCGTGTTTGGCCGAAGTAAGTACTTACTAAACTTAGTAAGCCAGTTAGCATAAAAAAATTTTAATCTTACAAGCTGACTATAGCGCTTTTCGGCCGGGACAGACTTACAGGCTTAGCATAATACAAAATACCGACTTACGTTATATTCCGTACATAATCTCATAGTCTGAATATAATTGACACTGATAAATTTATTAATATAGTTTAATTCAAGTAATTAGTTGTAAATGGACAATTTTATGAGAAATATTTAATTGGAAGAAAAGTTAAACGACCCCTTAATCAACATAACATTTAAACTATAGATTGAGTATGAACAAATGATTACTATTTCTCTTATATTAAGAATAAGTAATATAAATTTTAACGATTATTGAAACAAACAGTCAATAGAGTAATTGAATTTAAAAAATATACATTTCTTTTCTGTCTTGTCATACTCATAGATCTCTTCTTTTAAATGATATTTGTGAAACTTGTCATAAGTTCCCAAGTAACATGTGCTTGAGCAAGATTTTGGTGCCAGCGTCTTGAGCAAAACCCCTAGTTGCTAGTGTCTTTTTCTACATATGGGTCTTGCTCAAGTTTATTTAAAAAGACATGGTTCAAGATTTATATATAACTAGCTCAAGACATCTTGTGCAAGAATATGAGACAAGTCTAAAGCAAGGTGCATTGAAAAATTTTCTGACGCATTTTTTGTACCAGAAACTCACAACAAAGACTTACCCATGAGTTGCTCAAGATTTGCTCAAGATCCATAATTCTCAGAAATCCACTGATTCTATACAAAATATAGGAGGGGTAGAATGATGCGAACGTTCATTCGAAAACATTTTATCTTGAGCAAATCTTAAGCAACTCTTGCACAAGTATATTTAGCATGCTTCTGGTGTCAGTCTTTCTCAAGACTTGAGCTATAATCTGGCCCAAAGATCTTGTACAAAGCTTGTAAATTGAATTTGCTACAAGTATCTGGAGCAAGACCCATAGGTAGAAAAAGACACTAACAACTATCGAAATTGAGACCAGATTTGCTCAAGTCTTGTAAAAGATTGCTATATGGGTACAGAGGTTGAAAGATGTTAACTTTAAAAATGTGAGACTACCATTGGTCTAAAATAGTCTGGATTGCTTTAGAAATTTCTGGAATGATCTAGGAAGCTTTTATATGTATATCAAATGTTCTGATTGATAGAAATTGTTCTAGAAAATTCTAGAATGATCCAGAAATTTCTAGAAAGATCTGGAAAGTTCTAAAATCTACGTTTAGATTCTGATTGAATGAGAATGTTCTAGAAAATTCTAGAATGATCTAGAAATCTTTAGAATGATCTGAGAAGTTTTAAAATGATATGGGAAGTTGTAAAATCTGCGTTTAGATTATGATCAAATGAGAATCTTCTAGAAAATTCTAAATTGATCTGGGAAGTTCTAAAATTTGCGTTTAGATTCTGACTGAATGAGAGTGATTTAGAAAATTCTGTTATGATCTAGAATAACTCCGAGTAAAATAGAAAGCTTCAAAGTGTATTCTTATCGGTCGAAAATATGCTGGATTGTTTTCGTAATTTTTAAAACATCCCAAAAATTTTAATAATATCAACAAATAACTGCACTATTAAAAATGACCCAGCGAAGCGGGTGTTCATGGCTAGTATAATATAAAAATTGATTTTATTATATATTTTGATAGTCCTAGTTTATTTATTTAACCGAATCTCATTATAACATCACATTTATTTAAATAATAAAATAAGTAATGATTTTAATATTAGGCATGAGCAGAGCAAACCAAAACATCCCATAGGAAATGTAACCAATTTTTTATTTCAGAATTATTTAAATGTAATGGTGAACATCACTTTGCACTTTTTGTGATTACCAAAAAAAAATTTTTTTTTTCAAAGAAAAAATTTTTATAACATTCGGCTATGCAAGTCTGATCAGATCTAATTATATATAGACCTGTATATTATTAGATCTGATCATGTATAGACTTCTATATGATTATATATGGGCTCATAGCAACCGGGTATGATCAGATCCAATTATATATAGACTTTTATATAATCAGATCTGATCATATATAGACGTATATGTAATTATACATCGGGTTTTAACAGCCAGATATGATCAGATCCAATTATGTATAGGCTTATATATAATTATATATAACCCCATGTATAATCATGTTTAATCTATATTATCTATACTTCTATACTTCTATATATACTAATATTATAAAGAGGAAAGATTTGATTGTTTGTTTGTTTGTTTGTATCGAATAGGCTCTGAAACTACTGAACCGATTTAAAAAATTCTTTCACCGTTGGGAAGCTACACTATCCTCGGGTGACATAGGCTATATAACATCATAATTAATGTTGAAATTTTTGTTAAATAGCCGTGCGAAGCCGGGGCGGACTGCTAGTATTATATATGTGTATATAAAAATTCACCAAATAGCATGTGGGTACTCGAATGAAAGCTCTTGATGAGTGAAACATCGGGATGAGCTTATATCTTCAAAAACATCAATATTTAAGAAAGAACAGTTCAATTAAAAAAAGTTATTATTTAATGAAGAGCAAAATTTTATATATATATATACTCTCTAAACATGAATAAGTGAATATTCACTTATATAAGTGAGAACCGAGCCACTGACTTGAAAAAGTGGCTCGATTGGCACTTAAGTTAAGTGAATATTCACTTATACTTATTTGACGAATTTTCACTAATTCAGTTTTAGGGAGTATATATATATATATATATATATATATATATATATATATATATATATATATACTAGACGACCCGGTGAACTTCGTATCACCTACATATATTTGTGAAAAGTATAGTCAAAACTTAATAATACAAAATTCTTATTTACATTCAATGCAACATATTTATACACTTAATCAATTTAAAGCTTTTTGATGGACTACATTTTATATCTTCTTTTGCGGTGCGTAAATATATAAAGATGATGGTTTTCCGATTCACGAACACAGGACGTATAATTCCCCATGCACGAAATAGGGAAACTCCAATTTGATTCCGCAAATTTTCAACGACTGGCCTGGTGATTTATTTATGATCGTCAGTGCGGTTTGAACGTGAGGTTACTCGTCTCACATCTCATTAACTGGAATGACCTTAGTCAGGTCGTCTTCTCTTTGGTATTTCGAAACAATATATCTTTTACACCCTTATAATTATTGACTTGCGACCACCATAGTGCACGATGGGAACCTTGTACCTATTATATTATTCGATACGTTATGTACTTCATAGAATTGTTGTCACATAAGATAGTAGTACAGCAAGCGCGGGAACTTCAAGGCGCACAGATATCACCAAAGTTAAACAGCATTGAGCGTGGTTAGTAGGTGGATGCGGGTGACTGCTGGTGTTACAGCCGTACAATTATATGTAATCATTTTTTTTTATTTTAATTCATTATAGAGAATTGCGTATGACTCTATCAAGTACTATCCATAAATTTAAGCAAAATAATTAATTAAAACTAACAAATGGACTTTCAGACATGACCGCATGTCTGATCAGACCTGAAGACTCATGTCTATTCATGTCTGATCAGGTCTGATCATTTTTTCCCGGGTATATAGTCTTAATTTATTTATTCTACCAAATTTTATTATAACATCACATTTATTTAAATATTAATAAAATTATGAAACAGTAACAGGGCAGACCAGAACATCCCATAAAATTTGTAATTGATTTTATTTTTCTATAATTAGATATCATATTACATATAAATTTTGCACTTTCTATAATTTAAAAAAATTTCTTTTCCGGCAAAACATTGAAAACAAACTGCTGTTATCATTCCCCAGACTAGATCAATTTAACACTTCATCAGACATGAACAGACATGGAGCGATATGATCAGATCTCAGTGTATATACAGGAAGACATACAGGACAACATGTATGCAAAATTAGAAGGCGATAAAAAACTTGGCGAGATATTATTTTAGCATTTAAAATAAATTTTCAAGAATTATGATTGTATTAATCTTTTAATAAGTTCAATATTGAACTATTGCAATATTATAAATTATACATGCTGCAGGTTTAATTTTCTAAATCAATTTGAATGAACAAATAGTTTGTTGTTTTAAAAACTATTTATAACTAGAAGATATTGTTTGTGTGTACTTGGACGTAAAAGTTTTTTTTTACTTATTAAAAGAAAAAAATGTTAGATTTTAGTGTTCCTATAATTAATGAATGGAACGAAGAAAGTTATTGTAACTTGAGTGCTGTTAAAATCAACAAAAATTCGTAAATCTCCGTATAAACACGGAGTCGTACATATAAAACTAAAACTCTGATAAGTTACAAAGATAAACGGCGTAGTTATACGGCTCCGTATGAGTACGACTCCGTATGCGTACGACTTAAAAAATTTAAATTTCCCGGGCCCTTAATTTTTCCCGTCCGTATGTATAGTACTCCGTATATACGCGGCTCCGTTTAAATACGAGTCCGTTTGTGTATGACTCCGTATGCGTACGACTTAAAAATTTGAATTTGCCCGGGTCTTTAAGGTTGTCCGTATGCGTACGGAGCCGTATGTGAACGGATCCGTATCTCCCAGTTGCCGTACCTTTCTTTAGCCACGTCCTAAATTTTGACCATATGATTTGCTACGCAGAATTTATCAAGTACAATTTATACTCATGATGTTCTCAACTTGTATGGTTATTCCTTTTATATCTTTTTACGTATTTAAATCAATTTAAATTTCTTACATGTTTGTACATAGAGGTCTCTGAAACCAGTCATATGACTACTGTGACTACTAGCGTCTCTACCAAATAAGATTTGCTTTCAAGAAAATTCGAAGCCAGCGCCAGAATTCAATTTAAAAAATTATTTAATTAAAATAAAAAAAAATGATTAACAAAAAAATATGATAAATTCATTTTTTATATAAATAAAAAATGAATTTATCATATTAAATTTAATAATAATATTAAACTTTTTTTTTTCGTCATTATTAAAAAAGTTTTTGATTAATTTTGAGAAATTCAGTTTTTCTTAACATTCAATGACACTCTGTATTTGTAACCACACTACAACATTTTTGTTTTTTAAGTACTTTAATTTACAGTCAATTTTGACCACAACATTTCATACCTGTTATAATAATCATATTGATTATTAAGGGCCAGTTTTTTAATCCAGGATAAAATTTTATCCAATGATAAAATATATCTATATATTTCATATATATATAAATATACTGGCAATAATAATTTTATCCTGGATAAAATTTTATCTTGGATTGAAAAACTGGCCCTAAATAAATTTACTGTTAAATAAACATATGTAATATGTTTGTAAACGTGTACTTAGACATGAGACCACAGTGTTCTTAATAATACTATTGACATATATTTTAACTAAAGCTGGACGAGTATTTTTTTTGTTTTTTCGACTTCTAAAAAAAAAATTGAATGATGACATTGAATGCATCGCTGATTATATTATTTATATTGATTAATATAAAGTTAATTTCACTGAAATATACCGAAGTAAATCATTAAATTTTTTAGTTAATTGAAAAACGAATGATTTTTTTATATTTGGCTGTGATTTTGTGCAACATTTCACATAACAACAAACCGTTTTTTTTTTTTGCACGCCTTATAGCGCGAAGCGCGTGAGGTTGTGCTTTATATACTCGACTCGTCAAGGTCAAGCAATTTTGTGATCTTTAAATGGCTTTATCACAACCATATGACACTTATACAATAATATAAGTAGATGTACACCGAGAAAACACTTAAATTAAACCATTTTTTACTTTCTAAAATCATTTCACGTAGCTATTTTGAAAAAAAAATAACGTTTTGAAAAAAATTTTACGTGGACGTCCGGATGTCACCCTATTTTTTGGATGTACCAACGATTACTCCCGAACAAATTGATATTTCAAGACCGGACCTTTTTTATTAGTTCAAGAATGCCATGAACTGGGTCCGTATTTCATGCTAGTTTACGTATTTTTATTTTAAATTGAATTTTTATTAAAATTCACTACGATACAACCGTACAAAGACAAACGAAAACGAATTATTCTTATTTGTCACGTGAAAATTATGGCGCCACTCGATCAAGCTAGATTTTTTGATTTTTTTTTTAGACTGCGTGCGCATATGACAAGAAAAAAGGGCGCTGATATTTAAAAAAAAATACTTTGTAAAAAATTATTTAGTTATAATTTTTTTTTTTTAATCAATAACACAGTTATTTTTTCTTAAAAAATGAATGAGCGTTATGAGGCGTGCACTTTTGGATTTTTCAAACTTTTTTTTTTTTAAATTATTAATTGTTTAACTATAGCGTTTTAACAGATCAAAACAATGGTTATTAACTCAAGGGTAGATATCAAAATATTAAAAAAAAATCCTTCTAATATATCGTGTCGCCCCCGCAAAGGCTATCATACTTTGTTGTTGGCTGCTGCAAAATTCAGATGTCACTGACAATATGTAACATTTCTGCTTCTCCATTCTACACCTGTTCTTTATTCTTTGGATTTAATATACATGTTATATGTTATACATGTGTATTTGTGTGCACAAAAATATTATTTTTAAATTCATAAATGAATGAAAATATAAAATTCATACTTGATCGGTATGCCTAGTGCTAGACGTAATTCTAATCGTAATTTTAATGCCCGAGTACCATTAAATATTTACCAAGTACCATCTTCTCAGTCATCACTGTCAACAACAGTTACAACAACAACAAACATAACCTCAAATATATCAACAAGTTCATCATTATTAAATGATGAAAAAAAATATAGTGATAATGTAAATAACGTAAATCGACTTTTAGCACCTAAACATGTGCCAATACCAACGGTACCAGTTGATGGACAGCTTACATTCGAAGCCATTTCACTTGGTATATCTGTCATCGCTGCATGCTTACAGTTGCTTAATTTATATCGCACTGTCTGGTGGCTGCCACAATCTTACAATGACAATAGCATAGTAATCAATTTTTGATCAAGTTATTTTTATTAAAAACAGAATTTAATTAAATTTTTAAGCTACAATTTCTTTATTTTGTTTGTTTCCAGAATTTTTATCTTATAGATCCTTATTTCATCATTTTTATCATAACAATGATAACAAGGCGATTTATTTATGCATTGTTAAGGCGAGTTGTTGATTCCTTAAGTCCAGCTAGATGGATACCTATGGCACAAAAAGTAATGAGGTATATTATATCAATCCAAGTTAATTATTTTGTTGATTGTTTTAAGGGAAGGCTACACTATTGATGCTCATAAAATAAATAGGATTAAATTTATTTCAACAAATTTATTTCTTAATGTTTGTTTTCGAATGTAAAATGAAAAAAAAAAATATCAAAAATTGTTTTACTTATCTAGATGAATTTTATTAACGATTTTTGATCACCATTCTTTTTTTCTTTAACATTAAGGGCCAGTTTCTCAATCCAAGATAAAATTATTATTGCCAGTACATTTATATATATGAAATATATAGATATATTTTATCATTGGATAAAATTTTATCCTGGATTGAAAAACTGGCCCTAAAAACTGCGTAAATAATTGAAAAATTAAACATTGACTAATTTTATGATTCTTATTTTAAACACACATTAAATTTCGTTTAATTTGTTAAGCTAACAAGAATAAATTAATAATTAAAAATTATTTTTTTAGGATTGTCTTACTTGTAGTTATATTAGCAATACTTGTATTTTGTCTTTATTTAATAAATGAACGTCACAATTCTATGAAAGTTTTTTATCTTTGTTATCCGTAAGTATCGTTTTTTTCTAATTACAATTTTATTTCATTTTTACTTACTAAAATTATTTTTATTATGCACTAGAAGTATATCAGTGTATTTTTTCATGTTTGGTATGAGTATTGATCCATTTTTCGATATAACAAGTCCACCATTATACGTTAAAGAAGATCGAAAAACAAAGTTTTTATTAGGTAATGTAAAAATTTAAATATATATATATATATATATACATATAATTTTAGTAATAAAAAAAAATCAATGCTATAAAATATTTATTTTTAATTTAATACATTAATTTGATAAATTTTTCCTAGACAAACCTTTACATAATTGTTCATTGAATGCATCAGCAATAAGAGCAGAAGTATCAAGCTTACGATCAGATTTTAATCGCCGATTAAAACGCGCTCTTTTTGCATCATCTGGTAGTGCTTATGTTTGTGGAATAGCACCAATTATTTTTGTTCCTCAATATCTTCATTTTAATATATCCTGGATTATTCAACATATTGTTCTTTTTTGGCTTGGAAGATTAAGTGCACATTTTGCTCAAGCGTATCCAGTCAGGTAAATGTATAAAATTTATTTTCGTAATTTAAATGATTAAGTTTATTATGCAAGAGCTTATATACTACTTGGATTTTCAAAAAATCTTAGTAGAATTGAAAATAAAAAAAAAATAAATAAAATACATATAGTCTTGAAATTTTATAAGAAGTCAATTGAAAACAAAAAAAGTTGGAAAAAAAAGATTTGTACAAAATTTTAAAAATATTTTTTTAAAATTGATAATCCCGAAATTATTATTTTTCAAATTTAGTAATACACATCAATATCATTTTTGTTTATTTCTAATTTTAATAAATACTTACCAGAATTACAAAAGTGAAAAAAATATTTTATTAGATAAATTACTTATTTTTAAATGAATTACATTAGTTGGAAAAAAATTAAAATTAACAATGTGTACAAACATTATAAATGAATTTAACATAATATATATTTCTTAAAATAATATAATAATATTTCTTTACAGATATTGCGATGTATTACATCGCGCAGCATTACACCTAGGTAAATGGTCAAAAATAGACAGCCGTAATGTTCATTTAGTAGCACAATTGTGGAATGAAAATACACTTTGGCCTCATGGGTCAATAGTTAAACATAATAGAGAATTTTATCGTTCAAAAGGTCTTTGTACGACTGCTGAACCTGGTAATTCAAGTCATTGTCGATTTTATGTAAGTATTAATTTAAAAATTTTATATTTTATAAGTTACTTTATAATTAGGGTTGTCATAAACATAGATATCAATTGATTATTTATCATTGGCAAATCTAATTAAATTAAGCGTTCAATTAGTTTAACAATTTTAAAATAATAATTTTATATTTCAGACACTTTTTAATAATCCAACAATGCTTCTGTGTTCATTGTTAGGATTACAATTGTTATTAGTATCGGTACAAATATTGATATTGTTACGTGCTGTTGAATGGTACCAAATTCTGTCAATGACATTATTATTAATAACAAACTATTATACTCTTTTCAAATTAGCACGAGATTTTCTAGTGTGTTGGAAAGTTTATCGTACGGAACAGATAATACAGGAAAAAGCACAAACTGCCATAATTACTAATCAATAAAATATTATTTAATTTAGTGTATTGAAATATTATTACAATTATTATAATAACTTCTGTTGATTATTTTTATTTATTTTTGTTTTAGTTGAGTGTCATTTTATTTTTGTTAATAAATAATTTATTTAAAACTAAAAACAAAATAACTGTTGTCTAAAACTTTTCTTTCATGATTACTCTTGTATTATATACGTAGACAAAATATAAAAGTTTAAATATATTTATAATAATAATTATAAAAAACAGCAGTAATTTCTTCTTTCACAATATTAAATATTATAAATTATGAATAAACATTCTTAATGTATAAATTAAGTAATAGTTAGATTATCGAACAACATTCAATGGTATAGTCATGTTACGAGGTAAGCGCACAGCAATTGAATCTGCAATATTTTTGCTCACTTCATGCCAAACATATTTACCCATAATTGTTACTTCTTCTAAAGCTGGACGAAATGATACTAATATTGTAAAACAAATTCCATCGCCCGACTCTTCACCGCTGTATTCTACTGACAAAAGTCCATGTGGTCGGTGTTGAGGCACATCGTTACCAAAAATTTCCTTTTAACAACAAATAAATAATAACATTATAAGTAACTAAAAGAATAAAAAAAATAATAATAATAATAATAATAATAATAATAATAGGAGTATATTCAAGTGGCACTTACAACCATGAATTTATGTAAAGTTGAATGTAAATTTTTATTTGGATTTATTTCACATATCGGTAGATGCAAACAAGATTTTTCTGATATAAGAACATGCATTCGATTCCTATAATTATAAGAAAATTTTTATATAATAATTTAATAATACCAAAAAATAATAAACAATCATCTTTAATAAAAAAAAAAAAAAACGTACGTTGCTTTTTTTTTATACAAACAATAAGCCGTATAAAAAGTTTGCTCCATGACTTCTCAACTGGTAGCAATGGTAAATGCCACGGTGGGTTACTAGCAATTTTACGATCTTTTGCACGCTGTATGAGTGGTAAAATATCAGAAGATCTGAGTGATAAATCATTAACGTTACTAATCCATGATGCTTGAAGGGATTCTTCATTAGCTTGATCAGGAGTCTTCAGTACTCCACCAGTAATATCTCCCACCATAACAAATCTAAACCATGAACCACTAGCACATTCTACCATTATCAATGACTTTGGTTCCATTGACAGACCAGTTTCTTCTAATACTTCGCGTTTTACTGCATTTATTAAAGTTTCATTTGGTTCAACACGACCAGCCGGCAAATACCACTTACCAGCACATGATGCTTTTGCTTCTTGAATCATCAGCACTTCATTTTTGTCATTTATTATTACTGCTGCGACTATATATGTTACTGTTTTCTGACAAATTGGTAAATAGTTGGAGCTGGATGTTGATTTTATACCCTTAGCTTCTGTAATTTATATTAATAATATAAAAAATAATAGATATCCAATAACTTTTATCATTTTTCTACTACATAAATCAAAAGTATGAGAACATTCAACTTTATCAACTTTTGTAATGAATTTTTGTTATATGATTTATTGTTGTCAAATTTACTGTGTTTAAAATTTTTGTTTACATGTTCTATTAGAACTTCAAAACAACTTGACCGATATTGATAATATGTTGATATATTCTTCGCAAAAATTTAGGGAGCAAAAAAAATTTTTTAGTTTGTTTTAGCAGGTTACATTAAAAGATAATCGTAATGAGGTCCTAAAAATTTTTTTTGCTCCCTTAATTTTTGCGCAAATGGAAAAATCGATTTTAAAAGTAGTTGTTTGTATTTATTTTTATTTTTTGCAGACATGGCCTTTGGTTTTAATATTATTGTATTTTTATGTTCAATTATTTATAACTTTTGACTTAATAAAGCCACTTTTCGGTGGTGGTGGCTTTTTTGTAAAGCAAATTTGGCGCATTCTATTATTTAAACACATAATAGATCGATAAAACATTGTTTTAAAAATTATTTGATGGATAATTTTCTTAAATATCAGTATTTTTTGAGTAATTTTCTTCTGTAATAATTTTTTTCTGGTGTCTGCTACCGTTGATAGTTTTTGAGCTATTATTCAAAAATTGAGCCTCAGTAAGGGCTAGTTGTTCAATCCATAATAAAATTTTATCCAATGCTAAAATATGTCTATATATTTTATGTATATAAATATACTGACAATAATAATTTTATCCTGGGTAAAATTTTATTCCTGATTAAAAAACTGGTCCTTATTAACTTCTGCTGTTACAATCGTTCTGACGATATTCTATAAGTATAAGTATATAAGTAATTCGAGGTTATATCATGTTGTTTATTTATTTATAATATTATATTGTGTATCATAAAAAATGACTTATCTATATCATGTTTGTTTGTGTAATTCATAGCAATTATAAAAAATTGATTATTTACATCAATTTGAATATAAAATAAACTCTAATTCAACTGTCTAACAACCTTTCAAATTAAAAATTGCCATCAAAGATGAGTCGATATCATTTACAGCTGACTTTAGTGGGATATTTTAGGTCTTCATCAAATGATGTAGCGTATTCTTACATATTAGATACAAAAATAAATAAATAAAAATAATTACCATTAGACTCGTTTTGTTGTGCTAGAGAAAAGTCACAAAATTTTTCATCTTCATTTAGTTTTAATCCGTCTAAAACTTGGTGTATGTTTTCTTCAATACTGTCAGGCATTTTATCCTCTTTTTTTTTTTTTTTTTTTTTTTTTTTTTAATTGTTATTCAAAATATAAACCATTGGAACAAAATTTTTATTTAGCTTCTCGAAGAATGTTACAGCACACACTCAATAATAAACATTTATTTTGAACAATAAAAATTTAAAGTTGAGTTAATATAAGTTCAGCTTGACAAGTATCTGATAATATTATTGATCAAGATGGATATTATATTACACATATTTCGGCTTTTCCTACTTAAAATTCAACCGACACGTAGAGATGGATAAATTAATTTATAATGCATAAATACAGTTATATGCTCATGGGTGTAGATCGGTGTAAGGTAAGTTCATAGTTTCATGCCTTTTTTTAGGTTTGCTTGCATTCTAGGTCATCACATTCAATATTCATGCATAGGATACATTCAATCTATCTAAATCCATCTTATATATGATACATAAATACGTAAATGACTGATAAATCTTATATTTTTCAGTCAGTTTATACATATCATGTAAACACAATTTGCAACGGTGCTTTATTTATTTTTAATTTTGGGATGATATTTACCAACATATGAAGAGCGGGAGTATTTGAATTTCAGATAATAAGAAACTAAAATTGTTTATCAATTATAATTTTATGAAAGTTTAAATTCAGATAATATATTTGAATTATTGAATTATTTTCTGTAAAAGCACGAAATTATATCGCAATAAATTAGCTTGAATTTTATCATAATTTTTAATTATTTATGATACAATATAAACATAAAGAATATAGATGTATAAATTTGCTATCGTAAGGAAAATTAATACGATTGATGAAAGAATATCTATATCCTACGGGCACAATCATCAAAATTTTTTTGGTGATGTTTTGTTTAATTTAAGTTGACAATTATAAATTTCTGACTTTTTGTTAAATAAAATCTCCCAAAAAGTCAAAATTTTTTTTGTGACGCTTGGGATCAGATTCTATAAATATTGTAAAGTATCTTTTTTTACTTTTTAAAAATTTGTCAGATAAACGTTCAAAGTCAATCATAAAAATAACTTACCGAGATAGAGCGATTTTAGTCTCCGTTCCACCCCACGTTCATATCTAAGTTGTTGATTTTTTAGTCAAAAAATAAGTGTTTTGACTTCTAAGCGCTACTAAAAATCCAAAAATAAATAATAAAATAAAATAATAAAAGTTGTTTTTATTTTGTCGATTTCAAATGATCCAGTGTAATGAGTTTTCGTGTCCACCGAAAAGCACCTTTCTTCTGAGGCACCCACAAAAAATGACTGTCATAATTATGATTAAGAAATGTAATTTAAAATAATTTAAAAGCATCTAATTTAAATACTATATAGATATACAATTAATATAAAGGTAATCATTTCAAATCATCTCACTGAATCAGGGAATCTCATTTCTTCATGTTTTTAAATAAAAATTTCACATATTACTATAAAAATTTCACTTTAATATGTCCTATATTGATAAATAAATTTATATTAACCATATTATTGAAAAAAATTTTTTTAATTATGCTGCTTTCGAATTAATTTCCCCCATCCCCTTCAATTAAAGAATAGAATTGAACTGTCATTATTGTTGAAGTAAAATAAAACAAAAAAAATACAGTAAACTTACATCTAAAGTAATAATTACAGTATATTATTTTAAAATAATTATTTAACTATTAAATTATGTATAATAATAATATAACCGTGATTTGATCATTCAATTTTTGCACACGTTTTTATCTACTTCTGATGATCCAAAAGTTTTGTATGTATAATTTTAGTGAATATTATGCATACAATAATGTGTACTGCTTCGATTAAAAGTTTTATGTATTTTATCTGATCAATTTTCTTTTATAAACTACTGTTTTATTAGTTGATTATACTTATTGTAAAATTTGTCATACTCATGGTCAACAAATTGTGCTGTAAAATTTTTATTTTACGTAACTATATTTACACTGCATTCTATTCAATTTTTTTTGTCATGAATTTTATAAATGTGTTTGGTTATTATAATTATACATGTACCTATATATAATTAAATAGTAAAGTTAATTAACTGTCATCTACTACTAAATAACTATAACAATTTTTTCTAATTCACATTTTAATTTTATAATGACCTAGAAATAAAAAAAAAATTTATTCATTTAGGCAGTAACAAAAAAAAATTTTGCTAAAATGTCATTAATTTATTGTTAATACTTTTCGAAGTGGCTCCTTGCTGAGATACTATAGATACATTTTAAGATGAAAATTTGACTTTGGCTGAATATTTACAGGCTTTTTGAAAAATACAATGTAATGTTTGCATTTTACGCGTTAAAAACACATACAAATAAATATTTTTTTGTTCAAGTATAAATTTTTTTGAATGGCAGTTTTTGAAAAATACAATTTTCTCCGGCAATTGGAGATTATTATTTAGTAAATTGTTATTGTTGCTCTAAAAATAATACAGAATAATAATCAATGATAATAGCTGCATGTGCTAAAAATATGTTTAAAAATTATTTTACTTTATAACATGCTCTTTTTCAAATTTTTTAATAGATTGATTAGAAATCGAATTTAAAGAAATTAAAAGTTAATTGATTGCCATGCGATCTAATTTTCGTAATATTTCATCATATTACTCCACAGTTTTGCGCGTGTGCAACAACTTTCTCAGACAGCTCCAAGTATTTTCTATACTCATGTGTAAAATAGAATTAAAATTTACCGCAACTTAATTTGTTTTGTAGAATATTATAAGAGTTAATAATTATAATTACTCTCAAAAATAATTAATTGATTACAACAGTAATATTAACGATAATTATTGCAAGCAATCAGTTATTTTATGTATTAAAAAAAATCATTTATTAACTGATAAATGCAAAAATATTTCATAATTTTCTAGCGGGACATCTACCAAGTAAGAAAATATCTTATAAATTAAACTTAAAAGATGATAACTTGAAGTTAATTTTTTCTCTTGCTAAAATGTTATTATTTATTACTTTCAGAATGTTAGTATTATCAAAATTGTGCACTTCAGGAATAAGAAACAGAATAACCTCAAAATTATTGGTATTAAAATTAAACACACATACTTTCTGTAAGTTACCGTCCAATAATAGAAGCTTATCTGCAAGTATAAGATTGTTTACAAATACTTTGAAAAAAAATCAATTGACATTTTTAAAAAATGTAACTCGATCAAATCAAACTGTCGCAGTACGTTTTTCATCAACACAATGTAAAAAATCTAAAAAATTTGTTGGATCTTGGTTATTATTATGTAGCGGAATGGTATTTGTTGCAGTATCACTGGGTACTATTTTTTATTTTTCACTTTTTGAAGTTATCAAAAATGTATTATTAGAAATAATTGAAAAAACTTATGGAAAATAAACTGTTTATTGAATTGTTATAAAAAACTCTTGTTATTTTACAATATTTTATTAAAAAATTACAATTTTTTTGTAGGAGGTATAACTAGACTTACTGAATCAGGATTATCAATGGTAAACTGGCGTTTTTTAGGGGAAAAAATGCCATTAACTAAACAGCAGTGGATAGAAGAATTTGAAAAATATCAACAGTATCCTGAATTTAAAATGTAAGTTAATATTTTTTCATAATTTTTTACTAAAATAGAATTACCCACTTATATTTCCTGGATATTTTATCAAATTGATTTCTTAAGCGGCTGAAGCTCCTTAAAAATTTTTATTTTAAATCTGAAATTATTCTTGTACTTTATTACCTCCTTATGAATATCATATTCTTTTATTTAGCTATTTTTTTAATGTAATAAAAAAAATTTTTAATGTTATAAAAAAAGGAAGTTTCGCTTGAAAACTTTAAAAATAAAGCGTTCGAATTTTTCTTGAACCGTCAAATAAACAATTGTTATTGAGCTTACATACAAATAAATAAATTAATTATTAATTATTAAAATCCGGATTTGGTATGGTCATATCAAATTTTATAAATTTAACTTAAACGATCTTAAAAATAGTAAATATTATCTTTGTTTGATTATTCTAAGTAATTTATTAAATAAACTTTATATAAAAATATGTCATAGTACTCATGTGACTATAGAACTGTTATGTATATTTGCCATTCGGCTTTTGCCTTGGCATATGGTTAAATAGAAGATTAAAATAAACAAATAAATAATAAAAAAAACTTACCTCTAAATTTCTACGTTTTAATTTTAAAAAATTTGAAAGTTATGAATTTTTTTTTATTTAAAAAAATTGCTATGTAATAAGTTTCAGAAATAAAAATTTTTTTAATTCCGAATTTATAAAGAAACTAAATACTTTTTTTCTTAATTATTAATTCTTTGAATAATTTAGTAATACTTTTTTTATTAATTTTCTATAAAAATACTAATAAATTTTCCTGATTACTCATTTTTCATTAAGTTTTAATTTTTTGTTTAAAAATATTTATTTATTTAATTTTCAACTTAAATTTTAGTGATTTGGTACACAATGATTTCTAAGTATTCCACATAAATTATGTAAATAATTTCATTTATTGCAGTCTTAATAAAGATATGACATTAGAAGATTTCAAACGAATTTGGTGGATGGAATATATTCATCGAATGTGGGGAAGATTAATTGGAGTAACATTTATAGTACCAGCCTCATATTTTTGGCTGAAAGGAATGCTTAGTCCAAGAATGAAATTAAAAGTTTTAGCATTAGGAGGCTTAATTGGTTTGCAAGGATTAATGGGCTGGTATATGGTTAAATCAGGATTAGAAGACCGTTTCGATGGTCCTGGAGATATTCCTCGTGTTTCACAGTATCGCTTGGCAGCGCATTTAGGTTTGGCATTAGGAATTTATGCTGGATTCTTTTACAATGCATTGGATTATTTAGTACCTGCCAAATCGATGCCAATTGATTTGTTTCGAGAACATAACATATCATCAAAAATTTCATTACTAGCTTCAAAACTAGCTAGATTGAAAAATTTTGTTTATGCTACCAAAGGGTTAATTTTTTTAACGGCACTCTCAGGAGCTTTTGTTGCTGGCTTAGATGCTGGATTAATCTATAACAGTTTTCCGAAAATGGCTGATAAATGGATTCCAGATGATATTCTTGCATTTTATCCTTTTTTGCGGAACTTTACAGAAAACCCAACTACTGTTCAATTTGACCATAGAATTTTGGTAAGCGATGTTCTTTTTAGATACAGTTATTATAAAAATACATTAGGTATTAATTATTTTATTTTTTCTTCAGGGAATTACAACTTTAACAATGATCACATTAGTAGGTTGTATGTCAAGAAAATTGTCTATTCCAGGTCGTGGTTCCAAAGCAGTAGTAGCCCTGGTTGCTTTTGGTTATTTACAAGTTTTATTGGGCATTACTACGTTATTAAATTATGTTCCCATTCCTTTAGCAGCGTCGCATCAATCTGGTAGCTTATTACTACTCAGTTCGATAGTTTGGCTCTGTCATGAGTTAAAATTTGTTCATCGACTACCAAAGTAAAGTTAATTTGTGTTATTTATTTTTTAATTAACAAATATTTATAACTGTAAATAAAATTTTCAAAATTTAATATAAAGTGTTGTGTATTTAGATTTATATAATTATTATGAAATTATGGAAAAAAATCTATTATTTTATTTTATTTATTTATTTTTCAAAATTTTTAGACCCTGAAGCCTTAGCTCCCTAAGGGCCTTACATATATATTAATACATAATAATAATAATAAAAGTTATAAACAGTAATGGAAATGATAATAATATAGTAAGAATAAATAGCGTTGTCTCGAAGCAAAGTCCATCAAAGTAATTAATTTAATGACTCTAGATTATAGAACTGAAGAGATGAAAAATATAAGTTTGAATTTAAATATGAATATAAATATAAATAATTCGTAATTTGAACAGTAATGCAATGATAATTATGTAACGTCTTTATCCACAAAAAACTTGTAGCACTTTGACCGAAATTCATTGTAATCAGCAATTGTCACAATCTCCTCCGGTAACTGGTTCCACGTCCTGACTGCCGTGACAATAAATGAGTTGTCAACCAAAGTCAACAGATTGAAGTCTTGCAACAATATTCTGTTATGACGAAATCTCAGCATTTTGAAAACAGTGCATGCTAATAGGAAATCACGCCGACTCGATAAAGTCAGCCAACCAAGTAGCCTTCTACTCGGAGTAACATGATCATACCTCGCCAATCTGAAGATGAACCTGATGCAGGCATTGAATTTTCTTTGCAGCTTTTTCTGTAAAGTTAAACAATTTTAACTTTATAAAATAATATAATTTGACAGAATTAAAAAAAAATTAAAAGAATTGAGATTTAAACAGAATAAAAGACGCATTTATTCGAATCATATGATTTATTTTTTAAATACAAATTGATCAGATCGAAAATTTTTGAGAATTTTCAATAATTTTTTTTCCAGGCCCTGTACAAGATATTACAATGATTTTTTTAAAACTTTTGTTTGAAGCTTATAAAACGCAAAAATAATTGATTTTTTTTAATTTCATTTTTTAACAATTATCCAGGAGGCTCTGAAGTTGATAGTTGAATATATTTATTTGACCTTAGAGCCAAAGCTCTTTCAAGGCCATCAATAAACAATACATTGTTTACACAAGTATTAGAATGTACATACTATTAAAATATAATTACAATAATAGTTTTAGATTAAAAACAAATTAAGGTTTTTAAGTTTTATAAAAATAAGTAATAGATTCAGTACAGCAGTTAATCAATGAATCAATGAACACTTTGAGCAGAAATTATAGCTAAGTAAATGAATCGTATAATAATAATTTTAATTGTCAATTGTAAGAAAAAATGCAAAGGAGGCATTTTAAAATTCAGGAAGACTATCCACAGTTGTCAGTCCAGTAGGTGGCAGCGAGTTTCAGACACGTATGCTATGGATTATAAAAGATTGTTCGTATATGTCGATGTTTACTTTAGGTAATCGCAAGTAATATTGTCTAATATCACCTTTACGCATTGAAACATTCGGTTATTCGAGCCTTGGGCCAAACAGCTGCCGATAATTTAACCGAATTTTTCTTCGAAAAACAAACATGCTATGAAGTGATCTTTTTCTCTTACTCAATTTTAGTCATCCTAATTTATTATAATACGGAGTTGTATGTTCGTATCTGGATAATTTGAAAATGAATCTCACACAGTTAAGGCCTCAAAAAAATGTTGTCTCATGGCGGATAGATAATCTCAAAATTGGTGAATATGAAAAATAACAAAAACACGGCATCTTCAAAAGAGAGGTCTCTTACGAGACAATCTACCACAATTTGCCAAAAGAATAAAAAAGAAGTGGCAGATGCTTGAAAAAATACCCCTGTTCCCACTATTCTCTGCTTAAAAAAAAAAAATGTTATGATAAACTATTTTTGGCAAAATGCGGTAGATTAGCTTACAAAACAAGACCAAAATAAAAGCATTGAAATCGGTCGAGTAGTTTTAGAGATTAAGTGTCCGCTATTTGAAAAAAAATAGTTTCGAGAAAAACGCGTTTAAAGTTTTTACTTGCTATTATATATAAGCGCTATGTGAAGCGCGCACACACTTTCACAAATTTCACTATGTTAGAATTCAAATTTTTCGAGGTGATTTATAAGAGTAAGGTAAAAGACCCAGTTATTGACACTTGCAATTTTATTCCAATTAAAAAAATAAAATGTTCTTAAAAAATCAATTATCTTAAAGTTTATAATTAAAAAATTATATTTATTAATTTATTAGAGCTGATTTGTTTTTTTTTTTCTTAGAATAAAATAGCAAGTATCAATAACTAGGCCAGTGTCAATAACTGGGTCTTTTACCTTATAAGGATTGAGAAAATGCAACAACAAAAAAATCGATTTTTTTAAATTTACAACGTGGTCACCTACCTCGAGTGAGCTTATAAGATACTTTATTTTTAATACACGGTTGGATTTCGTTCTGATAAATGTAGTATAAATCCATGAAAGTAGTTTTGCATTAATATAGTAAAATTTCATATCAGGGTTCATGGAAATATGACAATAAGGGTTCAATTTCTTTAATCATCCATAAACATAAATGATCAATTCTAATACTACAAATGGAAGCAGGAACAAACATTTATGGTACTTACACATTTTGGAAGAAAGTATTCAAATGATTCTGTGGTAGATTTATAGCAGAAGCGGTAAGATTGGCGTGGGTCTAGCTTGATTGTTGCTTTGCTCGCTGAGATATTGCAGGTAAAACATTCAAATGATTTGTCAGTCTTAACTGTATTTTGAGCTCCAGAGGGATATTTATCAAAAAAAAATTTGACAGAGTAGTAAAATGATGTATATAATAAACTTATTTACATAAATAAATGAAAAAAATATAAAAGCAATATTATTTTTCACGTATAAAAAATACTTAATTTTTTTAGTTAATAATACACATAATAGTTTTGTTCTAGAAATTTTTTTTTTTAATATTTATGCTAACAAAATTTATTATTTATTGAAGTGTATTTAATATTTACAAAAGACAGGTAAAAAAATCGACCAATTTGAGTATTTTTAGTATTTTATATATTAAATAATTCGTGAGGAAATTTTTCACATGTTAAAAGTGTACAAAAGTTTGTGTTGAACGAGTTATGTATTACAGTCGACACTCTCTGTATTGGACCTCTCTGTATTTGACCACATTCTTCCTCTATATTTGACGATTTTACACAGCTTTTATGGTCAAGGACGAGTCAAATACAGAGAATGGTCCTGCACGGGCGAGTCAAATACAGAGAGCGTTGACTGTAAATAGAGTGTAATAAAAATTTTTCTCCTAAATTATCGATGTTTTTCATTTATATTATGTTCGGACGTGATTGGATAGACGATATTTATTCAATTTGATGTATTTTGTTTAATTGATTATTATTGAAGGTCGACGTTCCTATCGTTATTATTATTATTATTATTATTATTATTATTATTATTATTATCCTGATTATTATTGTTATTAATTATTTTCTTAACCCTTAGCACTCACGTTAACTATTAGGTAATTCTTTATTTCGAAAGGCGGAAAAAGCTCACGTTTCCTGAGGAGTGTGTTCAAAATATTTTTTCATAAATTCTAGACAAAATAAACCATCTAGACTTTGTAAGTTGAAAGTATGTAAATTATATAAAGATAGAAAAAGTTTCAATTATTGGTTCTCTTTGAGCGATAAAGTTATTAGCGTTTTCGAATGAGCGTAAGCGAAATGTTGATAACGTGACTGCTGAAGGGTCAAACTAGTTCAGTTTTGATTTGATTCCTAAATTAATTCTTACTGGCAGTCATTTTCCAATCAGTCATAATTTATTTACTAGAATTTTCATTTTGTGTTATTGATTGATTGCTATTACTATTATTATCATTGTTTTCGTTTAGATTTTATAAACTTTTGTTTTATAAAAAAATTTGTGTGCATTTTGAAAAACCACAAGATAATAAAAAAAGTTAACATAGTTTTTTTTTTCACTCATTTTTTGCAAACAAGTATTTTGGAATACAATTTTATACAACTTATCAAAAAATAGCCATGGCTATTGTTGGTACTATGATGGAAAAACAACACACAATTATTTTCGTACACACAATAATATAATTAAGGTACTGACGAGTAATAATAAGATTTAGCTACAGGATATTTGTAATGAAATGAAAAATATCCAGTTTAATCAACTATTTATAATATTAATCATTATTTAAGCACTTACATCTTCCAAATATAGAAAAAAATATAGTAACTTCTATCATTAACAGAAATAAAATTAAATACCTTACTCCTTATAGTCAGATAATAAGTCCTACTTAAACATAATTGAATAGTTCAACTACATTTTAATCATCTATAGCATTTAAGATCAATAATTGCATTATTAATTCAAAATTACTATGATTATTGATCTCAAATACTAAACATATTAAGTATAATTTAATTATTTGAGTAGATATGCTAAATTCATAGACCTTATTACCTAACTAGACGTAAAATGTTAAATTTTATTCAAGTTCATAGTGAAAATTACCATATTTTGTTTATATTTTTTAAAAAATGTCCTCAAATAATGATTAATCAAAATTTTAAGAAAAATTTTTTTTTTCTTTTCATTACAAATATCTGTCAACTGGTCTTATTAAACGCGGGTATTTTATAGTAAATTCGAATGCTATTTACGTAGAAAATTTATAATTTATAAAATAATCGTGATTTAAAATTATAATTACATAAGTGTTTGCACTCGCATACAGTAAATTCATGATTTTTTTTTTCTATTCAAATAAATGTATTCATAGTTTTTAAACGAGTCGTTCGATAAATTTTAATAATTCAGAGTTTAAGCATAAATTATTTAAATTAAGTCAAGATAAAAATACATAACACATTCCTTAGTCGTTAATATTATTTTTTGTTGTATTATTTGAATTTATTGTAGTTTGACAATAAATCATTAATTCGACTATTCAATTTTATTTTACTATTAAAAATTGCACTTATAAAATACAATATAGTATAATTATAAATTTTATTGTTAATAATAAATTTATTATCTAAATCTAATAATTAATGTATAATCTACGTACAATATTTTTATAATAAAAATATTTTTCTTTACATTTTTAAAACGTTGAATTGATTTTTTTTTCTTTAAATGATAATAATAGTAATAGTTATAAAACATTAAAATATGTGCATGTATCCTTTTTACATTAAAAAAATGATATTTTTATTTAAGCTTTTTGTCCTCGTCTGTATTGTTTAATAGATAATATATTTCTTCTTTTAAAAAAAAAAAATAGAAAAAAATTGTTTATTTTTTTTATTTATAGAAATATTACTTTATTATAATTAAAAATTTTCAGTCCATTGTACTGTACACTACTATTAATTATTCCCATATTATTAAGGACGCTGTATATAATATATATATAGATGGATTTTTTTTTTCAATTCATGGCTGTTTATAACATTATTGTTAAAAAACTAAAATACATATGCTGTAATCCGTTTCTATTAATTTGTTTATTGTATAATCCTTAATTAAGTGTAGAATTTGTTTCATTTTATATACTTCACTTAATAATTTTATTAGTAAAAAATAAAGTTAATTAAATTATTTTCTTGTTAATTTTAATATTATCTTTCAACTATTCCTCGTAGGACTCTCATCTTTTTCAGCATTAACAATTACTTGAATAACATATCCGGGTTGTATTTTAGCTTCTTCTATGTGCATTTTATCACCAAGTAATTTGCCTCCAAAGAACCATCTTTGTTTTGAAGGTTCTAGTCCTTCTTGACTCTATAAAATTTATAAAAAATTATTATTATTATTGATGATAAAAACCAATTATTTATTTATTATTATTTTTTTTTTTTAATAATATACAAAATAATGCATTAAATGCAACCTATTGACTTAAGCTGCCATTGTTTTTTTTCTATATACATCGAAATAATCTATCTATAATAATCCATCATCTTAAAATTTTAGGAAAAATGTTATTTTATATTTAATTACTATTAAAAATTTTTTTAATTTTTTAATTAAAAGCTATTGCGATCATTTTTTAGTTTCACAGTCACCTTTTTTCTTTCGGCATAAAAAATCGAAAAAAGTATTTTTTTTACATAACTTTGAAAATTGTTGTCAAATCGTTTTATAAGATATGAAATATATTTTTGTGCTCAAATAACTACATCGAATGCTGACACCGCATTGGAATCGGTTGATTTTTTTCAAGAGATATTGTCTTCAAAAAATTATAAAAAATAAAGTATTTTTTTTTTCACATAAGTAATCTTATTGTGCTGAAAAAAACATCATCGAATGCTGCATATCACATCGAAGTTGGATTTTTCGGTATGGGAAAGTACAGTTTAAAGTTTTTAAAAAAGTGCTCTACTAAGAAAACCTCTAGCATTTTGAGCTAGGGGAGAGTTCCAGGGATGACCCATAGAGTTAACCGTGTTTTTAATTTTTTTTCTAACTATTCTATTTTCGATAAACTTTAAGAAAAAAATATGCGATTGTTCAAAACAATTGAGAAACTCAAAAATTACTAAAATTGCTCATTGTATGTTGTATTTATTCAAAAATAAATAAGTAAACTACCTGACACAAAAAAAATTCCTTAACGAAAAGAAAGCGCGTGTTTTAAATTTTAAACTCTCCTAACTACAAAGTTTTTTTTTTTTTAAAGCTAAAAGAACGTAAAATTTGTATTTTGTTCTTGTTAATTATGGTCTACCTTTGTTTTTTTAATCTGACAGTATAAAAAATTTTCTAAGCTGGAAGAGAATAAGCTTTAAATTATTCATCTATGAGTCATTAAAAATTTTAAATGTCATAGGGAGACATTTTTTTTATCTATTAATTATTCAACTTATTTTGAATTTGAAAATTATTTAAAAAAAATTTTTTACGACTCTATGCGTTTTGAATGAACGATTTCAAATTAAAGAGTAAATAAAATATTTTTATCATTCTTTGTTGACTTGAAGAGTGCAATGTGGATAGTAATGTGATAAGTAATAAACAATTATATTTAATCAAAATTTTTGAAGGAATTTTTTTGACAGTGTATTTTCACTAAATAAATATTATGAATCTAGATTTATTATCGACTAAATTATAAAAAAATATTGGTTAATGCTTATCTTCAATTAAAAAACTATTGTTAATCAGTCGAATAAAAATTACCTGAAGCTTCTTTTTAGCAATTCCAATAGTATCTTTACTGTAAACCGGAAGTTTAACATCTGCAAGAGTCGTTGACAGTCTCAATTTTAATGTGATTTCTATACCACCATCAACAGGTTCTGAAAAAAGTAAAAAATTATTAGGTATAATGTATAAATGAATGTATAATGTATAATGTATAAATGAATGTAAAAATAATAATTGAAAATAACCATTTGTTAATTTGTTAACTGCACTGTTAGTTATAAAAATGAATTCAAAAAAATATATCCATATTTAAAATATTGTAATGATATTTAATGAAATTTTTAACATTTTCTAATAATAATTATCTCTATTAAATTTTTAGACGCTATTGACAATTATTTGTGTACTCAACATATTTTCAAGTAAACTGAATGCAATAACTTGTTAAAATTTCAGTATAAATCAAATATAGAGAATTATGAATTTTCTCACGTGATTGAACTAAGAATCAAATAACTAAGGTTTCATTTCCGCTAAAAATTAGTGAATATTTACTACTAATTTAATAAACATTTAAATGTTTGTTTATTAAAACGTAGGAGTAATATCTGTTTTTTTAATGATGTCTCGTATTTCATTTCTTGAACGACCCTTAGAAATCGGAATATCGACTTGAAATTTGTAACGTACAGATTATTTTTTTAACGTAGAGAATGGTAGAATAGAATAACGAAAAAAAATCTATTTTTGACGATTTTGGAAATTTTCAAGTCTTGAGTGACCTCTAAAAATTTTAATTGAGCTGAAGTCGGGAGAGTTTTTAACGATAAACTAACATATGTCTAAAAAATCAGAAAAAATAGCTGGTTTTTTCCGCTATTCTAATAGCTGTTATAAATTATAAATACATAATTTTTTTATCAGAGTAATTACTTTTATAAGATTACAACATTTATTTGTTCAATCAACAATCTAAAATGCGCACTTTTTCGAAAGAAACATTATGCGAAGATAAAAAGTTATTAGTTATTTCCCACTACATACAAATAATGATTTATGAAAATTTAAATATAATTTATCAAAACAAATTCGATAATGCATTAAATGTTTTTACTCAGCATTAACTTTTTTTTTAAACTCTGTAAAAATAATATTTATCATCAGAATATTAATAATACTTAACAAAGATATTAATTATCATAACCAATATGACATTGAAAAAAAAAATAAGGTTAATAACAGTGTATATTTTACCTGAACAATCAGCTGGTGAATCTCTACCGCTATCTTCTTTAACAATATTTATCGGATATGATAAACAGTAAATTGGTACTTGATATCTAGTTCCTAGTTCATCATAACATTCTGTTAGAAATCCATTTGGTACGGATATATTTGCGCCATCAAGTATGGCTTGTGCTAATTGATAATCTGCTGCTTCTGCAGCGGTTGCACCGGCCCTTAATGCATCCCATATTTCTTTTCTACCATCAAATGCTGGTGCTGTATCCCAAAATTCATCGCGCTTGCTGCGTAATTGTCCTTCAGTTAATGGTACATCTGATTTCCATCTGATTATTTCATGGCAAAGTGGATGATTTTTGCGAGAATTACCTGAAAAAAATAAGTCAAGTTGATTTAATTTAGGTTTATTACGAAATAAATAGATTAAACGTACTATTATCTCACAACTAAAAACAAAATAGTTGTATGAAAAAAAAAAAATTTATGCTGAAAGATTCAGTTTTGGAATCGATAAACGAAAACAAATTCTCAGAATTCTAAATTTTGACGATAAAGTTTTGGATAAATCTGAATGAAATCATGAGTCTTCAATTATTTTAATTATTCAACTTAATGACAAAAATATTTCTTTCATCACCGAAATACATCTCACATAATTTGAATATATTAAGTTGGTTACATGTACCCACATCCAATTGTAAATTGTTATTGCTGTGTGCAACTATTGTGAAATATTTTCTTTCGCTTAACAATGACTTAATAGAGTGTGAAAGAGATTTAAACGATTTTTGTCAAGTGTGGTAAAATCATCTTGGCGAAGAATGAGACACAAATCACCAAAGTTGTAAATTAAATATACTTCTGTAATATTTTCGAATTTCGTTAAAAAAAAATGAGGTCTTTAAATGATGTGTAAATTTTAGAAGAGTATTTACCACACAGGGCTGCATCAAAAAATGATAAGCCGATATAAAAAACAAGAGTAATTTGTGCCATTTTTGATTTTTTATGGAAAAAGCGTGAAATTTTATGATGTATTCAGAAAATTTTACGTCCTAATTTTTTTTTTTCAATTTAGAAGTTCAATCTAGGGTTAAATTTTCTATCAATACGCATTATTTTCATCTATGAGTTGAAAACACCTTGAAGGTAGGGTTATCATACGAAGGCATTTAAAAATTGTAATTTAAATACTTCAGAAGTTATAATTAGAATTAGAATTAAAGTTAAAAGATTTAAATAATCAATCTCAATTAATTATTGATAAAGTTATAATCATACTTTTATTAAAAGATAAAATCATTTTATATTATTAAAATATGATTGTAAGAGTTAATTAAAAAAATTATCGACCTAAAGTTTTTAAAGATATAATAAGCTTAATAAAAAATTACTTTTTTGAAAGTTAAAAGATAAGAAATGTTTTGTTGAATTCATTAAGAAAAACTTAACTATTAACTAAACTTAACTAACTTACTAATAAAAATTTTTATTTATTTCGTATTAGCGGAAAAAGTTTCGGAAAGATGTAACGTAAGAAAAATATTAAACTTTGCTCTGATCAAGACGTCCCCACAGATTTTAACCAAAAATATTAAAATACAAAGATATTTTTGATTGTACAATAAAATTTAAGAATATATTATTTCAAAGTGATCATATTGCAGAGTAAAGTTATTTCAGAGTAGAAAAATAAAGATGTTACAGAAATTTTTTTTTTTAATTTGGCATGTAAAAGTTTTTATCAATGATACTGTAATTACCGGACTTATGATTATATTTTGGTCTTGTTTATTTATCCATTACATTAGATCTAAAACAAAATTTTAAATAATTTGCATTCATACTTTTTTTTTAGTTTCTTCATAAGGAATTTTTTTAAAACAATTTATTTGTTTGAAAATTGTCTTGAAAAATCTCAGATGTCTGTTAATTTTATTATAATTTTTATCGTTTCAATATTTAATTTAGTTGCCCGAGGATAAAAAAATTATAGCATATATATGTTTTTTATCTTTTGTATGATAATAAATTTTATGAAAACAATTGTTTTATAGGTTTATTACAAATTTTTACTGTTTTGAGGGGTTAGTTAAGATAGTTGTTCAAAATTGTTTAAATGCTTATATTTTAATAGTTTGTAAATTTTGACATGATATAATTGCAAAAACGATTTAAAGAAATGTATCAATAATAACATTCTGCAAAAGGTTTTTATAAACAAAAAAAAAAAAAAAAAAAAAAAAAAAAAAAAATGAATTCATTTTATTTTGTCGTGTGAATGAAAAAAACAAAATAATTGTTTTTGGAAAAATATTGTTCCCCTTACATATTTTTTACTGGATGAATTATTAAAATTTAAATATCATTACAATGATTATTATAAATAAATAATAAAATATAATAATTACCTGATTGTGTTCTAGTTGAATTAGCTGATGTATCATCTACAGAGGCAGTCCTTGCCCTCGTTATTCCAATGCAAGCACCCATTCTACACGATCAAAATAACCAAACATTTCACTACTGTAATTCAATAATAATAATAATTTTATCACAAATTTTTCCATTTTTATCCATATTTGGATTTTTTATACTTAAGATTTTACTTCTTGATCATTTAATTACAGTTCTGCTGTTTAATCAATAAATAATAGTGATTATCACGATATAAATAAATGAAATATATGTATAACATTTAATATTCACGCAGGGTGACGATTGTTCGATTCTTTATATTCTACGAAGTTTATCATCTTTTTTCTCTTTTTAGTTTAATAAGTTATCCCACTATCCCGCTTGATGGTGTTGCTTTCTTGTTTTCATTTTTGTTGATAATGTCATCACTTACACTATCAACTTTTGATAAGTTAACTTGATAAGATAGATATAATTTTCAATAAAAATACGACCCGGTATCTGATCATTGCAATTATTTTTCCATGACTAAAACGGTAACCCGTTTAACAATAAACGGGCATGCACTTTCTTGTTTGTTCGGTAAATTAATGAAGAAAATTATTTTTTTCCTTCTTTATTATTATATAATTAATCATTTTTAACAATAATTCCCCCAGGCATCTGATCATTGCAATTTTATTGCCCGTTAATAGATCGGTTACCCGTTTAAGGATAAACGGGCGTGCAATTTTTAGTTTGTTAATTTAGAAAGAAAATTAATTTTTTCTTCTTTATTATTATATAATCAACAATTTTTAATAATAATCCCCCAGTTATCTGGTTATTGCAATTTTTTGCCCGTAAATAGAAGAGTCACCCGTTTAAAAATGAACGGGCGTGCAATTTCTTGTTTGTTAGATTTCTTCATGGAGAAAATTATTTTTTTTCTTCTTTATTATTGTATAATTAATCATTTTCAATAATATTCCTCTAAGTTATCTGATCATTGCAATTATTTTAGCTGTGAATGGAACGGTCACCCGTTTAAAAATAAACGGGCGTGCAATTCCTTGTGTATGAGGTGAAATAATTAAATCAATTATTTTGTTTCTTGATGATTCTTATATAATTAATTACATTTGATACTAATACCTCCGGCAAACATTTTATTGCAATTATTGGACCCGTAAATAGAACGGTCACCCGTTTAAAAATAAACGGGCGTGTAATTTCTAGTTTGTTAAGATAATTAATAAAGAAAATTACTTTTTTTCTTCTCTGTTGTCATATGATTTATTATTTTTAATAATTATCCCCCCACTTATCTAATCATCGCAATTTTTTCGCCCGTAAATAGAACGGTCACCCGTTTAAAAATAAACGGGCGTACAATTTCTTGTTTGTTAAATTAATCATATTTAATACTCATATCCCCAGCAAACCGATCATATTGCTTTTATTTTCTCTGCGAACAACATGGTCACCCGTTTAAAAATAAACGGGTTTGCAATTCTTTTAGTGTAAAAGTTGATTAATTAAGAAAATAATTTGTTTCCTGTTTTATTATTATATAATTATTTATTTTCAATATTAATCACCCCTAACACTCGGATCATTGTAATTATTTTCTCTGCGGTCACCCGTTTAAAATAAAACGGGCTGTCAATTAATGGTTATTACGTATAATTATTATTTAAATTATTTTTTTTTATAATTTTCAATTTATAATTATTTATTTCTAGTTATAATCGCCTTAGCCAGCTGATTATTGCTATTATTATTTTCACCAATATCGAAATCACCCGTGTGAATTTTAACGGGTACGTTATTCTCTCATTTCATCGCAAAGTCTTTTTATTAAATCTTACGGGTAGTATTTTACTCCGTATTCTTTTCTTTTTCTATTTTTTTGCCTCGCATTTAAATGCTTTACGGCTTCTTTTTAGTACTCTCATCGCCATCTATCGTTCGCCCGCGCAACCTTATTACCAATCGTTTTGGATGATAAATGATTTTTCGGGATTTTGGGCTTCGGGAAAAAGAGCCTCACCCTGTAAAATATTTATATATATACACATCCCTACAATAATAAATACATGACAGTTTGAAGTTAGTCAATAGTCGAAAAAATGGGACCTGATTCCTTATTGGTAGAATATAAACCCTCCTCAGTTACTATTGGTCAATCTCCTGGTACGTGAACATATCAATATATCGATATAAATCGAACAGAATAAATTCATTCTAGAATTCCGATAGGGGGCGCGCGAATGCGCGCCGTTAAAAATTCTAGTTTATATATATACTTGGTAAGAAACGTGCTAATTATTTTTAATGGAAATGGAAACATATAATACATTTTATAACCTCTTGAATACGGCAAAAAAGTTTTAAATCAATAATATATTAGCCATTTGTATTGAGTATAATAAAGATTATTTATCGATTTATTTTTCGGATAAATATTTACTCAAAAAATCGAGAATGACGCCTACTAAAACATATGATTTTGTTGAAAAATTAAGAACTATTTTTGATAATGATTGTGAGAAAAGTAAATTAAACAAGTTGTGTATTGATATTGTTAATGGTCAGTGATAACTAATTAATGTCTTCTTGTGTTATCTCATATTTATAATTATATTTAATAATGAATAACAATTTTTTTTTATTTACAGATATCGAAAACGGACAAATTAAATTATTTCAAATAATTGAACAGTTGGGTGTATTTTTGACAAATGCAGATGTAAATATACGAGAAAATGGAATAAAGACTCTGTCATTGATTCTCGATAATATTGATAAAAATTATTTAAATGAACAAGAAGTAGAGTTGCTATCGACCTTCTATTGCGAACGGTTTAAAGATCATCATAGTATCATTCCAGTTGTTGTTCAAGGGATTTTATCAATCGTAAGTTATTGGTAATTATTATATCTAATATTAATTATAATAGGTAAAAAAATCAAATACTCCTTTAACATTAAGAACAAATTTACAACTTTGATCTAAGGACTGACTTTCGAGAATAAAATTTTACTTGGTCAAGTTTTACAACCCAAAGTAACGACAGATAAATGAATGATTTATTATTTAGCGTCGGCTATTTACAGCAATTTCACAAACAAACAACGTAATACTTTGGTATAAAATTACAATTTACACAGATAATCAATTTTATCCTTAATTTATAGTTTTAATTTTATTTTAAATATTTTTAAACGATTTTCTTTTAATAATTCGTCCGGTAAACACTTATAACATTGAAACCCTCTATAATCTAATGATTTTTCTGCGGTGTAAGTTCTAGTATGCGCAATTTTTAACAAATTTTGATTTCTGGTATTATAAATATTATTATTAGATATAACTCTATCATTTAAATAATCAGGTAGGAGTCTATATTTCATTTTAAAAACGAATATACAAGTATTGTAAAATATCATTTGTCAGATCTCGATAGCAAATTCAATGTCTCTAACATTATTAGAATGCTAGTGTACTCATTTACTCCTAGTATTGCTCGCATTGCTTTATTCTGTATCTTTTGTAGTGTACACAATTTTTTATCAGTATAGTTCAACATTAAGGTATTACAGTAATTTATATGAGGAAGAACTATGGTTTTATAAATAAGACTTTCAATATAATTACTCACAGTAAATCGAAGTCTACATAAAAGATTAACTTTACTTGCTATTTTTCTACTTGTATGAGCAGCATTGCTATTAAATGTTAAATTATTATCAACTATCACTCCAAGATATTTACTCTCCTTCACGTAGTTTAATTTTTCATCATCAATTATTAAATTATAATTATCTCGAATACCCTGAATTCTTCGATCATGTATAATCATGTAAACAGTTTTTTTAATATTTATTTTTAATTGATTATTTTTTAACCATTCTTTATATTTATATTTATATTTATTTATATTGACGCCAATCGGCAATATACATAAGAATTTACAGAAATTATAAAGATTATAAAGATTATCAGGGAAAAATTCAAGTGATTAAATTAACTGAGATAATTATTTAATGGTAAGTGAGCAGCAGGTTCTTTGTGGCGGTGATGAAGTTATTAAACGTTCCTCCATAGAAATCCAGATCATTGTGTAAGGAATTTACAAGATTGGCAATGCGATTGTGTGGCCCATTAACGACGTAGTTTTTGTTCGATTTAGCAGTCTTGAGCAGTCGTTTACGTTTTAATGGTAGATCAGTGGGTGCAAAGTCGAAGCTGCTTTTGATTTCAGGTGTGTCGATAAGGCCATTTGCAACTTTAAAGAAAAAAGCCAGGTCAGCAATTTGGCGTCGTGATCTGAGACTATTAATCTTGAAGTAACGGCAAGTCTCCTCCAGTGTGTTGTCATTTACTAGTTGAACTCGGTGAAAAGTTAGCGTTCTACACATTTTTCTCTGGACTTTCTCAATACAATTAATCATGATGTCTGTATATGGAGACCAAATGATTGATCCATATTCCAGGATTGGCTGGACCAGTGAGTGATAAAGACTCAACAGTGAATAAGGATTTCAAAAATCTCTGCAGGTCCTGATGACGAAGCCCAGCATCTTGTGTGCCTGTAGGGTTATTTTACTAATGTGTTTGGAGAACGTTAGCTTGCGGTCTATGATGATGCCCAGATCCTTTATGTCTTCAACTTCAATGATATTTTTATCATCTAGCTTATAGTTAGTGGGGAGTATGACATGCGATCATGAGAATGATATTACTGCACATTTTTTGATGTTTAGATCCAGCTTATTATTGGAACACCATGTAGAGAGATTATCAATATCCTGTTGTAGAGCGTAGACATCTGAGTCGTTAGCAATCATTCTGTAGATTTTTAAGTCGTCGGCGTAGAAAAGGTATTCTGAACCGAAGTTGGAACCAAAATCGTTGATAAATACGTTGAACATAATGGGACCCAGATGTTATCCTTGTGGTACTCTTGTTTTTACCTTATAGCTTGCCGAGAGGTGACCATCGACCCAAACTTGAAGTTGCCTGTCTGTTAGGTATGAGCTGAGCCATTTCAAAGCATTGTCTTGTACACCTAGTAGGTTTAATTTGTTTAATAGCATGTGATGATTGACTCTGTCGAATGCTTTACTAAAGTCAGTATAGACAGCATGAACTCTATGTCCGTTATTCATTGCGTTAAGTATATAACTGACGTATGTAAAAAGGTTTGACGCGGTCGATCTTCCTCCAACAAATCCATGCTGTCTGTTCGTGATGATGTCAGTAAAGAATAAACTGAGCTGAGGTAAGACTAGCTTTTCGAATAATTTTGCAAGTGCCGACTGTATGCATATTGGTCTATAATTTAAGACATCAGATCTGGACCCATCCTTATGAATCGGACTAACATAAGATGTCTTCCAGTCTGAGGGAAAGGTACCGAGTTGCAGCGATGTGTTAAAGATGTGTGTGAGCTGTTCACAGAGTCCTGCTGCACAGTTTTTAAGGAAAATGTTGGGAATTCCATCGGCTCCCGCCCCCTTTTTAAGATTTAATGACCTCAGCGCTTTGAGAACATTGTCTGTGGTAACTTCCAGGCTACTTAATGTTGCTTGCTGATAGTTATGTTGACTATCTTCGATGATTCTTGGGTGCTGTGCCTCTGATAGATAGACACTTTAGAAATATTTAGCAAATAGGTTGCTGACATCCTCACCGGTATTAGCTGATCGGTTATTCCATGAAAATGTGGACGTAATATCACTACAGTTTCGTTTTTTATTCTTGACAAATTTCCAAAATTCATTCGAGTCAGACCTGACTAACTGTTCGGCTTTATTTATGTAGTTCCTATAGCATGACGCACTGAGTTCTTTGCATTCGCGCCTGAGGTTACTAAATTTTTTGTAATTCTGATTGGAAAATTAAGTACTAATAACGCATAATTTAACTTATTCTCAATGTAACATATATTATTCGCACTATAACTCAGTCGTATGTTATCAGCAAATAATTTACAGTCAATATCGAGTCCTTTAAAAATAGTAATAATTTCATTAATATAAATAATAAAAAGCAACGGTCCCAATTTGGATCCTTGAGGTACACCATATTTGACCTCTTTATCATCAGACAGATCATTATGGAATCAAACTCTTTGTTTCCTATCAGCTAAATAGGATTGAAACCATTTAAAAACTATACCGCGAATACCAAGCCTATGCAGTATTCTGAGTAAGATCTTACAATTAATGGTTTCGAAGGCACGTGAAAAGTCAACAAAAATTACACCTATAATTAAGTCTTTATCTAGATCTTTTCTCCAACCAATAATAGAGTGTTGAAGGGCCGATTCACATGAATGAAGTTTTCTAAATCCGGATTGTTCAGGGTTTAGTATTTTATTATCGTCAACGTACTTAGTCAATTGTACTTCCATCACTATCTTTTCTAATAATTGCTCAAAAATAGAAAGAGTATTTATCGGTCTTAAATCTTCATTTTTTATGCTTCCTGAAATTTTCTGAATCGGCACGACAGTAGAAATTTTCCAGTTAAGTGGTACTATTCCTAATTCAAAAGAAGTATTGATCATGTATATTATTAAATCACATTTAGCCTTCCATATAAATTTAACAAGACTTGAATTAATTCCTTTTTCGACCCTTAATTACTATCAAGATTGTTAATAATTTTTTCTAACCCTTGATAACTAACTTTATCAAAAGTATCCCATACGACATTATTTACACTAATTTACCTATAGAACTATCTCTACTATCGACATCACAGTTAATTTCTCTATTAACAATATTATCAATACTGTTTATAAAATAATTATTTAATTTATTTGATAAAATATGATTAAACATTATTGATATAATCATATACAATTTATTTAAAAATTGACTGGATAATCATGCAAAATAAACTACAATTATATATGATTAGACGAAATTTTATTCAATTTATATACAATAAAAATAAAAATAGCATAAGATAGTTGATTAAAAAAAAAATCCATTTAGGAACCAAGAAATTTTATATGGCTCAAGAATTTTTTTGCTTCATTCAATGCAATACAATTTTTTATAATGATTCTCTTAGTTCAAGTTTTTTGCTTGAATCAACTTAATTTTTTATTGAGGTTTAAAATTAATCTTTTGTGTAGATTCAGATTTTTGTTAGTATTAACTACGTTAAATGTCTTATTTTTAAAGCAATAACACTTCACCATTTAGATTATTGTTATATATTTTATACTATATTATAATTGTACATTAAATTATACTATAATAGCAAATCACAAACTATTAGACTGCTAAAGACATTGAGTTGGATATCAATTAGAAAAAAATTAGGAAAATGGTTGACCCTAAAGGCCATCCCTGCAACTTCCCGCTAATTTGATACGTATATATACGTTTATAAACGCTTAAAATTTCACTTAAGACGTTTTTGAGCTCTTCGAGTTCGAAAATATAATTTATGTGTTATTTTGAGCTATATATACATACAAACATACACCATCTTAAAAATCGGTGCCACGACTAAATGACCGCGGACAGAACAACCGCGACTAAATAACCGCGCGACATTACACCCGCGGTGCTATGTCAGCGTCATAATGTCCGCGGCAAATTTGGGAATTGGGTGAATAAAGGATAAGGGAAAGGGAGGACCTCTTTTTACTCAGTAGGAATCTTATTAGTGACTGAAAAAATATAATTCGGACAGCCCGGACCGGGAATCGAACCCGGATCGTTCGGTTACGTGCCAAAGGCTCTACCAGTTAAGCTATCCGAGACCTTGTCCGTAATTTACTATTCAGTCACATATTAACAACCTGACATGAGTAAACACCACCGTCCATCTTACGGCAATAACAAATATTAATTTGTAGTTAAATTTGTCGTGTTGATAAGTCAGCGACCTAGTTACGGATATTCTGTCGTAGGTTATTCTGTCGCGGCTATTTTGTCCTTGGTCATTTTGTTACGGCACCTTAAAAATCGTCAGGGAATTTTCCTAGAACCTTAAAACGTCGAGATCTAATGAAAACTCGATTTTCGAAAAACGGGGTAAAACCAATAACTTCTCGATTTTTGAAAATTTGTAATTTTCTTAGCGGGAAGTTAAAAATATTTTATATTGTTTTTTTTTTATTTCGAAATGAAATGTGGACTTCTTCCTGATGATTTATAAATGATGAAATTGATTTACATACTTGGACGCATACTGCAGAAAAATTAATTGTGTTTGAATAATATTTATTTATTTATTTTGAGTTTTACTTGTATACCGTTATCTGGTTTTTACAAGGCTGATATCCCCACTCTTTTTTGGGGAATCAATTATATCTCCACTTTTTATTGCGGCTGTGGCTTCTGTACCGTATTCACCCTGATCCTCACCACTCGGCTTAGCTATTGGAACAGAAACATGGGAGAACCACAGAGAAAACCCATGTTAGTACAGTCGGAGCTGGGTTAAGTCTACAGTGATTGATAAGAACTCTTCTTTATCGACCACTGGAGCATTAGGCCCCTCTCCTAGTGTGCAGAGATCCCTCGCGCTAGCCAACGCTGACTAGAGTGGTCACCCATTCAAGTTGTTGCTTAAATGTGTGATCGCCCAAGTCAGACGTGTGCCGCCCGGCTATCTCTGCCACATCCAGAGGCTGGCAATGTAACGCACATATTTTTAATTATAATCACTGAAAAATAGTGGTGTGTGCTGGGATCGAACCCGGGTTTCACTCTTCCGAAAAGCGAGCACCGAGCCGACCAAGCTATTACCAGCCTCTTGTGTTTGAATAATATAAATAATCTGTTCAGAAAATAAGTTTTCTCCCCTCCGTGCGGAAAGCGTCAATTTTCTGCTTGCTGCGCTAAACGAAAATGCCGCTTTCCGCCTCCGTCGAGGAGAAATATAGTATTCTCACCACGGGCAGGAAATAAGAAAGCCTCAGATCACATGTTTGTCGACCTCGGCTTCGCCTCGGTCAACAATTACATGTAATCTGAGACATTTCTTATTTTCCTGCCCCAGGTAAGAAAAATACTATAAATAAGTGAAAATTTTTTAATAATGTTAACGATTAAATTGAAAAAAAATGTCAACAACAATGTCGATCTTATATCGGACGTATGAATGTTAAGATTTATGTAAAGAATAACTTCATGCTAATTATAACGAAATCATTTCTAATAAATTTTTCAAGGAAAGCATCGATTTTTGGATTTAAAACCTTAACAATTTGTAAATAAATATTTTTCATATAACCTGCATAGAAAATGCGAGTTTCAATGCCTGTTGAGCCAACCGAAACTAGACAATTTCAGAACAATGCGACTGTGCCGGGCAGGAATCAATCATTCCTTCCCGGCGGACAGAAAATGACGAATTACTGCCCGCATGATGAAGTTGCAGCTTTATTTTCAATCCTATCAATTGTTTATTTATTTTATACCTTTATAATTGTCATTCTAACCGTTAATTATACTGACATTTTATAATTCTGTTATTAAACATAAATACGAATGACAAAAGAAAACTATTCAATTTACGAATAATATTTGATAAAAAATAAACTATTACTTTCTATTTTATTATAAGTTTTATAATAAAATGGTAATTTCGCTATTCGTCTGAAACTATCTAGTTCTGGTTGGCTCCAGACATTTAAAACTAGCATTTTTAATGCAACTTATATGAAAAATATAATGTGTGACGCGGGATGAAACACGATTTCAGACCGAGTGATGCCAGCCCTCGCTTCGCTCGGGCAGGCAACTTCACTCTGGTCTGAAATCGTTTTGTTTCACCCCTAGTCACACAATATACTATTCAAATTTTCAGAAACTTTAAATGGTGGAATATCATTGAAATCCTGAAACTTTGCTTAATTATATCAGATTCAGTTTCATAAAAAATTTCGGCAATTTGAATACGTAGATTAATGGTATCTATTTAGTATGCCTATAAAAAATTCTCTGTCATATAGAATATTCATTATACCTAATTAAAATTTTTCTGCTGTGAAGAGGTGTTCCAATGATATTTTAATAATATCAAATTATCAAACCGGGTATAATCAGACGTGCTCTGAACGGTTTTAATGAATAGTTTTGGTTTAAGATGAATATTGAAATACCAGTTTCAAAATAGAAAAATTATTATTTATATCCTGATTTTTAAAACATACATTTTTAAAAATATATCATAAATAATGAATAAAAAAAATGATTAATTATTTTCAGATAAAAATGAAAAATTTACCGAAATCATGTTTACCGAAAATATTTCATGGTCTCTATAATGATTTACGTTGTCAATCTGAATTGCAAGCGACGCGGAGAAATATATTTTTTATATTAAAAATAGCGTTATCGCGCGATTTGGAGGATTTGAAAAAAATGGGTCCAGATTTTATATATGGGGTGATATCATCGATGGACGGAGAAAGTGATCCTCGTAATTTGATGATCTTATTTGATACATTACCAACCTTTTTACGAGAATTTTCATTGGGTCATTTGACTGAAGAGATGTTTGAAGTTTTGGCTTGCTATTTTCCTGTCGATTTCAATTCGGTAAATTTCAATTATTAGTTATTTATTCATGAATATATTTTATTCATAAAATGATATATATTGTTACTACTGAATTAATATTGAACTATTTATTGTTATTTTTTTAAATCTAGGCTGGTAAAGATGCTCAAGAAATAACCCGAGAAGATTTGGCACACGGATTAGAAAATTGCTTAATACAAGTTCCCGAATTTGGTGAATTTGTTTTACCGTTAATACTTGAAAAACTTGATTCTAATTTAAAAACTGCCCGGTTAGATGCTTTAAACTTATTAATTCGTGGTTCGAAAATTTATAAATCCAAAGCATTGACAAAACATGTCGATGAACTGTGGCCACTAATAAGACGTGATGTATTGCCAGGAAACGATAATGAGCTGAAATTAAAGAACTACGATGTAATTACCCAAATTACGCAAGTACTAAGTGATGATAAAATAAATTTCGAAAAATTTATAAGTCGAGTTATAGTCGATTTGAAGTCAAGTTTGGGTGATGTACAGTTGAGTTTATATTGGCCGTCAATAAAAGTATTAGAAACTATTGCACAAGCTCATGTTGATGCTGCTATTTACGTTCTGAAGCTTATTGTACCACTTTGCTTAGGACAATATGGAACAAAAACAACTATTAATGATAAAATTCATTTAATTGAGACAATGAATATTTTTTTACATACTTTGGACAATTTAGGAATGAGAATATCAGGTAAATTCAATAATACTTTTTTATAATAAATTAAGTGATGACGCTTTGTTAAACATGTAATATACAGTCAGACTTCATTATAAGATTAGTTCGAGACTCAGGGGAAAAATTTCTGGGGGTCAGGTTCTTCTACTATAGTGTATTCTTGTCTTTTGCACCGAAAACTCACTATAAAACTATCGAATAAAAAGTTAAAATATACAAATAAATAGTATTTATTAATTAAATTGATAATTATTTCTTTAGTTGAATTAAAAAGTGTTTTTATCAACACATATATTCATAATATGTACCTTTTACTTGTATATTTTTACTTTTCAGTTGATAGTCTTATATTGAGATTTCGGTGCAAAACTTTTATTCAGTAGTTGGTGAGGGAAAGATTCCAAGTGAGTTTCAATAAATAGTAGGGAAGAGTCTTATATTGTGTAGTTTTTTAACGAGGTCCGACTGTACACGGAGAGAAAATCCTATGAAAAATTACAATGGTAACATAGTAATTTTTAGTATAAAACATTGTAGTGCCGGACCAGAACTCAAACAATATAATTTATGCGATGCAACATCGTAAATTTCTATCACTCAAATTAAAAAGAAGTGTAGGTCATCGAAAAAATAATTCTGTTTCACCGAGGAATCGAACCCGGTGCCCTCTCCGACACAAGCCCAAGGTTTATCCCCTTACGCTATCGTAAGGAATACCTAACTTTTCTATTCAGTCACATAATAAGACCCTCCATACAGTAGTTGGTCATCTTTCGGTGGTGGCGTCACAAACTACTAGACTCTGTCTCTCTTTTATTAAAACATATAGTATGCGTCCTTATTCACTTGCTCTTACGGAAAAAAAATTAACTAAATAACATCGTAATTTTCAATAATTCAAATTATATTCTGTAGACGGCAGCATCATAAAAATCAACATACTGAAAGTCTAGTCCTGGATTACGATGTTACCAATGTAATTTTTCATAGGATTTTTTTTCCGTGTACACGGTGTCTCAGCGACCCTAGTGTAATTTTATTATTTATTTAAAAAACGTGGGAGAGTTGAGCTTTTTTATTATTATTTTCGTCATCTACGGATTTTTTTACATAAAATAGAACAATAAAATTCCACTATTTAATTAGTTTCCACAACGGTGTGAAGAAGGTATTATAAGCGAGGAGGCGGAGGGGTGTCGTGAGCGACGAGAGACCGTGTATAATAAGTGAAATATTTTATTCAAACTTTTCAATATATCAAAGAGAAACATTTGACAAGTATTTTTTGAAATTTTTTACTTTAAAATATATCTATTAGCGGAAATAATTTTGTATTTTAATGTCAGATAAATTTATCACACGACTTGACAATGCCAAGGAAACTCTATTCTGAAGGGTCACAGAAAATCAGGTCTCAATAGGTGCCAAAATTTTCAAAATTTTGAAATAAAAATTTCCCGAAATATTTGTCAATTGTTAACCATTGCCATCTTAAAAAGTTTAATTAAAATAGTTGGTTTGTTAGAAAAAACTGAAATAAGTATGCATTTTTTTCAACTTTCAAAATCCGTAAAAAATCTGAATTATTAAAATGAACTTTTATTAATTTGAGATAATTTTCAAAATAGTTTAAACAAAAATCTTTTTATTGCAGACATTCCTGAACTAACATGGGCAGATATACCTGGTTTGTATCTAAATGAACTAATAACTGAAGAAATAATACTGAAATCAAAACTGATTGACGGTTTGGCAATGCAAAAATTATCATTATCAGAAAATCAACGTGACTTAATTTATGAAAAAATATCAAGTGAGATTGATAAAAACCAAAGTGAAAATTTAATAACTTCATGTTATAACATAATAAAAACCTTAGCGAAGTTGTATCCAAATGAAATACTTGAATTAGTGGATAATAAATTAAAAGTTAATGATGAAGAATCTTTGGAAGTGCGGAAAAATCGACTTCGTGCTTTAGCAGAAATTTCGACCATTTCAAACATTGGAAAAACTATTCTGCCGATTTTAGTTCAAATTGCAGTGTCAATTGATAATGACATGATAAATATGTCGCTATATTGTATACACAAAATATTGTTGATGAATAATTGTGAATTTGATATTCATATATTTTTATACAAACATTGTGATATTGTTCTTCAATTACTAGAAACAAAATTGAACGGTTACCATGACAGAAAAATTATATCAAGTATATTACGTTTAATAGTACAAAAGTTGAGTGCTGAAGAACAGCGAGAATTAATAAATAAATATTTTGATAGACTGAGTGAAAACATTAAAAATAACATTGAAAGATTAGAAGGCATTTTAATTCCTTTAATGCCGTGTATTATTAATAGCAATGATAATCGTTTTATTGATTTAATAAAAAGCTTGATAGAAGTTTCAACTAAGAATTTAGACGAAAATATTCAATTATCTTGTTGTAAAATAGTGTCAACATTAGTCAATAAAATTGATAAAGAACATTGTTTAGAAAAGTTATTAAATTTTATACGTGAATTAATAGTTGAAATTTTAGAATCAGATAATTACAGTTTGATGACTAAAAAATCTGCTGTTGTACTGAACATTTGGATAACTAAAGCTTTAGTAACTCGTGGAAGCAAAGCAGCACAAGATTTTATCGATTACCAGTTAAATATTCTTAAAAATCATTCGGTTGGTAAATATGCGGCAAATCATTTTCGAATACTCGTTGATAGTTCTGATGATACATTACATGTTGATAATTATTGTATTATAAAATTATTTTATAAACAAAGAATTTTCCAAAATGTTATTCAGCAAAATTCATTATTTGATGGCGAATCACGACAAAACTATTTAATTGCTTTTATTTTTTTACTCGAAGAAATTCCACGAGACATTCTATTGATGCATTTATCTAAGGTTTGTAAAAGTTGTATTTTATGTCAGTCGAGTATTTAAAAACCGAAAATTTTTTATAACTTTGTTTTTCAGGTTCTACCTCTACTTATTGAGTCTCTTTCGTTGGACAATAAAGAAGTGATATTATTCACGTTAAAAATTTTAAAGGATTTATTAGATACTAAAAATATGGCTTTTATCGAACAAATCCAAAGTTTTATAACTACGTGTTTGAAATTGACAACATATCCAGACATGGTAATTAATCAAGTTTTTTTATAACTAGAATTTGAATTTACGCGCGCAAGCGCGCGCCTTGACTATAGAGTTTGCATATATTTTCATGCTTATGATATATTCAACCAATCACGTTACGAATAGTTTGATGCCACATACATTTCATCTCAATTTTATTATGGGATAATTTTGTTTTAATATTCCATCGATAATTAGTTAACCAAATTTTGAAATGCATGATTGTCCTTAACTACCCAAGCGTCACATAAAAAACTGTTGACTTTTTGATAAATTTTATTTAACAAGAAGTCAAAAATTAATATCTGTAAACTTAAATTCAATAAAATATTACCAAAAAAATTTTTGTGCCGCTTGGGTAACTTATCTAATAGAATTATTTTTAAATTTGAATTTCAAATAAAAAAAAATTTATTTATTAAACGTTTGAAGTATTTGAATTTATTCTTTAAGTTTTATTACTAACAAGGTTTTTAAATTAAACGAAATATATATTAATTTTAAAAATAGTGTTTCTATTATTCAAGACGATTAATGTATTTTTGCTATTAAATTTATAAGAAAAGGTTCATGAATTCTAAAACAAGTGAAGTTGTAAAATTTCCGAACTAAATTTCTCAAAATTTTTAGTTAGTGGAGATACGCGGATTGTGTTGTAATTATTTTTCTGTATTTTCATATAAACATTTGTAATCATGTTTGCATATATTTTTTTCACATTTGCAATATTCATAATTGAAATAAAAATCTTTTTTTATAAAAAAAAAACGGAATAGTACAGAACTCTTTCCAAAGGTTTATTTTTAATTGAATTTTGTTTCATGATTTTCAGAATATTAAAATAGCAGCGCATAATTGTTTACATAGTTATTGTAATTATTCTACAATTGACATTAAACCATATCGCGAGGATGTTTTGGAAAAATTATCAGAAACGATTGATGACAACAAACGCTTAGTACGACAAGCATCTGTAAAGGCACGAACTCGATGGTTTTTAGTTGGATCACTTGGCGAACCTGAATAATGAGAGTTTTTTTATAATAAAAAAAAGTTCAAAATATTGTCTTTATTTATTAAAATTTTTTACAGTTATTCTTTGTGTTGTATAGTTTATAATAAACATGATAACATGTAATTGGAAAATTCAATAAAGAAATATTGATTTAAATAATTGAATTACGCGATTTTAATACTGTTAAGGGTAGTTGTAGTTAGTTGGTAATCACAATGGCTCAAGGTACAAACGTCTTTTTTTGTTAGAAAATAAAACGAATAATTTATTCTACATTATAGATAACTTTTGTAAAATTATTGATTATTTGTTTAATTTTATCGACTTGCTATAACTAAAATAATTGTATATTTATTAAAGGGGTAGTAAAAAGAGGAGGGTACACATACGAAGATGGAACGAAATATTATGGAGATTGGAATGCACGAGGATTGAAACATGGTGCGGGTTCTATGGTATTACCTGATGGAACTCGATACGAGGGAGGTTTCCAAAATGGTTTGTGCTCCGGGCTCGGAGTTCTTATTTTTCCTGATGGCGCTAAGTAAGTATTGAGTTTACTATGTTATATAATCTTGAAAAAGATTTTATGTATGATTAATCATTACCTACATGTATTTTATACATGTATTCATCAAATTGTGAAAAAATATTATAGAATTATAAATAACTATCTATATGTTTTTATCGTGGTAACTATTCAATTTTAATTAAACATAATGATGATGATTATAAATGAATATAAATCAAAAAATTATAGAACAAAAAAAATTTTAATTCCAAATATTTTTTCGGAGAAAACAGCATTTCCAAATCCGAAATCTCAATAATCTTTAAAAAATATTCCTAAGTTTTCAAAAATAACACATCAATAAGATTATAACTTGGTTTAATCATGTTAGCAGCCAAATATTTTTAATGCAAACAAGCTAATTAAAATATTGAAATACATTTGCGATATTTTTTTAGAGATAGTCTTCTAGTTCTTGAAATGATCTCCATCATATCTATATCGCGTGCCTAATGCAAAAAAGGCGCATAGCTACAGGTTAGTCAGGTTAGTAGGGATTCATGCTAAAAGGTCGCATACAAAATTTTTTTTGCCATTCTTTTTAAAATCGCTCAAAACACAAAGATCTGTGAAAAAAAAATTCGAGCATTCTAAAGTTAAAAAGGCGTAACTCAAGACATGCGCCCTTTTAGCTTTTAGAAAAGTAATGCCTAAAGCTAAAAGGGGGCATAAAAAAATTCAAGTTTTGATAAAATATTTTGATAAATAGCTACACAAGACATGGAATAAAAAAGTTTAATAAATAAAAAAAATTTCTTAACAGCCGGTCCCTACGATTGCAGCTTTTATATTTCTCTCCTAGGCAAAGAACAATTTTTAAAGAAACGCTCTGCTACGTAATAGATTTTTTAATTATCTATTTCGTATAGCAGAGCGTTTTTTTCGAAATTCTCATTTGTTTAAAAAAAAAAACATTAAATTGCAATAGCTTTATAATCATAAAGACAGCAGTACCATAAACTATAGGTTGGGAAAGAACTACCTTAAGCGGACTGATAAATAAAAGATTAAAGGACAAACGAGGAAAGTTATATATAGCATTAATTGATTTTAAAAAGGCGTTTGATAAAGTGGAGAGGAGAAAAATGAAAAGGAAATCTGGGAGAAGGTGATAAGAGGCAAGATGTACAGGATGATAAGTAAGATTTATAAGAACACATACAGTAAAGTAAAACTAGGACCAGAGAACAACCAAAAAATACGAAACTAGAAAAGGGGTAAGGCAGGGATGTGCAATGAGCGGTGCATTATATGGAATAAATATAGATGGACTCTAAGAGCAGATGGAAAAAAAGAAAATTGGGGGGACGGCGATGGGAACAAGCGAATATATGCGATGAAATATGCAGATGATGTGGCACTAGTAGCAGAATCAGGAGGAGAACTAAGAAGTATGTTGAATGAATTGAGAAAATATACCAAAGAAAATAAGATGAAGGTAAATGCAGAGAAAACAAAGATAATAATATGCAGGAATGGAGGAAGAAAGAAAAAAGAAAAAAAATGGACATATGAAGGGGAAGAACTAGAGGAAGTAAAAGAGGTGAAATATTTAGGATACTGGTTTACGACGAAGAATAGTGCAGCAAAGCAAAGAAAGGAGATGGCGAGAAAGGCACAAAAAGCAACGAACGCGGTATAGGGTATAATAAAGAGAAGCAAAAGGAACAGTATAAGGGAGAGGATGTATCTGATGAACACGGTGGCGAAATCTGTAGCTATGTATGGAGTAGAAGTGTGGGGGTGGGAAAAATCGGAGGAGATTAGGAGAGTGCATAGAAGGTTGTGCAAGATGGCTTTAGGAGTGAGTAGGGACACACCCAGGTACATATGGAGGGAAGAAATGGGAGTAGAGGATATAGAAATGACACTAAAAGAGAGAGCAGTACGATATATAAAGGACGTGATCAAAATGGACAGAGAAAGATGGCCAAAAATAGTAATGAAAGAATAAATGAGAGGTATACTAAACGGAAGAGTAATAAAATGGGGTAAAAAAGTAAAAAAAATACTAACAAAAATGGGCTATGAGGAAGTAGTCAGGATGATATATAAAGAGCAGGAAATAGAAGAAATAGAAACAAAGCTGGATGAAGGGATAATGAGAATAAAAGAAAAAGCAAAAAAAAGAAGACGAGGAGGCGATAGAGAAATCATCATACTGCAAATTATACAAGAAAATAAAAAAAAAAAAATAGAAAAAATTAGGGACTCGAGAAGCAATAAAGAATATAAATTTATTAAAGGACCAGGGCTTCCAGATTACCTAAAAAAGGACTAGGGGGAAGAAAGATGGAGAAAGATGGCTAGGTTCAGGTTAGGGGATTATGTGAAGGGATATAGGTATTGGGAAGAAAAGGGAAGTAGACTCTGCAATGTGTGCGGATCGGAGCTGGAGACTTGGGAGCATGTTTGGGAGGTCTGTTCTGGATGGGGGGTAGAGAAAGGGTGGCAGGAGATGAGAGGACAGGTATTAGGAGGGGAAGGACAAGGAGAAATATGGTTGAAAGAGATAGAGTTAAGATGGGAGTTCGCGGGGGGGGGGGATAATTCTAGTGTTGGCAACGGAAACGGAAATCCTTTGGAATGAAAGGGAAGAATGGATGGATGAGTGGTGAGGAGTGAGGCGGTGCTTTTTCTTGACACAGTGTGTTTCTTTTTGCCCGCCATGAGTGAGAAAAAAATAGGTTATAAAAGTATAGGTTATAGTCGTTAAGTTTTTATGTAATCTTTCTTTGTATATAGTAGTTGTAAGGCTTTTTAAATTTATTGTCAAGCGGAACGGGGGTCCGCTATTTGTACCCCTAATTGGGCAAATAAAAAATTATTAAGAAAATAAAAATAGACAAAGATAAAAACTACTATTGGAGAAAAGATGAAATAAGTGGAGAAGATAAGGAAACATGGGCGAGGGTACGATGTGGGAACATAATAGGAAGAGGGGGAAAGAAAGGATATAAGGATTGGAGATGCAGGGTATGTGAGGGGGAAGAAGAAACCCTGATGCATATAATGAAATGTGAAGAAATATATGTAAAAGTAGGAGAAGAAGAAAAGAGTTTTTTTAAATGAATGGAAAGATTTAGAAAATGAAAAGGTAGAAGAAAGACTAATAGAAGTATTAAAGGGAAGAATAGACGGGAGAGCATGCACGGTCTTCAGAAAAATTGAAGAGATCCTAAGGGAAAAAACGGGATTGCGGAGTTTGGGGCAGGAAGGTCACCAGAACAACGACGTGCAAACAAGAGGAAAAAAGAAAAGAAAAGAAAAATAGAAAGATTAAATGGAAAGAGAGATAATATATACAATTAATATACAGATACAAAATATGCAAAAACTTTGTAAGAGACGAAAGTCGTGCAAATAAAACTATTTATTATTATTAATTTCCAAATAAAAATAAATCAATACAATCATGCATATTTAACAATTTTTTAAAAATATTTTTAATTGTATTTTTAAAAGAATGTATGTATTGTTAGAGTATGCCTCTTTGACTCTACCGTTTTTTTTTTTAATTTTTAGGCTAAAAATAAGCATTTTAATGAATTGTTTAGAAAAAAAATTTATAGGCCCTTTTAGCTTTAGGTCATAAAACTTTTAAATTCCTAAAGCTAAAAGGGTGGATAATTAGAGACATACGCCCTTTTAGTTTTAGGAAATCAATGCTTGATTTTTAGGCGAAGAATATGTCAACCAGTCGACGGTGATAAAAAAAAAATTATGTGCCCTTTTAGCTTTGCAAAGCTACAAGGGCGCATACTTTGCTATGCGACCTTTTACCTTTTGGCACGCGATATGTATTTTTCAATGATAACGGAATATTTTCTTACTTTATTAGATTTTTTAATTAATTGTTGTAAGGTACGAAGGAGAATTTATGCAAGGTTGGTTTCATGGTCATGGCGTATTTTGGCGTTCTGATGGTATGAAGTTCGAAGGTGAATTTCGTGGTGGAAGGATTTGGGGTTTAGGTATAAAAACTTTCCAATTCTGATTTTTTGTGATATTTTTATCCGTTTTAATGTTTTTTAAGTGATAACGATATTTTTTTATTGTAGGACTTGTTACATATTCTGATGGAACGCATGGTTTTCCAAGAAACGAAGGATTTTTCCAAGATTGTCGCTTAGTCCGACGACGCCGATGTCCAGAAGTTATTTTGAAAGCTCAGAAAATATCTATGATAGCACGAGCTCAAGCATCTTGAATACATTAAAAAAATAGTCATCTATTATAATATATATCCTAATAAGAAACATTGTTCTTATCTATGAATGACATCAGTCCAAATTTTTGATTCGATTATATTGTGATAGTATTGTATTAAATATTAATAAATACGTTGTTGTAAAAGCCGACGATTTCGGAAAAATTCAGTTGCCTGTATAGTAGGGTGTTCGTTATTCGCACAATGGCTTTTCTTGCCGCTCCACTCTGAATTTTTAGTTCTGCCTTAAGGGGGACGGCCACTGTGAGGATCGAAAAAATAGGTGATTTTCGGGAATTTTTTTGACTGGAATAATAAAGGAATTTGAGGATCGGGTTTTTTTTTGTTTTATAAAGTATACATTGCAGATTATTCTCCTAAATTTTTATCCAAAAATATCATGTTGTTACAAAGTTATCAGCATTTTTGTGGGGCACCAAAAAAATTTCCCCCTCTATGATGCGATCTCTAAATCAAAAACGGATTATCTAAAACAAAAAAAACGAAAGAGCGTTGTAATCTGCATGCGTGTGGTTATCGTTGCTCGTAGGGGATTTTGAAAATTTAGATTTAAAAAAAAATGGCGACATATTAAAAATTTTTTCGTTTTTTTTCCTCATTTTTTTGGATTCAAACAGCCCTAAAAAATCTTAAAAATCGAAATTTCCAAAATCCTCTACATATTTATGCAAATTACAGTTCTCATCAGTTCAAAAAAAGTAGTGTAACGTTCCCAATTTTGGGGCGTTAATTAAAAATAATTCAGGTTGACATCGTTAGAGAATCAATCGACCCCAGGTGTGTCGTCATAGATAATTTTGATTATATTCAATCTTGCTGGATCCCTTGCTGGATTGGACAATTGTTTAACCTCTTGACCACTCGCGAGGCAGAATTTGGGCGACTTGGTGAACAGCAATTGGGGACCAGAGAGGATATATGATTTATCGGGAAGAAAGAACGGCTGATGAGCGCTCCTCTTCAATAGAAATAAATAGCCAATCAGTTAAAACTAATTCTATTTAATAATGATATTGATAACTGCAGTAGAGTCAGGTGAGCACGGAGCAGAGCTCCGTGCTCTATAAAGGTTCTGGATCGACTGACTATTCTGACTACTTAAAAATTGTACAATCTTTGAATTGTCAGCCATAGTTGGTCTCAGGTTACACCTAGGGAACGTCGTCGAGCTGCGGGTCTCACGCTGACGCAAGATGTTTAGGCTACCCGCGAGCAACGGCGACTTTTATTATTAGAGATTTCCGTTACTTCGCTGGTGATGAATTTTTATCACCAACGAAGCCGTAATATTTTTTTAAAAAATAATTTTATTAATTAATTTTACGAGAACGTTACAGTAGTTTCGAAAAAAACGCGTTTTCGTCGGAGTGCCGCGCGTGTAAAGTCATATGACGCGCTGTCACAAAAATGACTATAACTCGGAAAATATTCGGAATTTTGATACCAAACTCTAGATACATATTTTTGAATCAATGTAGCTTCTTAAGTATGGAGGGTAGAGGTAAGGAGAACCGTCTCATATGGGGGGAAAGTTGAAAAAGTGTCCCGCTGTACCTCTACCCTCCATACTTCTTAAGACATCTTAGACATTAGCATCTCTCATCCAGTAAGAGCTACACCGGGATCACCGGGATGCCGGATCCTCTTGGCCAATACACAACATCTCTATGAAAGATTTGTTTGCTATCTATTGGTGATCTTCTCAACGTTATTTGATGCTGGAGACAGCTTATTGGACCAATATTAATGGGAAGTCTGTAATGTAAATCATGGGAAGTTTCCAAATTATTAACCTCTTCTTTTATTATTGTTTTTTATTACCATTGGTCTTGTACTTTTTTTTTTTTCTTTTTTTAAAGAAAATTTCATATTAAACAATACAGAGTATAATTATATGCTATGATGCTGATTAAATAAGTGATAAACTTGTTTCACAGAGTAATTACATTTTTTTAATAATAAGATAACCTAGTCTTTGGAAAAAGTCACACTTTTTCACTTTTTAAGTACTTGAATAACTAACCTTAGGTAACCTGTCCTTCTTATATCGGGTTAAAGTTGTTGAATAGAAGACCCTGGGATCTTTGGCCTTGTCTTTCTATCTGTCTATAGTGATGGTTCCTGAAGGTCTCTACACTTCTCCTGGACTGGCAAATTATCCAACCAACCTCGGGAAGCCACTGCTGCCCGCACAGAGCGTGGTAATGCATCTGAAGGAATTTTATAAATAGTTGTGGAAAATAAGAAGGATGGCTATTCTAGTAATAATATAACACTCGTGATTGTATATTCAGTTGCAGCTTTATTATGTCTTGATGTACACAGAACTTCTAGATGTACGTGTGATCGGTACAGAGCTATAGTCAAGAGTGAGTATGTCAAATCGTAAGAGGGTCATTCCATGTCAAATCGACCAATAGTGGGAATCGACCCCTTTCGATTTGGATGAATTTTGGTCAGAAGTTTTCTTTTATCATAAAACGAAGTTCTGCCAAAGGAAAAAAAAATAAAAAAATTTTTTTCGAAAGATATACAAATTCAAAATTTCGCGATTTTTCCAGTTTTTCAATTTTGTTTTTGCAATATCTCGAATGCTATTATAGATACAGGAATGGGCGCTTTTGTTTGTTTGAAAGGGGACACTTGGGGCTATTGAAAAAAAAATATTTTGAAAAAAAATTTCAAAAAATGCCAAATTTGTCAAATTTTGAATTTTTGAAAATCATCAAACATGAAGACCGCCATTAAAATTTTGGCTCAATTTTTTTTGTATGATACCTTGTAATGATCTTAAAAGATTCTGAAATTTTTGGATAGGGGTTTTTTTTTTTTTCAAAGATATGAATTTTTGAATTTCAGAAAAAAATTTATTTTTGTTTTTTGCAACTTCTATACAAGTTAAAGTTATGCAGATACATAATATTGTAATTTTGAGTATTTAGAAATCAAATGCATGACGTGAAAATATTAAATAATAAATTAATTTCAACTTTTATTCATTTTTTAGAGATAATCTATTATCCAGTTCGTTATTATCGAGAACGTATACGGAGCAGCTGAGAGGCCAAAAGGCAAGCTCGTCAGCTGTAGCAGCACATCCTTTTAGAGGATTCTTAAAAAGCGGCGATGTGCTTCCGTCACCGGTATGTGCAAGTATGCTTGTGATAAGTCTATTCTCGTCATCCAGTCCCCGTCTTGGAGGAAATCTGGAATCTTTTTGGGAGAGAATAATTGAAATGACTTCACTTCCACGTAGATCCGTATCTTTATTTTCAGTGAGATAAGCTTTAGTAAGACACAACTTATGACCAAGTCAACTCGTGTTCGTCAATATCCGTAAAAATTTTTATATTTCCAACAATCTCATTGGTTGAAACATACTTAAATTTTGACAGTGAAGTTATTTATTCAAAATTGTAAACAAATGTACAAATGTGCCTTAGAAAATTCTAAGCTTCAAATTAAAGTGACGTTAGAAAATTATTACCGCAAGATCAGAAGAAAATATATCAAAAAAAAGAAAAAGTACTAATTTTACCGCCGCAGAAAAAAAATATTTCCTACAAATTTTTAAAAATTATGCACAAATAGTTTTAAAATTTTTCCGTCGATATATATTTTTGTCGATTGCATAGAAGTTAGAAACCCTAGTTTTGTATATTGTTATGCCTCTGTAGATTTTTACTTATTCTTTTGATGTTATCTTTCAAAATTGCTGACGGTGATGTTCATACGCCAGCGTCTGGGCAGAGCACACAATATTACCAGTTTATTCCCGTGGCGTAATGATACTTAAAACTGCAATGTACTTTCTGTAACACCTTTTTAATCAGTTACTGAATGAAACTCATAGAATACACTACGAAGTGTTATGCATTTCTAGTTACAGAAAACCTCTAAGAATTAATTATAGAATTGTAATTAAAGATCTTACTTTAATATTATGTTATAAAATTAAGCCAGAATAATTACTATCAATTTAATTAAAATTTAACAGTTATAACAGTTAATAGTATACTAATAAGTTTTCAAGTTGAAGTGCAACTTTATGTTATAAAATAAACAATTAAAAGTGACTATAATTTAGACATTAAAATTTGTGCAAGTTATTTTAAAAAGAAATTGAACCTTTCTCCCAAGGCATAACAATATATACAATTCTCGTTATATTTTTTTCTATTCATGATGAAATCTACTTCCATTTCGGCTGCCGAATGGTCTTTTTTTTTGTTGTTAAAATCGCCTTTTCTGTCAGCGTCTTATGATGAATGTATTGAGTGTGTAGTGAGTGAGAGTAATATGAAATTTTTAACTTCCCGCTAAAAATCGAAGATTTTCAAAAATCGGGAAGTTATTATTTTCACCCCGTTTTACAAAAATCGAGTTTGAAGGTCATCCGATCTCGATGTTTGAAGGTCACAGGAAGCTTCCCTGACTATCCTCGCGATGTTGTCACTATGTCTGTACGTGTGTGTGTGTGTGTGTGTGTGTGTGTGTGTGTGTGTGTGTGTGTGTGTGTGTGTGTAAAAAAAAAAAAAATAATTTGGCCTGGATATGTGGCGACTCGACGCAGCGTCATACTAAAACTCGACGCTAACGCCCCTACCCACTAAACCCTAAACCCCTTTTCTCTTTCCTCTAATCCCTCATGGAAACCGCCGTCAGGCATTACTTCGTAAAGGGAGGATCTAGCTACTGCTCTTCCTTCTGGTGGCTAAGGTGTTAACTACCTTCCTTCTATCTTCTGCTATTTGCTCTTCTTCTTTCGGTGGAACGCAAGTCTTTGAGGACTTCTATTGCAAACGTGTTGGTAGCGTTCCAGGCAGCTTCTGATGACATCATTGCTTCCACTAGTGAATCTGGTTGCATTCTCTAGTTCAGGATCCTCTCCAGCTCTTCACGCTGTGGATCGAAACGAGGACATACAAGGAAGACGTGCTCCGCATCTTCAGCAACTCCTGGGCAGGACGGGCACTCCG